TATTTTGGTCATGAGTTTTCCAATTGGCCATTAAGCTTTACTTTGGAAATTACTTCTTTATTTACTCTTTTCTGTGGGCCATTATTTATCGAACGAATCAAAACTGAATTGTAGGCACATTTTTTACTGTAGAAATGTTATTGGTTTTGATTATTAAAAGGAAATTTCCTGTATTGAAATACCAATTAAGCGGTAACTTTGGAGTTTAATTTACGATTTTACCCTTTTTTTTTTTTAGCAGGGTGATTTTTCCTGTGTTTCTCAGATTGAGTTTCCCCATTAGCATGTCTTCTTTGATCAGGACAGGGATAATATTCTTACATAAAAAAACGATTAGCCTCACTCTTGTTCGTCCGTACAATAACGTATTTGGTAAACCGCTCTAAATCCTCTGATCGCTTACTTGATGAGGCAATTACGGGAAATCATGGAGATCTATTTATTAATCTTACATAACCCGTTTGTTTCTGAGTAAAGTCTATAACAACGTGTTTCTGTTATTGTAACAAGTGGGAAAAAAAAATTTATTAATTGACACGCAGCCTACAATAAGCCAAGTAGACTTTAATAAGCTAGAAGCACATCTGGAAAATACCCATGAATAAAGCTGTAATATCAACCATCATGTCTCGTGAATAAGTGAGAAATAAAAGTATGTAGTGTGTGCATAGTGAGGTAAAATCTGGACGTTCATGTGTAGACTTTACCGCTTATGATATTGTATCGTCTAATACGTCGAAAGTATAGATGATATACAGACGTTATGATGTTCACTGGGAAGCTTTATGTTAGGACATTACACTAGTGACAACCTGATGTATGTTGTCATACAGACATTTATAAAGTCTGATGAACGATAGAATCTGATGACGGAAGAATGGTCATGTTTCGCCCTCTTTCACCCGAATGCACGCAGTTTTCAAATAGCAGATAAAGACAAAGTGAGATCGGGGAAAAGACTGTATGAGAAATCCTTAACGAAGTCACTTCAAAAAGGGGTGTATCACCCTATTACACGTGTGTGTACAAGAAGGGTATTCGAAAAAAGCTCAAGAAAATTGCCCAAATAAAGCTCAAACAATGTCCAATTGGGACATTAAACTTGTGACCCAACCAAGGCTGTCTAACTGAGGGAAATCACTGTAATTTATTACATTTATTTACATACATATAATAGGTTCCCCCCAATACTATTACATGGGGATTGCGCCAACTCATCGTTTACGGGGTTGTAAAAAAAAAATGAATTTCTTTTTATTCTTTTTTTTTTTTTATCAGTTGATGGGGGGAGACAACCAAGATCGGGTGTCATGATAACCAGCCTTCTAATTATTACAGGACATGGATCTATTGTCCGTCTGCCCAATTAGAAAATCGGTTCGTTTACACCTATGATTTTGAAACAAAACATGTTTAATTGGCCTAACAAACATTTAAATCTGTCTCACTATAGAATGTATGCTTATATTGCGTGATACTTCATTTTAATTAGGGAAGAAAGATTTTTTAAAAAAAAAAAGAGATATCCTGGTATCATTGAGCACCACGCCTCACTCCATAGAAGATCGAGTTCAGCGGTACCGTCCCATCTCATATCACCAATAAACGTTCAATTCAAAGGAACGGGTTAGTTTCTGTGTTCCAATTGTTTGGCTTTACGCTCAGATCCAATGGAAAATTAGAAAATAATGAATGTGAAGTACATGCTTTTTTTTTTTTTTTGAACCTGCACAAAAAGGTTTGGATTTGTAAGGACTTAACTAATTTTATTTTTTTAAATTGAAGTTTTTTGCTCGTAATGTTGTACAGTTGAGTTTATTACGTAATATATGACTAAATAAGCTGTGAAAAAAAAAAACGACTTTCTGACAAAGGATAAATGATCGAGGTCCCCATCCTCCCGTCTCCCCTTTCCCAGCACCTGCAATTAATCTTGAGATCAACTACCGAGGCTCATAGCTGGCTGTGAAACGAAAGAGAAAAACAGGATTGGTCCAATAATTGAAATCTAAACAATTATCGACCTCAAATGAATTGACAGCCTGCCTTATCCTTTTAGATTGTATCTTTGTTAGCAGCTACACCTAAAAATATACCAACTGACTTTGGTATAGCTATCTTTAAGTCAATCACATGTTTACTATTCATGTTTACTATTTACTACTAATGAAAGCCATAACTCCTGCCTGTTGTGCGTTTACATCATTTTTTATTAGTGTGCTTTAATCGAGTAATCTATCGGCAACCCTGAGTGAATCAGGGGGGATTCTTCTGCTTTATCAAGCTGCTCTGATGCAAGCCATCTGCTTGTAAGCATCTCACGAGCTTTCCTTCATTACAGAAAATCCTTAATGAGATACTGCTTTGTCAATAATTCGAAAGATTTTAAAAGACCTCCATTTTGCATGGGGAAGCCTTCATTGATCATCAAGGGGGGAAAAATATTCCAATGATGCTGAGATGACTTATTTTAGAAACATCATGTTTTCGATTCTATCGGAATTTTCTCTTGCTTCCTAGATCTGCTTGAGTATGAGGGCTTACGCTTAGGATGTGATTGTAATTGTTCTTTTCATGCATTCTATCATTATGCAATTTAAAGCAGAAAAAATCCCATTATTATTATTATTACTATTCTTATGGCCCTTAATAGGGTCCGATGATTTATGGCGCATTCAATTGATTTCATCATGAATGTAAATATCCCTTTTATCCCTCTATCTTTCTTTTCTGTATGTAAATCATTTATCCTTTTTTTTTTTTTTTTTAATCTGGGATATCTGCATTAGAATGCATTTTCCATTTCTATAAAGAAAAGCGTGAGATGTGCAGTCAAGAACCGGTCTTGCAACATCTACCGCATCACTCTAAATCAAGACATGTCGGATGACTTTTTTTTTTTTACTTAATAAAACCAGCACGACCTGTCTTATCTACTGTCATCTTTGCTGTTCATGGTATTAAAGTTTAGAAAAATTACTAGTCCATAAAAGACCTCGTGTTTTATAAATATGTATTACTTTGGACGATAATCGAAGCCTGTATAAAAGACTGAAGTGGTTTGATACAGCGCTAGATGCAGTGTAACACGATGTACATGAAAATGTGCTCGAGACACCAGGGCCAGTGTGGAAGTTGCAATGTGTAACTTTGCTGGTACCACTTTAAAAAACATTTGAGTTTTTCTATTCCCGAAACGCTGGAGATTATATGCTCTGTATGCCCACATCCACACTACCTACTTTTGCTGGATTAGTCCGTAAGAAGAAAAAAAAATTCATGCTTTCCGAGGGACGATGGAATTTGATATCCTATTTTACTTGGCAGTACAACATTTGAGAGTCCACCCCCCTTCAACCCTTCGTTAAAATATAGCTTGGTATAGAGTATTCTAGTTGATCACTGTCTCTTATGGCAGTGGGTTTTAATTGGTATAAACCCCCCTCAATTGTTCTTTACAAATCCACGAGTCAAGTTTGTACTTGAGGGGCGATGCATTTGAGTTGACGTTGATGATTTCAATTTGCTTTTTATAATGCATGAACATGTTGTGTGTAGAAGTGTTTAGATATAAGCACGCATATCTGTTCTTCTGATTCTTATTATTAATGATTACGTCTTTATTGAATCTCGCCTAAAATTTTCCTTATTGATTTCTATTCCTTTTTTTCTTTTTTTCTTAAATAGGACATTATACTAAAAGTTTGATGTAAAGAACACCACTGGATCGGTGGTTTTTTAACGTTTGAATACAATATATTAAAAAAACTTAATGATTAACTTCAACTCAAATGCAAGCTAAAATAGCTTGATTTTTTAGCCGCTTCATCTTTTTTTTTTGTGTGTGTGTGTCTTATAAACCAAGCTCAATTGTGTAATTTTTTGAAGGTTTGAAAAATTGTTTGCAACAGAAGTATACCATCTTTTCATTGGAATAATAGAACACTGATAGATTGCGCTACACCAGATATATCTACAAAAGGGCTTATAATACCATTTATCGACGGTATTTTCAGAATTTTTTAAATAGAGTCAGGCACATAACGTGTAAGGTTTAAAAGTGGTAATCCTTAAAACTTTTAGACGAATTGGAAATGTGTGTAGAAATGGCGTCTGTAACTTACTTATGCGATATTAAATGATCCTAAAGATGTCTCACTTTTTTTTATTATTATTATTATTATTATCGCATATTTTCTACAAATATTATGTTGACACCGCCTATTGGAACTTACAAAGCCCAAAATAGCTGTATTTTTGATGCATTTCCCATTCAATGTTGTAAGGGGGATGGAGTTTGACTAAGCCAATAAGCTAGCAAATACAACAAGGGTCATACTAATTCCTTCTTAAAGTCACGATTAAAAAAAAACCTATCAAAATAGCATTTGAAAAAATAAAAACCCACTTTTTTGATTAAATTAAAAAAAAAAAAAAAGCAATATTTTATCTCGGTCCATAAAAAAAAAGTTTTCTGCCATGTATCTGAATGTTGTGTTGTATACTTCTGGATAACATCGAATGGGGGAGAGTGACAAGGGGTGGTTGCAGACTACTTATTTGTTTGTAGTATTGCATGCATTTTCGTAACATCGCGGATATGTATATGGCTAGCATTTGATTTTTATCGCCGGAAAGAACATATAGAAAAGGTGTACTATAGTCTTTCATGTGCTCTTGTTTTTTTTTTTCACTCAACTTACTAATCAAATTTTTTTAGCTAAATACCACACCAGTATAGAGTTTAAAAGTTCGAATAAAACATCATCGGATGCAAACCAAAGAGTGTATTTGTGAATAACTTTTTCTTTAGCCATATTCAGTGATGTATTTTAATTACGTAAAAAAAGAGTTCTATATAAATAGGCTGTTATGTACGGAAAAGAAGCTCTACGGGTGGCAAAAAAAGATTGTGTGTACTACCTCACGTGAATACTTTGTCGCGCTAACTGCATTTTAAAAAAAAAAAATTCAAGTGGCTTCTTAACCCGTGGGAACAATATTTTAGAATACAATATTTATTTATATAAACAAAAAAAAAAAAGGATTGGGGAAATAAAGTATAGCATATTTTTTTATTTTTATTTATATGTTTTTGCATGTCAACATGTAATAATATATATTGAAAGGGGAGGGGAGAGCGAGAGAGATAGAAAAAGAAAAAAAAAATGTGTTGGGGGGTATTTTGTACAGGTACGATATGTATAAATTTGGGTGGGTGGGGGTGAGAGTTATGATTACGAAATCATAGTGTTATTATCAGTGTAAATGATTGAGCGAAGAATAGCACATCTTCTTTCCAGCATGTTGAGAAAGCCTTCCATTTGTTGTGGAGACATACGACCAATTAGCGATTTAAATCTTGTGTCATCATTATTCTGCTGTTGTTGCTCCTCGTGTGGTGGAGTTGTAATAGGTGTCGGCAAGGTCTCGCTTGGCATAACAATAGAAGGAAATTGTTGATTGGAATATAACCGTTTCACATTATCAACTGGTTCAAATGACGATTTTCTTTTTTGACCCTTGGGTGATTGAGCTAGTTGCTGCAAGTTGGCGTATAAGTGACAGTCATTGCAGATGTTTTGTCCAGCATCGTTTAAGTGCCAAATACGAGTTTCCGTTTGGAAACAATTCTGACAATGCTGTTGTTGCTGTTGTGGCTGTTGCTGTTGTTGCTGTTGTTGCTGTTGTTGCTGCTGCTGTTGTTGTTGTTGTTGTTGTGGCTGTTGTTGTTGCTGTTGTTGTTGCTGTTGTTGTGGCTGTTGTTGTTCTTGATTGAAATTAAGGTCAAAAGTAGTTTCTTGAATTTCAGGCGAGACTTGTTGCGCTACGGGTGAAGCGAGAGGTGGAGGAGAGGGAGATACCACGGCAGCTTGTTTATTTTGGTTTGTTTGATGCTTTTGGCGAATATGAAGAGGACGGTGTGTGTTATATTGTTTGTAATATAAACCACATGCATTACATAATGAATGAGCACGATCAGGAGTTCGGCGCCATAAAGGAGTTTTTGTAACATGACAATTAAAGCATTCAAGTTGACGTGGCGAGCGATTTGATTTAGTATTCTTTTTTGGTTCGACCTTTTTTTTTGACTTGACTTTCTCATCTTCTTCTTCCTCCTCCTCTTCTTCATCTTCTTCTTCTTCTTCGTCTTCTTCGCCTTCAAATTGAACAAATTGATCGAAACCATCTTGTTGGGGTATATGAAATCCACCACCAGCAGCAGAAATGTTTTGAAGGAAGCTAAGATCGTTGTCATCATTAGAAAGAGTAGGGGAAGGGAAGTTACTAAAGTTTCGACCAGTAGAAGTAGGAGAAGGCAACACTTGATGAAACTGTTGTTCTTGCTGCAATATATCAGAAAAGGGTCCCTTTTCAAATACATTATCATTAGAACCGTATTGTAACATATAATCGTCGTCTTCCATCATTCAATAGAGGAGAAAAAAAAACTTGTTTTTTTTCTGGAGGGGGGGTGGGGGAGTTGATTAGATTCTATAATATCTGGAGAAGAAGAGTAGAAAAAGGGAAAAGAAAAATGTCTATCCATGGCTTAATAGACTTTATAGTTTTTTTTTTTTTTTTTTACAACTCCACCAAAACAAGGTGACCTCACGCACATACTCACATAATATTCTGAGACATACACAATTAGGACAGCTTTCGATCGAGACCTTTCTTGTGTTACCCGTGTTTTTATTGTTGTTTTATTGCTTTACTATTGCAAACAAGAAGTATACGTAAAAAAACAGGCACATCAAAAAAATTTATGACTCTTACAATCTCGTTTTAACCTGAGAGTGACTCAATTTGATGTAACGAAATCGGTCGTTTAATAATGTAGAAAAACATCAGAAGCCAATCAAGTGTATCAAGGTAATCAATGAAATAAAGCGGACGAATTTATCTTTATCCGATCAAGCTCACTTTGATTGGTAGTAGATAAAAAAAAAACCTTTTTTCTTAAATGATAATCATAAATTTATTACCGTAAGTGTACAAAACCTAACTTGCAATAAGTATATAAATAAATAGAATACCATTATTTTTTTTTTTATTTCTTTTGTTTTTACAATACGAAAAAGTCGGCTGCTAAATTGAAATTTTAAAAATAATAAGAATAATACATTTATCGTTCTGATTCGTCTTGTTTCTTTTTTTGTTTTTCTGACATATGTTTTAGAACCTGAAAAATAAAGCCGTAAAGAGATGATAACGGCTAGGCTTTCTTTGTAAAAAAAAAAAAAACAAAAAAAAAACAAAAATCCATTTCTTGTGCTCACTTAATTTTAAAGTTACCTTCTTTGTGTAATACTAAGTCGTCAGTTGACGAATCTTTTTTTTTGTTTGTTTTAGAGATAACGGGGAAGTCGTCAGTAAAAGAAAGAACGGACCACCAAACAAAAGACTTGTCTCCCATCAGCTGGTTTTTAGTTTATAAGCAATCAATATGTTCTTTGACCTTTCTCATTGTAGTAAGTTTCATGCACGTGCTTTCGGTTCCTTCATTACTTGATTGGATTATTCATTGACCGAGTAATAGGAGTTCCACCGTGTAAATATATTCCGTGTAAAAAAAAAAAAAAAAAAAAAAAAAAAAAAAAAAAAAAAATAGAGTATACATTATATGTTGGTCCGTGTTCACGGTTTCAGCTAGTCTTTGCAAGTATCAATTTTTTTTCGAAAAAAAGGAACGCTGAATTTTATTGAGATTTGAATGGAATCCTTGTAGATCGAAATGCTTAATCACAAGCAATAATTATTCCTTTTCTGTAGTTTCTTCCCCTGTGTTGCATTGATTAGCCAAACGTAGGTGTAACCATAGGGTTTCTGTACTCTGATTACAGTTGGATACCATTGCTTGTATCATAAATAAAGCGATTGTTAGTGAGACCAAACTCCCATATGACGTTAGAAGAATTTTTATAGCCGACAAATTCTGTTAGGCAGCTTCAGAAACATGTACTAAACATCCATAAGGTTCACCTAAATATTATGTAGCACAAGAAAGGGAAGAAAAAATGGCTTTGCGCAAAAAAAAAACAAACTCATCCATGTACAAAAATAGTATAGTTTGGCAATCCCCAGTTTAATCATTTTGAATTTAAATGTTTACTTTTCGGCTACAATATTAAATCCATGTCTCATCAGGGAAAGTAAATCTTCAATTTCAGTAGATATCTTATGTAACCGTGACATTCTGTCACCATTTGATGTACTTTCCACTTTCAAATGGCTCAGCTTATCATTCAACATCTTGATTTCTATTGGGGATTTCAATCAGCATGATATACATTTAATTTATCACGTATTTCTTTTACCTTGTTCGATTTTATCATTGTCTCCTTTCTCCAAATTATCGGCAATCCTTCTCAATGCGAAAGCTGTTTCCCTCTTACTACTATCCTTTGCGATCTTGTCACGGGTATCTTTACCTTCCATATCTGAGTCGATTATTTCTCCAGCATTCTTTGTTGCATCTTTTATGTTGTCTGTATCTGTAAAATGAACCCTCTTCTCAGAGATGTCATTTCCTGCAGCTTCGTTTTCTGCATTATCAGTTGAAATAATACCGGTACAAGCAAATATACGTGCTTCCATATAGCTATTAAATGGATAGTACTTCCCTCGAGAAGCTATACAACTCTCTTCACTTGCATACACACCAGATACAAGACCTCCGTACGTACCGTAAAAAATAGTAATCTGGGATTGTGTCATGATTTTAGAGAAACCTAAAAAAAAAAAAAAAAAAAAATGGCAAAACTCACCAAAAAGATATGCATTTCTAAAGAATTTAAAACAACGCACCAATAGCATTACTTTAAAAACGTGAAAATCACGTGATTTACCATAAAATTTTTGAGCCCGTATCCAACATATGTAATTTGACGTCATAAGCCTTCTTGGCTCAGTTGGCAGAGCGTCTGCCTAGTAAGCAGAAGGTCATCAGTTCAATTCTGATAGAAGGCATTCATTTTTTGGCATTTTTCCGATTTTCGTGAGATGTTGTTGATGTGTTTTTTTTTTTTTTTTTTTTAAAAGATTTCATCATTCTCATAAACATCTATTGACTCATAAACCCTCGGTATAATACTTTTTCTTATTAAATTTGGGCATGAGTATAAACATCAAAATAAAGAAAAACTAGCTTCGGGAAATTAGTAGTTATACGTACGCGTCTATGTTCAATTTCATTGTTGGATCAATTATATAGCCAACTTTTTGAGAACTGAATAAAACAATAATGGAAATTAACATTATTGCTATCCTTGCTATAATTTGGCAAATAAAGTTTTAAAATATAGAAGATTCAATTATTCTTTGGCAACCCTATTAACTTTTACATAAGTATACAAATAAGCTGATACAACCTAATGAGAAGGAAAAACTTTTAATAGACTTACAAACATTGTAGAAAATTTATATGGCGCCCAGAGTTACTCCGATTTCCATGGATAAGTCCTCATTAACGTTCAAGGTTCACGAATAAACTGAACGTATGCTGTCTATCAAAGCAGCACAAAGCGGCTAGGACAAACTATTGTAACAAGTCGTACAGGTACAATTCTTTTTCATTTCAATTTTTTTTTTCCCAGGAACAGGTACACGATGATCGCCGTTACAAGTTTTTTGTAACGAAAAGTGCTGATGACGCAAAATTAATGAAATACCGCTTTAATTTGTGGAGATGAACATAGTAAAAAGATCAGCACTGGTAGGACTATAAATAAGTGACACATGATGTCAGATAATGCATAAGAATAGGACGTGCACAACGAAAGGGTAATATGGACACAATTTATTTTACAAAAAAAAAGGGGTGGGGGGGGGATATAGTGGGATTTATGCGGTAGATTCGTTACTATTTACAAACATTAACATAGTCTCAGCAGCCAAATTAGTTGGAGAAGAGGTTGATTTCCAAGCGTCATTCTTTTCGGTCATTGCAATGGCATAGGATAAATAATCCAGTGAATTCTTTACTACAGAAGGTTCACCATTTAAATCTGTCGGTACACAAGAAGCATCAAAACTAGAAACGGAATGATTTGTTGGCTTAATTGGTTGCTTATTATTCCAAACTTCCTTGTTATAATGATGAAAATAGTATTGCTGTGGTGGTTGCTGTTGCTTTGGTGATGATGTAATAGATGAACTTGACGAGTTGTCATCGTCGCCATCGTCATCCTCGTCTTCATAGTGTTGAGTGGATGGTGGGTGGCTTTTGCGTCTAGCTTTTTTGATGGATTTTGAGGAACATATAAAATTTAACATGTCTTGCTTTTGTGATGGATTTGACAAAGATCGATTTAATAATCGATATCTTCTTGTCTTGGCATATTTTGCGCCAGAGGCTTGTATATAAGATCTTTTATCAATGATATCTTGTTGAGTAAATCTTGGTGTGGGTAGACCTTGGAAAGAATCTCTTTGTTTCTGCTTCCAAAAGCATTCTACATCGCCTAGACTGTTCTTTTCCCAGCCATTGCTTAATTTGAATTTGGCAAATCCTAACCTTGTTCTTAGCGACTCAACGTGCTTTTATAAAAATAAATATAAATTGAAATAAATATTTATTTATTTTTGTCTTACTTTTAATACATCATTGTCGAGATAAATATTATTGTAATTCATTGCATAAATTGTCAAAGTGGAAATTGAAAAAGAGAGAAAAAAAAAAAAGGAGAGTGAAAATGATAATAAAAAAAAAAAAAAAATAGAAACACTTCAATCTTTTTTTTTTTTTTTTTTTTCGTATTTTCCTTTTTTTTTTTTTTTTATTTTATCATTCAAGCGCGTTCGCGTAGCGGAGATTAAATAGTTTATTGCGTGTCTTTTTTGTATTTTTTACTTTTTTTTTTTTTTTAAAAAGTATACAAAAAAAAAGCGCGCTGCAAGATTCTTAAACTTTATTTTTTTTTGTATACTTTTTTTTTTTTTTTTTTTTTTTTATTTAAAATTAGGTAACCATAATAATAAAATTATGAACAAGGGATAATAAATTTGGTAAAGGACGGACAATTAATCCAAAGGTATGAGTTTATCAATTAGTTGGATTTGTGGCGCCATAAGTAACTCTTGAAGGATCTTCAGCAGGAACTCTTTCATATTGAAGACCACCAGTTTCTATATCCTCCTGTGTTTCGTTATATTTATGGACGATATAAAAACCATGAATAATACCAGGAATGGCACCGAGAACACAAAGACAAATGTTAATGAGTAAATCTACACTACATCCCGTCTTGATGCCGACAGCAGCAGGAGGGAAGAAAAACGCAAGAATGAAAAGAATAATATCTCTACCAGAATAAGCAGACATTATAAGATAATATAGTTTCTTAAAAAAAAAAAAAAAAAAACTGAGAAAAAGAGTGGGAAAAAAGGGAGGGAATTTTTTTTTTATTCGTCCTCTTCTGATAAGATGTATTCTTCAGTTGGTAATCTCTTTTTTTTCCTCATAAATTCCCCACTGCTGAACAATTTTAATCGTCGCTTCTTTTCTCTTCGCATTGAACTAGCGCTACTAATATGATCATCCTGACTAGATTCTTGTTCTCTCTCTTCTTTTTGAGCTAATGCCTTTTGATATGTGGAAGAAGACAGTGAGAATAATCTGTCTAATTCTGTGAATTTTGGTTTTTTTCTGTCTTGTCGACTGGATAAATATCCATCAAATCCTCGAATAATATTGCCATTTTGTTGTGTGTCCTCCAAATAACTTCCTTCAAACAAATATATTGAATTCTCAAGATTAACCTAATCTCTCTTTTAGATTTCCCAAACTAACTACTTGCTTTAACTTTCTTACCAAGTTCAGGTCCACTCGCTTCTTTTTACTCAGTAATTTTTGGAGTTCCAGCTTCGACTCTTCATATTTTTGTCGTATCGCTTGAGCGGACTCTATTTGGGAAGCCTATAGAGTATGTTAAACTTCTATTTGCTAGTATTTTTTTAAAAGAAGGGGAACGAGCATACTGTCTTATTATCGTCTGCTTTAGTTGTTGTATTTGCTTCAGTCATTTTTTAACAACAAAAGAGAGAGGAGAGAATAATAATAAAATTGTCCACATGATGTTAATGTGACTGCCAGCACTCATCATGCACGACTATGTTTCAATCTTCTATAGGGTGGATCTCTTTTATACTGTCCACAAACGTATCTGATATGAAACGAAGAGAGGCCTGTATACAATAATACAATTTTTTTTCCAAATGAGTGTAATTATATCGCGTCATTTACTCAAAAAAAAAGAAAAGATGAATAGGACACGATACTCTTCAATCTTTGGGAATCTCATTCAACAAAAGGACAAACTCAAAACACACCAGCTACAGACACTACAAATAGGAAAAATTAGCAAAAAGATGCGTCGCCTGCAGGATTCGAACCTGCGCGCTCAAAGAGCAATAGCTTAGCAGGCTATCTCGTTAACCACTCCGACAAAGCGACTGTTGATATCTAAAAATTTTAGCACATTAATATATTCCCAAAATTAATATATAAATCACGTGATACTCACGTGCACACACGTGACTGTATCAGGCGCCCTGTATCACCTAACGGGTAAATCCTATCAACCACAAAGAGTTGGAAAAGCGAAATGTCGTCCCTATGTAGACGTGAAGCAATAAGTATACTATGGAGGTAGTTGTACAATTTTGACATGACAGATTTTTTAAATAGGGTTTTGTATTTTGAAAATGAGGTCATTCATGACAACTATGTTCTTGCGAATAATTAATTTTGACATAACGGATTAAATGAGGGGAAGTGCATTTATTACATTTACCAAGATACGTCCCTAGACACAACAGCATTAATTAAAAAAAAAAGAAGGAAACAATAGGGAGAATATGTCTATTGTAAAAGACGCTGAATTGTAACCATGAGATATTGGATGCATTACTTTACGTCATTCACATAATAATATGTCATAATAGCTCACCCTTAAGAAAAAGCTCATAAAAAAACGCGTAATAATGAGTCTTAGTGTTTTCCATAAAGTCTTTCTCCTTTTAACCCCTTTTTCTACAACTTGATTTTTCTTTTACTTATCAAAATGATTTTTAGTAAAAGGACAAACATACGAGTTTTATTGTCATGTCTAGTAATAAACGTTCTCCAACCTGTTGTAACTTCTACCCCATTACCATCATCAGACGAGGCCGTTAAACAACTACTATCATATGAAGTCAATATTGCGGAATATTTTGATAACAAAGCCTTTGGAGATAATGCCAACTTCGATGACGGCGGTGCTTTTTTTCCAGGTGCTATCGATACAAGACAAACGCAAAATTACGATAATATCAAAGCCGATGGCCAAAAGATTTCATTAAATTTCACCGAATTGGGTGCTCTTTACATGCTCGTATCTGCCAGCCATGGACCATATACAGATGAGGTTAGTGTCGTATACAAGGACGGTACAAAAACAACCACAGCGCTAAGCTTACCTGATTGGCAAGACATTTTTGTAAACCAGATGGATCGCTATCAGGCGATCCAGTTCCCAACAAGTATAGACGGACAACAGGGCGCGGTGTTTAGTGTCCCAGTTTTTATCGATCCTACAAAGGTACCTGACCACCTATTGCTACCAACAGCTCATGCTGGTAGTTACGAAACAATGCATGTGTTTTCTGTCACTGCATATCAGACTAGCACTACTATGATTACAAGTGTTCAGACAACAAATGAATGGGTTAGCCAGACAGACCAGATTCTACTGGTGAAGATCCAGAATACGAGCCCGATCTGGATAAAAGATGTAAAAATACAATTAGATCATCCTCACGTAAAGACCATAAAAAATGGCCTTATTGAAGCTGTTGCACCAGGTCATATCCAAACTACTCAGATTATTGTACAAAACTTGGAGCAAAAAAATGACGTTAATGTGACAATGACTATAATCCACGTAGAAAACGGAGTCCCAATCACTAACAACAGAATTGTACCTTTAATACTTGATGCATCTCCTGAACAATACCAAGCGGCTACAACGTACGAATCATACCAAAATGTTTGCAAAATTTAATATTTACATTGTGTTATTAATATGAAATTTTTTATTTAGATCTGTCCAAAAACATAGACCACCTACGTGGTTGAAACAATCGAAATTTGGTATATTCATCCATTGGGGATTATTCTCCGTTCCTTCATGGGCACCTGTAGGAAAAGCATATGCAGAGTGGTACTGGTGGCGTATGAATCATAAAGACGACGCAGCTTTTGATTATCATCGTCAAACATACGGAGAAGAATTTGAATACGACGAATTCTTAAAGGAATGGAAACCCACGCTGTTTGATCCACATGCTTGGCTAGATCTTATCGATAAATCAGGAGCAAAATACTATGTGTTTACAACAAAGCATCATGATGGAATTGCATTGTTTGATTCCAACGTAACGGAACGAACAAGTACGCACCTACTAAATCCTTCTCGTAATTTTGTACAAGAGCTATTAAGCGTTTCAGAAACAGCTTATCCACATCTAAAGCGTGGACTTTATTGTAAGTCATATTCTATAGGTTGATATTTTTACATACTACATATTGATGCGTTGATATTTTCTATAAGTCTCACTACCCGAATGGTACCACCCTAAATATAATGACGAGTCCCTCGGGTGGAAAGGTCCACCAAAAAACCCGTACACTGACGAGGTTGTCTCTTATACTGGAAGCAGGCTGATTGAAGATTTTGTAAATGAGCTTCAAGTACCCCAATTCCAAGAATTAGCAAATAATTACAATCCCGATATATTATGGTCAGTGGAATTTTTTTTCTAGTAAATATCTAAATATTAATTTTAGCGTTATTGCACTGTTTTAGGTGTGATATTGGAGGAATCAATAACTCTACAGTCTGGCAGTCCGATTATTTCAATAATGCCTTAAAGGACGGACGTCAAGTTTCAGTAAATGATAGATGCGGGGATGGTAGTGCATCTGATTTTACCACTATAGAATATAAAGCGGTGACAGATACGCCAACACGGTACGATTTAAAAAAGTGGAGGGTACTTTCTTTTGTATTTAACGGACTGACACGCATGATTTAGATTTTGGGAAGCTACTCGTGGTATGGATCCATTTTCATTTGGGTAAAAAGCATGAAAAAAAAAATTGAAATGACACCATATAATCGGCACAAGTTTTATTGACTAGAGCTTTTTACATAGTTACAATCGAGAAACCAAGCCAGAGGATTATGCTAGTACGCTTGATTTGATCAAGGATTTGGTAGATGCCGTATCTAAAGGAGGTAATTATCTTCTAAATATCGGACCTGAGGCATCAGGCTATATTCCCGAATCCATGTCACAGCGACTTTTGGAGATTGGACAATGGTTAAATCTTGTGAATGCAAGTATCTTTGATTCGGCCCCTTACTGGATTGCATCCAGTCAAGACAATCTACGTTTTACTGCTAATTTGAACGGAAAATCTATCTATGTATTTTCTTTTATGGCATTCGATGACGACATTTTAATCAAAACACCCGTGCCTGTTCAAGAGGGGTCGGTCATTTCACTAATGAACGAGCCTGGAGTAAAGATCAATTGGAATTATGATAGCGAACAAGGCGGCGTCCTGCTTAAATGGGATTCAATGAATGTGTCACTTATACCCGTATTTGAAATAACCACTCCTTCACTTGTATGATCTTTTTACTTAATAAGAAACTACAATTGTCACATTTTTTATCATAACTTGAATAAATTTTTTCTTCTCTTCAATTTTTAGGAAATGATAGTGGACCAATTTCCATGTAGGCTTGCAATCACTAAATTTTTTTTTGATCCAGTCACCACGCACAATTGTAACAAAAATCGTTAAGCCTGATACGAAAATGGATGATAATTACTGACAATTAAAAATCGCGTCATATTTTATTATTATGTGTCTTGCCATCATCAAATTAGGTATTTTAGTTTAATAGCCGTCATCACTGAGGTATTCCTGGGCATCGTCATCTTCATCAAATGCGTATTTAGCACGAGCATCACGCATCAAGCGCTCATCATCGGCCATATCATCAGAATCCATGTCTTCGTCATCTTCATCTTCTTCAACAACAGGTGCAGCATTAGCAGAATCTGCGGTCTCTTCTGTCGAATCGTCAGTTTTCTTTGCTTTAGGATCGGGAATATCTCCAGGTTCTTCCACCACCTCATATTCCGGTGCACTAGGCAAGGGAAGTGTGACATTATTGCCCATTCTTAAAATAGCATCTCTCTGCTTGATTTTAGCAATGGATTCAGCCGATTCAAACATATCGTCAAATACTGCTTGGTTGATTTTTTTCGATAGCTTTTTGCTTAGTAACAGTTGTTTTGCTGCTTCAGCAGGTGTGGAGGGTTGAGTAGTCTTCTTCTTTTTTATTCCTCTACCTCTTCTTGAATGACCCCCCCTATCTTTCTCTACTAATCGACGCACAGCCATTTCTTCTAAATATTCCTTGTTCGCATTATACCAGATTTTTGTTTTCAGTGCAACTTCATTTTCTGTTAAAATCATGGCATCGATCTCTTCATCATCTACCTCGGATAAGTTTCCATCATCCTCTTCCTCCTCCTCCTCCTCTTCCTCTTCATCCTCTGGTTTATTGATATTATGTCTTTGAGTTTCTACAAAAGCAAGTGTTAGTGTCACACTTTTTCTATATATTCATAAATATTTATTACCAATTTCAGTGGCTGCTTTATTGACAGAATCATCACCCAGCCAAGCTTCCATATCATCAGCAATAGCTTTAGCATCTTCTTGAAGTTCAGGGTTTAGCAGGTCATTAACTTCCTTGGCAACTTTGGCTTTTGCTAAGGCGGTCAACGCAGCTTTTTCGTCAGCGGGAAGTGACTCGTAATACGGATCTTTAATGGGTATATAATCGGACTGACTTTCATTTACGAGGGTCGAGCCTAGTTCTTCATTGTCATCGTCAACAAGTGTAGAGCTGAATTCATCTGAGGGTTGTGTAGGGTCCAAATGGGTGACTTGTGTACCGACCTGAGTTGATTCCATATCGTCTTCTTTGGGTTTCAGGGTTGCCTCAGCGGTTAAAGATGCATCTACCTCAGCAAGTTGTCTAATTTCATCGTTCAAAGAGTCTTCGATTTGCTTCTTAATCAGTTCTTCTTCTGTATCTTTTTCGGTCGGTGCGGTGCTCTTCTTTTTATTTAAATCAGCGGCTTTTGAGTCAGGTACGCAGTTATCAGCTGCTGTGATCCCAACTTGATTTCCTATAAATGGACCATCTACTTCATCATCGGACAAGGGTTCACCATCACTTTCATTTCCGTCTATTTCCATATCCGCTTCTTCGCCATCGATTATAGTATCCTCTGTCGCACGGTCTTTACCTTTTCGCTGCCTTTTGGATGGGGAGACATGCATGTTTCCTTTTCCTTTATCAACCGATGGCTGATTTTGTGTAGATTCATGAAGACAGCCACTGGCTTTTCGTTTACCTAATGTTGTTACATTGTCTTCTTCTACCTTTACATCATCTTTTGACGGTGGCGTACTGGAATCAGTCAAATCTGGGCTTTCACTGGAATTTTCCTCGTTTTCATGCACTTTTCGGTTCTTTTGAAAGGAAGGCGGATCTGCACGTTTCTCTAGCCAAATTGTTCTAAAATCGCGTACTGATAATTGAGCGGATTCTGTTTGATTGAATTCGTGCAATCTCTTTTGGATGGTAATATCAGCAACTTTAACCACATAAATCATTTCACGCGTTGTTCTACGAAAGCCGTTCATACGAGCTGCAATAAGTAAACAAGCACCACAGATACCAGCAGGACGACGACCACTAGTAATCCAATCACGATCCATACGTTGTGCAATACGTACAGCATCTTGGGCGACACGTTGGGTATAATCACCGAAATCTAAAGCTACTGCAAATCTTGAGATATAGAGAGAGGGGTCAACATGAGGCAAGGTCAAGTTTAAGATTCTGCATAGTTTTAAAAAGGTGGCACCTAATTTGAACACATTGACCTGGAGAATATCTGAGAAATCGATCAACATGTGCGAGCTCTTTTCTGTTCTACAGACAGCATATAAACAAACGGCTGCAACATGGTCACTGCGACGACCACGGGTAAATCGATTGACAACTGCCAAATTATAATATCGTTGAGCTGCATCTCGATAACGTTCTGGTAAATGAACGGCATGGGCTAAACTGGAAATTCTAACACGACCTATACTTGTCAATTAGTTTTTTTTTAATACATTCTCCTGTAATTATGTTTTTTTGTGTGTACCATTTTCGATAGCTTGCTCTTGACCTTCTCGACCGCGGCTTCTACCAAACAACCCACCACCTGAAATTCGACCTGTAAGGAAAGAATAGTTACGGTTACTGAAAACAAAAAACAGCAATTTTCGTTGATATTTACCTGATTCGCCTGCATAAGAACCTTGGAGAACAGCTTTACCACCAGCGGTTTCACCAAATGAAACCTCGGATACGATTTGATTTTCTTCAAGTACCTGTTTATATGGTCAACCTCTTGCATGCAAGAATATATAAATAACTTTATTACTTACTGTACCACAGTTTACACAGTAACTTGTTCCAGAAGAAGCATCGGATTCTGTTTTATCTGATCCACAATTATGACAACGCATGTTCCTTTTTTTGTTATGTACCCAACTTGAATGAGTAAAAAAAAAAAAAAAAAAAAAAAATCTTAAAAAGGACCCCCCACAGTAAATTCATTGAAAACGTGACTTTGTTTTTTTATGCATCTCCTTTTTAAAGGAGCGATATCTGACAGTTGGGCCTTATACCCATAGGTGGGGACTATTTTTTAAAAATGATTTAATTCTTTTTTTTTTGGGTGCCTTGTGGCACCCAAAAAAAAATCTGTATTTGTTCGAATTGTACTCTTTAGAAGTCATTACAATAAAATTATTTAAAGCAAAGGTCTTAATGTTTGATGATGGGTTTCGCATTAAATTTATTGTTTCATTGAAACTGACAAACTGATATTTTGTATCTCCCAGAACAGTTGTCTTTTAGGCATATGCCACATCTATTGACGCAGTACTTGGATCTTGATCGACCACTGCAAGAAGATGAGTCTTTACAAACAAAGCAAATCCTGTTTGATCTTTTTAGTTTTTTAGTGACAGGATTTGCGGTTGTTGGGCTGATGGATGGCGGGGGTACAAGAGGCAAGAGCAGAGGAGATAAACTCGGTGTTGAAACGAGCAAACATTTAGGAGCCAATGGAGCTGGTCCTAGCACCTGATTTTTCTGTTTTACCAGTTGGTTAGTTAGTCTTCCGGATACAACGACTTGCAAGTTTCCGTAATGGTTAACTGGCCTGGGTTGCCTCAACATAGCTACAGATTCAGGCATTCTTTCTGGTCGTCCCAAAACGCTTCTAATACTTTGGCAGATGTTTTGATTGAGCGCAATTGAGTCATTAAAAACACTGGCCTCAGTTCGTTTGTTGAAGTAAATTTTGATGTGCTCTGGCGTCTTATAGTAAATCTCCTTACCATCAGCAAATGCAGACCAAATTTTTGCAAACATCTCGAAGTCTGGAGTAGCACTATCTCTATTAAAAAAAGCTCCTTCTTTTTGTCAATCAGTAACTTTTTATACAATAATACTTCTTCTTTGGTATGAATTGGTACTACTGCATATAGTGTATGTTGTCTTTCTGCTAAGTAGCGGTACAAAAAGTTGCGAGCCGAATAACCTTCTTTTCCAAAATTTATGATTGGCAAAAAACTCATCTCGAGCATCTTGGTTTTTATCGCATTGGTAGAACTTCGTTGCTGAGATAACTCATTCCTCTCACCTGACTGCATGTTGTAAGCATCAATAAACGGATGTTCAAGTGCTATTAAGCCAAAAGTTTCCACGTATTGTCCTACAAAATCGGCGGGCAGTTTTTCGATATGATGTAACGAGTAATTCTTAACGGGACGGTGGCCAACATCCAATCTCATCATATTTATGCATTGGGTAATCCATGGACTATAATGACTTTTATGAATCACACCTTCTCGATTTCTCGCACCAGCCTAAACACAAATAAATTAAAAAAATTGGTTTACATCTATCAATTAAAGTACCTCGATGTTATGATATAGTCGAAAGTCTGCAAGAACTGAATCGGCAAGACGAGGACCAGAGTTGATGGACGAGAATTTCCGTATGATGTTTTGATGGTATCCTTCTACGGAACTAGTACCTCTGAAGCATGAATATTTCATTAAGCCATTATTATCTTTACCGATTTCTCTGTACAATGGCGGGCCATCAATGAGATCAGAAACATGACCCAACTCAATGGATCTTAAAATATTTTTGGATATTCTCATAGATTCCTTATCGAAGAGCGGGAATCCTGTCTTGGCACATGGTAAAGGCCCATACTGATCAAAGAGAAGTTTAACAACAGGTAGTAGTTGATTTGGTGGAGGAATGCTTCTTTTGACTCGCTTTAGAATAAATTCTGGATGACTTGCCATGTATGCATTAAAATCAGTGTTGATAGTTTCCAAATACCTTTCGACATTTTTTTTGTCTACTGGATCGTAAACAAATAAAGCATCTCTAAAACGTTGGTAAAACTCTCTATACATACCATGCTTTTGAGATAATGGCAGCATATCCATCAAGTGGAATGCATCTTTCAAAACCCGAGACGGTACTGACGATTGGCCTGCAGAAGTTTCGTTGACTGGAGTGGGCAGGGATATCAAGTGAGTTGCTGCATTTTTGGAGGTTGATAACTGGAGCTTCGAAGCAGTTCGTAACAAATTCCAATCCACAAAAACATGAAATGGGGTTGACCCAAAATCTTGCAAACATACTGGCATAGCTTGGTGAGACGTAGACATACTTTGTTGATTCAGTTCATAATTTGGAACTATTGTACCCGGTATCTTGACTTGCACAATTTTGACCAGAGCTTGTAGACTCTCATCTACAACAGTTCTATTCTTTTCAAGATATGTCTTTATTGCAGGATGAAGTACTCTTAAATCATGTGGCAAATCCTCTAAATATCCAAACGCACATGGAAAGACCTTGCATGAATTTGTATACAGCGAAACAAGCGTGTTTTTTGCTGTTGATGGGCTGACCTTTTTATGCACTATAGGAAAATCAATTAAGCTCTCAAAAATAGCCATGCTTACATAGGCATCCAATGCGGCATACTTGATTTGATCTTGTGTAAGTTGATCAGCATTCCAGTTTCCACACCTGATATCAGTTGGTTTAGGCAATGATGCCTTTAAAACTACAGCACAAATTTTGGCCAAAGAGAAAGACCTTTTTTCTATGACTCCTTTTTCCTTGCAAAATGTACCCAGCTCAATCATACCTTCAGGGTTTATCTGATATCCTTTCCTTAAACGTATGAAGTCCCCAGAAACATTTTTTCCAATCTTTTTCACATCACCACACTCCAAAAGATGTTGTAATTTTTTAGGAAAGTCATCCACCGTGAATTCAAACGTACGAAAAAGATAAATTTGTTCCTTGTAGCAAATTTGGATTAGAGATACTTCATTTAAAGAGGCTTGGGCTCCTCTTGATCTGGAATTAAAATCTCCATGGTTTCGTGCTATCCATTCACAGTCAAAACCAACGTATAAACAATTATTTGTTTCTAGGCCATCCAAAATGTTTTGACATGCGTTATCAATGTCTTCTGGAACGGAGAATATGGATATATTCAGGGTATCCGGAAGTGTCAAAACGGGTAAGTCTGAGTTGTGTTCTGGAGTTGAGGTTTCTTCATTGTTTGCTGGCTTTTGAATACTGGTCTTACGAACATTATCTAACAGGCTTGGTAGTACACCTTCCAAAAAAGCTCGGTCACTGTTTACATTGTCCGTGTAAAAAAGCGAAGGTAATTGATAGCCGTTAAGAGTGTAAGATTTTACAAGGGCATTAAAAGGCGAAGCAAGATGAGAAAGTGCCTTAGAAGGAGCCAAAACCTGCATTCTTATTTCTTCGTATTCGTTTAAACAAGTATACAAAGCTGTGAAGGTTGGTTCTCCTTTTAGTTTCCCCATATGGCCTGTGACTTTGAATGAATGGTCGCCTTTAAGGATGCTACCATTTAAGGACATCATATGCCAATCCAATTGCGGCCGTATTTTCTCGATTATCGACGTGTATATATAGCTCAAATAGCCTGGAGAAGGAACATAGCCATTATACAATCTTTTGTCAGAGAATTCAGAGAACTCTGGAAACTGGATTTTTTCAGCGTTACCCCTCGTCAAGAGTGAATCTATGCCAGGGTTTTTTTTCATATTACAGGCTGCGTCGTAATACTGTAACTCGAGACCAGCATGGTGTTCCGCATGCATTTCTCTCAAAATCTTTGAAAGTCGCACGGGACCTACAGAGTTTTGGAATAATGGACGCATTAGTTTAACCAAATCTTTTGAAATTCCAGATTTGTGTGTTAAAAGAGCTGGAAAGTCAGATTGAATTCGGAACGGGAGCTGTCTGATTATTCCGGAATCAAACCCATTGAAATGATGCTGCTTGATCGAATTTTTACACCTGTAACGTCGTGTCATAATGTAGAAGCAGCTATAAAAAGTGCATTAGTTCTCCAAAGTTACGCATAAATATCTAATAATCTTTGGCCGTTGAACAAAGACAACAAGGCATATAATTACATACTCTTTTAAATCAATTATTCTTCTTGCTTTAGTTTTTTTATTAAATCCTTTAGATTCAATATCAGATCCACAGGAGGGACACACCAGATTGTCATGCAAGTGATCGGGTAACCAAATAAATGTTCTGGGGTGATACAACTCTGATGGATCTACACTGTTTGCCAAAGCAAATGAGGGGCTTCGTGTTTGTGTCCAAAAAGTTCCTCTTTTATACTCATCAGGAAGGTGACTTTTGTTTTTGTTATTCTCTCCCAATCTTTGTTGAAGATTATCGTGAAATTTGGAGACTTCACTATCAGAGGGCAGTGAAGACGCAAATTCGTCAATTTCGTTGAATGTTCCCTCATCTAATTCTTCGAATGTTTCGCCATCAGAATCTTCTTCAAATTCTTCTTCGGCTTCCTCCGTGTTTACGGGAATAGCATTGTCTTTAATACCAGTTGTATCAAACTGGGGCTTAAAATTGAGTATGTTAACAATATATTTGAGAGCATAATATCTGTATGATTCATACCTGTTCGGTGCTTGTAGATGATTCAGGTTGTACGACTTCGTCTGAAGACTTAGCAAAAAAATTTGACAAGGTGGATTGGTTATCGATCTGTTTACGTTTACGACCAGCATTGTGTCCATTTTTATTTATTTGTCCATTTGGGCGCCCCCTTTTAATATTAGTGGCAATTCCAGTAATGTTTTGAGAATTATTACTATTATTTGACATATTCAATTATAATGTATGGTAAACAATAAAAAAGAATATTATTGTGTTCAGTTCCAGCTCATAACTTATCTGATTCTCATTGCATTTGAACCCATATCATTGTGACACCCAAATGGCCGTTGTCGTGGGTCCTTTCCTTCTTTCATATGAACAAGAAACAGTTCAAATATATACTTAAATTATAAACCACATCAGACATTTAAGCTTACTTGAAGTAGCGTATGTGGTTTATCAATTCAGACGCTTATTGCACAATGTGTATTTGACAGATATATGATTACTGCAGGGCTAATCCTCTATACTTGGAAGCCGCTTACGCTATTTGAAGGCCGCTTACGCTATTTCAAACAAAATTATTGGCTCCTTAAAGCATTTGGATAACCGCTTACACTATTTGAAGCAATTCTATAGGCTAGTTTTTAAAAAAATTAAGTTTTTATTGGCTCTCCAGTCCCCTCCCACAAGCATAAGGCCGACAGTTGGGCTAGTTGTTAATGCGGTATGCTCTAATTAGCGAATTATACTTTAAGCCTTGTAAGATGCTAATCATTATAGCTAGCTTCAATTCGATGAAAATCATACTTTCTTGAACAATGACTGAAACCAAACACGCATTGTCCTTCCATTCAAACTTCTGAAGGCTTTACCCGGGCACACGTATGAGAATTTTTATTGAATATTGGATGAGGTCTTTAAGTGGGTAGCAGTGAATTAGTTGATCAAATAAATAAAGACAAAGAGCTTAAAAAAATTGAACTTAATGCATCTAAAAAGCTAAAAAAAAAATAGGTTAATATTTTCAACTATCGATAAAGTTTCTAATATATAAGACAAGTCAGGCATATCCACTAGTCGGGGAAAGTTATGACGTATAGACACCGCTGGAAGCAAGCCTACACAGGGAAGTTGAACAGGGAGAATACTTATACAAGCAATGAAGCTTCGACATACACAAAAGCCCTTCTCTAACGGGCATAGAAAAAAGATATTGAAAGCCAATCAATGCTGGAAAGTGAAGTTAGAATATTGACAGTGTCTGACATTTTTTTAAAAAAAAACGATTTTCTAACCTTTCCTCAGGGACAGCCAAAGTGCACATAGTCACAAGGTAAAATCTGTGAGCTGGCTATCTTTTAGACTTGGAAACAAGAATATATCATCAAAAACAATATAAAAATTACTTGGTTTGACAATTCTACCATCACTCCTTCGCCTTTAAGCTCGTTTGATCTTAATCTTACGCCGAAATATTGAGGTAAAATCCAAGCGGATAGCTGAAAGTAAGCTATAGCACACATATACTAGTTTTAACTATGTTGGTTGTGTAAATTTGTATCTAGTTCAAGTTATTAAGCTATATCGACCTCTTAATGTCCATTAAAATAGCATAATACCAATATTACGACTACGCACCCTGGCTGTCCCTAAAAGACCCGTTGATTGATCCTTCCTCAAGACGTTTGGTTGCTGCATCCCCGTCGTAGCACTTCCCAGATTACGATGCGCCATACTCAACGACTTCATTATGGCCACAGGACTCTTTGGCAAAAATCCTGTCGCACTTGCTGCCTATCTTCTTTCTTTCCAATGGTTCTGTATATCGGGCCGATATCATTATTCATACAGAAGTTGTATAAATGGATCAAGCCCGCAAGGATATTTAAACCAACAGTACCTAAAAGGTCAAAGCGCATAAATGAATAAATAACAGTGGTCACGCAGTACAGCTGAATCCCGAAACCCAGTTGCCTAGTGTCGACCCGAACATTAAGACAATTGACATATACCACCAATTGACCTGTCTTTGTTTTTTCTTTTGCTAGAACAGCTGCTAACTGTCTCATCCCTAGTATTTCAGCAAAATAAATATCAGAAAAAGTAAAATGTCATGATTACAAAAGATTGCCGTAGAACACTGATATTATCTGCATCGTTGAATGCTGATCAATGAAATGCCAAACGTGTGACATATACCATTCTTCGCTCTGATGCTTTTTCAAGGCCCCAACCTCATACTCCCTAAGCAGTTGGTATACCAAAAATTGTACCCAATCATAGTCGTGGGATATAGTATGGTTGTATTCTTCATCAAAAGACTGTGGGGGTAAACAACTGTTGTCTTATATCCTTGTCATTATTTTTGTTGAAGCTAGTAATATAATTTCGGAGGGGTACTGGCATAGACGGTGGACCTTTTTCATGGTGAGTTTGGATTTGTTTTAGCCCATCAAGTGTAAATATATCGTATTTGGCATAATGGGTATCACTTGGATCCAAAATGAATGAATGCGCAAAACCTGGGAGGTCATATAGTGAAGACTAAGCTCAGCCATAATATTGAAAAAATTGGAATATATCTTTCATTCTTTTTAGAAAAGGAGGTGATATTAAAAAAAAACCAAAAGTAATTATTAACTAACCTTTTCACAATATTTGTTATTCTTTTATTAATACAAAAAAAAAAAAAAAGCAAAAAGGAAGAAAAGAGGGTTATTTATAAACTGATAAATAAGAGCTGAATTATGTTAGGATGATTTGATTGCTTATTTAACCGCCCCTAATGTTTGAGCCTTTACTTATAATGGAAACACCTGCATAGAATCCCAGATTTGCATACACGAAAAAAATCTGGTAGTTGTCCATCAGTGTTTCAGAAGTAGTATGAACAGATTAATTTCAGCCATCTGCCCAAGTTGGTCCCATTATCCTGGGTAATTTGGCATTACACGTATGTCTGAAATAATTCAAAAGTTAGGCAGAGTTTTCAAAATCTGATTAATTGTGGATGAAAGCAAGTGGCACGAGGACTCATAAATAGAAGATTTGTGGCGTTCTAGTGGCGTGTTAACCCAGTCTCGATCAAGCTTCCTTTGCATTGTGTTAAGACTGCTTTTGGTTATTTTTTTTCTATTTTTCATTCCTTCTTAATGACGCATGCCATGAATTCAGAAGCAAAACCATTTGGGTTTCCTTTTGAACCGTACCATATACAGAAGGATTTTATGGAAGAGCTGTACAATGTCTTAGAACATGGAAAAGTTGGCATATTTGAAAGCCCCACAGGCACAGTAAGAAATACTGAGGTTGTCTATTCAATGTATATCCCTCAACCTTTGAAAAACTATTAGGGTAAATCTCTCAGTTTAATCTGTGGTTCTTTGAAATGGTTAAATGATCATGACAAAAAAGACCCTGAGCCCAATGAGCCTGTTGTCAAAGTCAAAGGTACATATGCAGCTTTCAATTTTAAGCCACGTCAAAATAACTGATTTAGACTAGATAATCAACCCGATTGGATCACTGCATTGCAAACGAAATCACAGGACCATAAGAAGAGGGAAGAGCTCGAGGAAAGAAGAAGAGAGCTGAAAAATAGAATTGATCGTGTACGCAATGAAACTTTTACCATTGAAGTCGTTGAAAAAGCAAATAAGAAGAGAACCTTGCCGAAAAAGGGCGAGGAGAATGACGAAGAGTTCTTGATCGGCGATTATGATAGTGACGAAGAGAATGGAGCTAGTACAACAGTTAACAAAAGCGATGCCACATCAAACCTTTCCAAGGAAGTTCAAGCCTTATTAGCAAAGTATAAAAACAGCATTTTTGTTATGTCTAGATAGCATATTCACATAAGTTTTTGTAACAGGTTTGAGACAAAAAAGAAATTATCCAGTTACGAAGAGGAAGATGAACCAGATATGGAAGAAACAAAGATTTATTATGCTTCGCGAACACATTCACAATTGACCCAATTTGTACACGAAGTCAGCAAGACAATGTATGCAGAGAATACATACGAAGTATCATTGGCATCCAGAAAAAATATGTGTATCAATCCAGATGTCAAGAAATTGGGAAATGTAAATAAAATCAATGAAGCGTGTTTGGATCTTCAAAAAAGCGGATCAAAAAAAGGTCCTTGCAAATTCTTACCACCAGCAGATAATGTCACAAAGTGGAATCATTTCAGGGATCATGCCTTGGCTAAAGTACGTGATATTGAGGATTTGGTAACAGTGGGCGAGAAGCTTTCGACATGCCCTTATTATGGATCCAGAAATACAGCCAAATCTGCAAGAGTAAGTGATCATATTACGGTGTTACCCAGTACGTGAATGTACTCACGTTATATAAATTTTTTAGCTTATTGTTTTACCTTATCAACATTTATTGCATGCCAGTACAAGAGAATCTCTCGGAATATCCTTAAAAAACAACGTTGTCATTATCGATGAGGCCCATAATTTGATGGAAACCATGACTTCTCTTTACACAGTATCACTCACATTACAACAAATTCAGCTGGCCTGGAATCAACTCAACCTGTACATTCAAAAATATAAATCCAGATTGCTTGGAAAAAACGTCGTCTACATCAAGCAAATTTTGAGTATCATCAAAACTCTCATAAAACATTTACAGCCAACAGACGCATCGAAAAAAAAGGATAGTGTCATGGGTGTTAACGAATTCTTACATGTCTCTGCCATCGATCATATCAATATGTTTAAAATAAAAACATATTTAGATGTCAGTTGTCTTTCGAGAAAATTGAACGGTTTTGTCGAAAAAGCAAAAGAGAAGGAAGAAGAGGAAAGGCAGAAAGAACGGCTACTTAACCCAAATGCACCTATCTCCCCTCCTTCTCCATCACTCACTACTTCCACTTTGACATTAACCCAAATCGAATCTTTTTTATTGGCATTAACAAACCCTGATAAAGATGGAAGAATCGTTACGAGTTTTGGAACACCAGAAAATCCTGGAGTCACTATCAAATATATGCTTTTAAACCCTGCAGATGCTTTCAAACCCATTGTCGATGAAGCCAAAAGCGTCATTTTAGCTGGTGGTACCATGGAACCCGTAAGTTGCCTACAATCCAAATTATTGCAAACACACATCGATATATAAATCATGCCCTATATAGATTTCAGATTTCTTTCATCATTTATTTCCTTCGGTTCCCAAAGAGAGAGTTTCGCATTTTTCATGTGGACATATTATACCACCCAAAAACCTGTCTACAATTACATTACAGGAGGGTCCATCGGGAAAATCACTCATGTTCAACTATGAAAGTAGACAGGATGTAAAGCTAGTAAGTTTATAACTGTTTATTTTATACATAGACACGTTAACTATTTAAACATAGATGGATGAAGTGGGTCAAACCATCGCTAATTTATGTAATGTGATACCGGATGGTATAGTCTGCTTCTTTCCTAGTTTCACCTATCTTGACCAGGTTTATAAAAGATGGTGCTCAACAGGACCCAACAGCATTTTGGACCGAATTCAAAAAAGAAAAAAAGTATTCAAGGAGCCGAGAGAGAGCAACATGGTGGAGGCAACATTACGTGATTATTCTTTACAGATTGATTCCCCTGATAAAAATATGGGCGCGCTGTTACTTTGCGTTGTCAACGGTAAAATGTCAGAAGGTATCAATTTCTCGGACAGACTTGGAAGGTAAATATAAATACATATAGGGTGATATTATCAGTAAAATCATCACTCAACATCCAAATAGAGGTGTCATCATGATCGGGCTACCTTTTGCTAATAGAGGTTCTGTCGAGTTGATTGAAAAGATGAATTACGCTCAAAAATTTTCGGTAAGAAACACAACGGGCACATGCAATTTTATTTTAACATTTTACCTTTATAGAATGACGGAACGTTGAATGCAGGCACAGAGTACTACGAAAATCTTTGTATGCGCGGTGTCAACCAATCCATCGGAAGAGCCATTCGTCATCGAGGAGATTATGCTACCATCGTCTTACTCGATAAAAGATACGCTACGCCTCGTATTGGAAAAAAACTGCCTAAATGGATTGGCGATCATGTTGAAAACTGTGATAAGTTCGGCAAAGTTATGGGACGAACTTCCAAATTTTTTCGAGAAAAACAATAGTGAAAACAATGTTTACAGAGACAGGTATGCGGTGTTGTATCTTTTAAGAACCATTCTTTTCACCCTCATGTTTGATCCCATACGAAAGCCCCTAAGAACCCTTACCCTTCTTTGTTACATCATCCAAATAAATCGTATGGGAATTGCTTCTTGACAGCGCTTTTTAAACTTGTTTAACCTTTCTAGTATATTGACTTACTAAATTTTTGATTAATAAATTCAAAAGTAACTTGAGAAAGTCTGATCTTATATCTAAAAAGGTATCTGAGATGTACAGTGCTTAAGTAACTGTATCGTGCTCTACGGATATCTGTGTATAAATACAGAAAATTTAATTTGTTTAAGGACCATATGTCAGATTTATTCATTTAAAATTACTAATAATGGAATGTAACGACTAAAACGAATGCTTACGATTTTTTCTTTGCAAGCGTTTTTAGTTTTTAGAAGCCATCAATCTGTTTTTTTGCTCTTCTGTCAGAGAAACAGTTCGGCTATTTACGAAATCAATGTCAGGGAGTGGTCTGCCTTCAGTGCAGTAAACCATAAATTGGCACATAATACATCCGCCTATACGAGCGTGCTCCGGATTAAACTTGTTATGATACTTGACAATTTTTACTAACCACATTGGCATACGGCTAAACATAAGTTCACGATCATACACGCTTTTCCCACCCAATAAAACTCTGTAGTTTCGTACATGTACAGAGTGAGTATTGGGAATACCGCCGCACATAAGCAAATGTCCAATTTCGCTAAGCATTTTGTATTGTATGTTTCCTTCATGGGTGAAGTTGTCCGATATATAACACGCAAGAGCTTCACGAGCAGGAATTTTATGTAACACCTTCTCCTCATATTTATTGTATTCATTTATTGATAAACACGCCCTAGCAATACACATATTAAAAAAAGATTTTGCAATCTCTATCTTGGGAGGATGATGCTTTATTTTCTTTAGCATATTACTTATCGAGCTTTCGCTATTACGCCTTGACGATATTTCAAGGGACTTCATTTGATCAATAAGAGGAGGGCATTTCTTTTGAATAATAGCACGTTCATTGGATGGGTCAAGTGGTATAAAAGGCACAGTCATGGTTGAGAAAGGAAGCTTTTTAAAAGAAAAAAGGACAGATACTCTAAAATAAATGGGCGCTCATTTATCACAAACAACAGGATTTTTTATTGGTTTTGCCAACGCCTACAGGTAAACAGACATACATAACAGCGCAGGTGCTTTTTCACATCTTAACTTTATTAATCAAAGTAACAGTTTCAGCTATTGATTGTCCTGTATTTGAATCATCTTCTAATTATGACAACTTAGTACGCAAAAAACTGGGAACAGCAAGTACTCCTTTAAAACGACAGAATTGTAAATGACGCCATATAAGCTTCCTTTAGACCAATTGCAATTAAAAAAGCCTAGATATGCACCTTAAATTTAGACAGACAGCTGAAAAGAATAGTTTTGATTTGTTTGCAAAACTAAGATGCACACAGTATTCTTCGGAAGTACGAATAACCATATCGACAGGAACGTCCTACACATACTTTTTATTATCAATGACACGATTACTTTAGCCCTTTACAACATCTGAAGTACAGAGAAAAAAGTTGTATGGATAACTAATAACACGAATATGTTCTATACTCCAGCAACATTGTTCAATTTTGTATATGTATAAATTTAACTTTATGATTTATTAACAAGTGTGTCTTACGCAAATTAGATAAGCACCCCATCCCCTCAAAAGAAGAAATCGAAAAAACATCAATACATTCTCTAAATGCATAGCATTAGAAAATAATAACTATTTATTTTTTAAACTTTTCACATGAAAACATATCGTTAAATATAACCATACTTATTAAGCAATATGATGATATCCGAAGTTCCTTTTATAACATGTATCCGTTTAATAATCATCCAAAATGTGTTTCTCTTCTGCTGTAAGACAAGTAGTTTTCCAATTTAAAAAGTCAATGTTTGGCAAATAAATATTCTTTTCACATCGAATTCTGAAGTTGTTCATAACATATCCACAGATCTTGCTATTGTCCATATTAAAAACTCGAAGTTTGTCTTGAAGAATAGTTTTTTGCTGATCTGATAAATCACTATGTTCGATGTCAGAGTCAAAGATACTGCCTGCCTTCAACTTCTCGCGGTACGCTGATATAAAGTCACAATAAGAGTCTGGTAGGTAACATAAAAGGATGTTACCAATAAGATTCATAATGTTAAAGTTGATAACCCCATGGCGTGAGAAGTTTTTATTCAAGTAATCGTCCAGTATCTCATTTTTGCCGACCTTCTCAGATTTATAAGCCATCAACACATCTCTCTTTGTACAAGCTGCCACAACACACAACTTAAAGAACGCATCACTTATCTCAGCTTGAGGAGGTGCTTCTTTAATCTTGTAAACCATAGCCACAGGAAGAGTTGCGAACATGGGTTTTTTGCTGTGCACAGAAGAGCTCTCTTGTGAAAGGTAGGCAGGGTTTGTCAATTTTGCAGAATCTTCTTTGTCATTTGTTTTGTATTTTTTGATTACTCCTGACTCTAAGAGCTCACAATTGATCAAAGTGTCTTTGTTATCTTCAAACCATGTTTTTGCTTTTCCTCCCAAGTGAAAAGCCAGCATATCATATTTTCTGTTCTCTTCCCATCCGCTTGTTTGGCTTAAACAATGAAATTCATCAAGCCACTTTTCGACATCATCACCGGTCTCACCCATAAATGCAGCCATGAATCTTTTGTCTGAATTACTCGAGCTCATTTTTGATAGTTTTCGATAATTTCTAACAACAATAGATATATATATATTAAAAAAAAAAAAAAAAAAGAAAAAAAAAAAAAGAGAGAATGGATAAAATGAAATGCGCAAAATTAGATTTCATAGCTAAATTTATTTCAAACTTGAATTAATCAGGTATCCCATCCAACTTTGTGTCGAAATATAATGCTGATAAATTACTCATGTTGTCAATTTAAGACTACCTCCGTTACTAACAGTAGCTTTTTACAAGCGGTCAAGCTACATCACCGAGTCAATACCTTACCATTTTCTCATCCCGATTATTAAAAGTTTTAAGGGTTATTAAATTTTGAAGATAGCTACTGTTTGTAAAACCACACTCTATTTAGAAAAACCGGTCTTTTATTTTGTGACATATTGCAGCTTTTACAGTCCCCAAACTTTTTATCACGTAAAGAGCTCCACTTGAGAACATCTCTTACCGATATTCGATAAGAGACAAAATATACAGTCGCGTACATACTAATAAGGTTTATGCACTGGAGCTCTGTAGATACTTTTTACAGAAAACCATCGCAGGAGATATCAGACCACCTGACGATTCTGTCTATATCTTTTTATCCAGACAGAAAAGGCAAAAAAGAACGTAATATAAAAATTAAATTTGGTAATTTTATGCGCGCGTTTTTAGGTCCGTCTCTGAACTCCATCATTGTATTCATTGTCCTTGGCTTGCAATGGATAGTAAACCATACTGCGAGGCATTTTATCACAACAAGAGAGATTTGAAATAACGTTAACCAATACATAAAAGGTATTTGCCAAAAGCTTCAATGTATTGTCAAACTGTTAAATCGCACAGTGGCTTGTATCAACCACGGCATTGTGGAAACGTCGCACGCCTATCAATTCGGGTATACAAATACGTAATATTATTACATTTTAAGCCAACCGGGAGAAAATTTATTAAATCCCGATAAGAGTCAAACATATACATATAAGAACGCGTAAAAGAGAGATACTTCGTTTTCCAAAAACTTTTTAGTTCAATTTCATAAAATGTCTAGTTCTACCAACACCAAGGAAACCCCAAAAATGCAATATGTACGTTTTGGTAACACAGGCTTGAAGGTAACAATCCAGTAGCAGCAACGAAAAAAAAAAAATTACACACACCTAAAAAAATTGTACAGGTTTCCAGAATTTGTCTCGGTTGTATGTCCTACGGTAGCTCAAAATGGAGTCCTTGGGTGAAGGACGAAGCTGAATCAATCGAAGCTATTAAAGTAGCCTACAATGCTGGTATCAACTTTTTCGATACTGCTAATACGTATTCAAACGGTCAAAGCGAGATTGTTCTTGGAAAGGCCTTAAGAGAGTTGAATGCTCTCAGAGGTCGTGTTGTCATTGCTACAAAAGTTTACGCGCCTGTGTATCCTAAAGTAGAACAGTATGGTATTCGTGACGTGGATCAGAACCCTGAACTGATCAACGGCTATGGTCTCTCTCGTAAGCATATCTTTGATGCCGTAGATGCCTCTTTAAAGCGACTTGGTGTTGAGTATATTGATCTCTATCAAATTCATCGTTTAGATACTGTAAGAAAAAGAAAATACATGTAAATAACTTTAGCAAGAGCTGGATGTCTAATTTCTCAAAATTTTAGGAAACCCCCATGGAAGAAATAATGGAGGCCTTGAATGACTTGGTTCGCTCTGGAAAAGTTAGATACATTGGATCCAGTGGCATGTGCGCATGGCAGTTTCAAAAGTTAAACTCTATTGCCGAACGCAGAGGATGGACAACATTTGTATCGATGCAAAACTTGTATAACCTTCTCTATCGCGAAGAAGAGAGAGAAATGATCCCCTATTGTGTTGATGCTGGTATCGCAGGAATCCCATACTCCCCATTGGCTACTGGCCAAATTACCGGCAAGAACAGAGACACCGCTCGATCAAAAACTAATTTCCAAATGACCACTTTATATCCTGTTGCCAAGCAAGATAGTAATGAAATTATCATTGATCGTGTCGAAGAGCTCGCCAAGAAGTATGGTGCTTCCAATGCACAAATTGCTTTAGCATGGCACTACACAAAGCCCTATGTTGTATCTCCTATTGTTGGTGTCTCTAAAGTCGAACAACTTTATGATTTGATCGGTGCAATGGACATTAAGTTAACAAAGGAAGATGCCGACTACCTGGAAGAACCTTATACACCAAGACCTGTTTCTCTCCTTGCTCAATTTAATCAAAAATAAAAAAATTCGTTGTATTGTTCTACCACTTGAAGTCTTCTTTTCCAAAGGAGAAATGATACTATTTTACATGATTTAGTTGGTTCCAAATATGCTTTTGTAATTAACATGACAGTTTCTGTTTTGTTATTGTGTTTTCACCAGGCATGATTATTGATTTTAAAATTGTACAGTGTGATGACTACTGACGATGCCTTTTACGTAGTGTGCAATTTCGAGGAAAACAATTTTCATCTCATCGTGAAGTGCCGTAAAAAAAAAAGCACAAAGCTTGTGCATCTAACTAAAAATATTTAACTGATCGCATAGACAATAAGATATGGACATGGATTATATCCGTATGTAAGCACACATCCCCCTTCCATGAGCAATAGGGGTCGATTATCCGAATGAATTAGGAAACAGTGTAGACATAACTTTCAACCTTGATTTATTTTAAAAGTGAAAAGATAAAAAGGTGTGTGGTGTATAGGTTCCAATATTTAGTTTTCATCTTCAACGACTTCAGTGTTAAGACCTAAGATGGGAACCAAAAACCAAAAGGAAAAAAAAAGAAAAGAAAAACATGATGTGTTTCATCAGTAACAATGTCGCTTCATAGATAGGAGGACCAAAAGATGAATTTTGGTATATTATTCTCCAACCTCTTGCGCTCACAAACTGCCGGAAAAAGAGGGTAACCCCCCTTCTACGCGGAAACAGCGATACAAAAAGTTTTTTAAAAAGAAAAATCACTTACCCTTGAAGTCAACACAGGGAACAAAGGTAACATAAGAGTAGAGCTTCTCCTTAGCATCCTCATCATCGTTACGTCTACGAGAAATGCGGACACGAATACGGTGGTTGGTATGCTTAACACCACGAGACCAGACGGCCTTGTTGAGAGAAGGATCAAGACGAACATCCTTGGTACCCATGGCAAGGGTAGCGAAAGCCTTGACAGACTTAATGGCATGAGGGGCACGCTTTCTCAAAGAACGACCAAAGACATGCTTGTGCATATGGATGGTGTACTCACGAGTAACAACATCAGCGAGGGTGGAACGCTTTTGGGTGGTCTTTGCGTCTTTGGCCATTTTAATTAATTAAAAGAAGAGAGAGGGATGGATGGATGGATGGATTATCCACCCCTTTACATATCAGATGGGGTCCGGTAAAAAAAAAAAAAAAAAAAAGGCCAAGAGAAGCGGAGTTTTCTGGGTTCAGGCCCTCCTTTGTCAAATCATAGGCAGCACGCGTTATTGCCTTAAGTGCAACTTTCAGTTGATAAAAATAAACTTATTTATTAAATTCTTCTTTCTTCTTTTTCATCTCTTTTCATTAATATAAATTTACTTTGTGCAATGTCGTCTAAACTGCGACAAAGACGTGCAGAGTCAGATGGCATGACTGAAAAGCATTCGCAAGTCGATTACGACGATTCTAAAAAGGTAAAAAAATAAAAGAGAGAGAGACAACATATATCAAAAAAAGCTACTTGACGAAATACTAAACCAGAGATACATAAAAAGTATGGAAAGGATTCGGTTCCCAGCCAACGTAATCCAAACGGTCACCGGTTAGCTTTGGGATTTCTTTGTGTGGTAGCGACGATAGTTACATTTTATAAGATCTGGAACCCTGACGAGGTCGTATTTGATGAAGTTCACTTTGGAAAGTTTGCTGGATATTACTTGAGAAGAACATACTACTTTGATGTTCATCCACCTTTAGCTAAGCTCATGATTGCTGGTGCTGGTTATCTTTTAGGTTTCGATGGCCAGTATGATTTTGCTAATATCGGTGATAATTACTTGGATCATAACGTTCCTTACATTGGATTACGCGCTTTGCCTGCTACCTTGAATGTCTTATGTGTTGCCTTGATATATTTGATTATGAAGGAGTCTGGCTATACTTTAGCTATTTGTGTACTCTCCACTGCCATGTACGTTTTTGACAATGCAATGGTCACTCAAAATAGGTTGATCTTGTTGGATAGTATGCTTTTGATCTACATGTTAGCTACCATGTATACCTATATCAAATTTAGAAAATTGCGACACGAATCCTTCTCCGTCGCCTGGTGGTTTTGGCTTCTTGCTACAGGCGTCTGTATGGCCTTGACGGTTAGGTAAACAAAAGAAAAGAGAATACACAGGGTCGTGGTTTGACTCATTGGTTTATATAGTGTCAAGATGGTTGGACTTTTCTTGGTAGCACTAATTGGTCTTTCTGTAATTTATGACTTATGGGGACTTTTGGATATCAACCGCGGATTAAGCATGGTAAAAAAGAAAAAGAAAAAAAGGGTACACTGGGTTTTAAAAAGTGAAAAGTGATTGACATGCCAGTGCGCTATTTGTTAGGACCAATTCATGAAACATTTTTATGCTCGTGCATTTAGTTTTATTGTGGTGCCCATTGGAATTTACCTCTTTTGGTTCTATGTTCATTTTGCGATTTTAAATGAATCTGGTCCCGGAGATTCCTTTATGACCTCTCGATTCCAAGACACTCTCAAAAACAGCCCCTTAAAGATGTCTGCCTTGGGTAAAGAAAAAAGGATACACAAGAATATTTAAAAGCGCGTATATTAATGCACGTAGATAGAAATTCACTATGGGGATGAAATCACATTAAAGCATAAGGACACCAACGCTTATCTTCACTCTCACGACCTTCATTATCCTTTACGTTATGAAGATGGACGAGTCAGTAGTAAAGGGCAACAAGTGACAGGTGTGATGGAACCTGACGATAACTGTTATTGGCGCATTAAGCCTAATAAAGAAAGTAGCGATGGACTTGTCAAGAATGGCGATCTGATTCAATTAGAGCATGTGATTACAGGCACGAATTTATTGACACACGATGTTGCATCGCCTTGGATGCCCACCAATGAAGAAGTGACAACCGTTCCTTTGGATACGCGTCATGAAGAAACCTTATTCCAAATCATCTTTGAAGACGATGATCAAAACGTATTTGAAACACACATGACTTCGTTCCGTCTTGTACATCAAGACACCAAGGTAGCCATTTGGACACACAATAAAAAGTTACCTGAATGGGGATTAGAGCAATTAGAGGTCAATGGTAACAAGAACGCGATTGATAAAACCAATTACTGGTCCGCCCAAGAAATTCGCGGTAAGAATGCCACAGAAATTAACGCCAATCGATCCGTTAAGGAAGTCAGATCCATGCCATTTATCAGCAAGTTTCTCGAATTACAAGGACGTATGATTAGTCATAACGCAGGACTTACTAAACCTCACCCCTATCAATCTACACCTATTACTTGGCCTTTTATGATTCGTGGTGTCTCCTATTGGTCCAAAGAATCCACACGTTCTCAGATCTACTTGACAGGTAATTTATTTGGTTGGTATTTATCAGTGGGAGGAATTGCTGTCTTTGCTGGTATTATGCTTGCGGATGTATTGGCACGCCGAAGAGGTATTGAGCCTATCGAAGAGCCTGTGCGTCATCGTGTACTTCAATCTGCAGGATTCTTTTTTATTGCTTGGGCTCTTCATTATTTCCCATTCTTCTTAATGGGTCGTTCCCTTTTCCTGCATCATTATTTACCAGCTGCCACTGTCAATTACTTATTATTGGGTGCCATGTACCAATTTATTTTTGTCGACGGCATCGATTCACCCGTCTCTTTCTTGAGTCTGAAATCCAAAACAACACGTCAAACAAGCATGAAGGCTGAAGTGTCTTATAAGGTATATATTGCTGTTGGTATCACCATTGTGTGCCAAATCGCCATGTTTGTCTTCTTGGCCCCTTTGACCTACGGTACCCCACTCACTTTGGAAGAAGTTCAAAGTCATCAATTATTGAGCGGTTGGAAACTCCAATACGGTAAGTTAAAGCAAAAACTACTTTTTCATTGTTTGTTAATTTTTTTTTTTTTTTCGTAGCCAAATAAATAAAATCTGCATCTTTTTAAATAAAAACTATTTTTTTTTTCAAACTCACCTTTTCTTTCCCTTAATTAACACAAACACATAAAAGAAAGATGGCAACGCGAAGTAGAACGCTGTTATTTCTTCAATATAGAAACTCGTACGCAAGAACCCAAGGTTCAGCCCCTCATTTTTCCGCAGGACTTTCCGAAACAGAGGGATTAATCGAAAGCTCTAACAATGTGATTGAAATGTCGGTCTTACCGCCTAAATGGTAAACAAAAAAGAAAAGAGAGAAAGTTTGTTGACAGCCGTTACTTATTATTCATTGGTTTTGATAAAGGGTGGACATTGTAGATGAAGTAGATGAGGCACTTGATGTCGTGAAAGACAAGAGTAACTATTTAAATGTTAATTTGTGTGTACGAATATTTAATATAAATTGTATTGAACAGTTACAAAATTGGAAACAATGCATCGGAAACATTTATTGCCTGGATTTGATGACCGAACTTCTGACGAGGCTGCGATTGATAATCTCACTTCTGAAATCACAGACGTAAGTCTCGATATCTAATACATGGATACTTTGAGACTCAATTAAAAAATCATAGGAATTTTATCGTATCAAACGAGATATACAACGTATTCGAGTGGGTGTCAATGATTCGGATCAAGACGATATGTTAGCAAGAAATATACAAACCAGTTTGGCTACAAAAGTACAAGACGTATCTTCCAGTTTTCGAAAGCAACAATCCTCATATTTACAAAGTAAACTTTTATGCAACCTATCATTGACTGGAGCTCCGACTAATGCTTTTTTAATAGAGATGCAAGGACAAGAAAATCGTAAAGCCGATATATTGGGTATGGAAACTGTGCTGAGTAATGAAGCCGCCGAGTTTTTGTTGGACGAGGATGCTCAAGTGGTAAATTGAGAAAAAAAAATTAGAAGGGACGAGAAGAAAAGACTGATAGGTATTTATTAGGGATTTACAGAATCACAGTTGGCCGTCATGGAATCAAACGATGTATCGATTGATCAACGAGAACGGGAAGTGAATCAAATTGCAAAATCCATACATCAGTTAGCAGAGATTTTTAGAGATCTTCAGTCACTTGTGATCGATCAGGGATCTTTGCTCGATCGTATTGATTTTAATATTGAACAAACCAACGTACAGGTCAGAGAGGCTGTAGTGCAATTGGACAAGGTATTACTCTTTTAAATATGCATAAGTAAGGGCAGCATGAATTAACCAATATTTCTCTCGGTTGTAGGGCTCTCATTACCAAAACAAGACCCGAAAACGTAAAATAATGCTCCTTTTAATATTAATCATTATGTTGTTGATTGTCATATTGATTGTGAAGCCTAAAAAAAGCCGATAAAACAAAATATAATCAGTTTGTATCATAGAACACTTACGGTAACAGATTGCGGCCTTTGTAGACAATCTCTTGTTGGCTATTTTGACATGTTTTTTATTTATTTTCAAAGAAAAATGGCCCATGCTTTTCGTTATACCCCCAATTAAAGTTTTGGTATGCTTTTATAAAAAGCCAAATTAAAGAAGTATATTTAATTTTCAAGCAGATACGTCTTATATAATATTTGTCACTCCACATCTGAATAATTTAAGGTAGCTTTGCAGAACATGCGTATCAATAGACTAAATTATTGATTCATGCAGACGATTGTCCCTAATATTTTTACATCTTTACCCTCACTATACACACACACAAACAAACACATACACACACAAGTAATTAAAATTTATAAAAGATATTTGGTTATTTATTTATGATGAATTGGCACAAAAAAAAAAAAAGTTATAATTTCTAAATTATCGGATAATTTAAATGATCAAGATTTGCTTATTGCCGTGATGCTTTTCACATAAAGTCATTTCTTCACTAGCTGACTCTTCACCAGATCTACCACAACAACCGAATTTTTCACCGCGACGACCGTGCTTCTTGCCACCACGCTTGCCAAAAGGACCGTGTCTACCACCAAATTCTTCAGCAAAAGCACCATAACGACCAAAAGGGCCATGTTTACCACCAAATCCTTCAGCGCCACGATGACCACCGTGTTTACCAAAAGGTCCATGTTTACCAAAAGGTCCATGTTTACCACCGTGCTTACCAAAAGGACCATGCTTGCCGCCAAATCCTTCACCAAAAACGCCAGCAGGATGACCACCAAAAGCACCAGCAGGATGACCTCCAAAAGGACCAAACGATCCATGATGACCGTGCTTACCACCGAAACCTCCGAAAGGACCGTGATGTCCAAATCTTTCTGAGCCAAATTCGTGAGGTCCAAAATGTCCATGAGGTCCACGACCACCAAATCCTTCAGCACCACCACCATGTCTGCCAAAACGACCATGATGTTTACGACGACCTTGACATTCATCAGAAGATTCACCTTGACTAGTAGATTCACCAAGATCTCTGGGATGATGTCGACCATAAAATTCACCACCATGAGGTCCACCACGACCACCAAAGAAGGCACCATGGTGTCCACCACGACCACCGAAGGGACCGCCACGACCACCGAAGGGACCACCACGACCACCAAAAGGACCACCATGACCATGACGACCACCATGAAGACCAAATAGAGCCTCACGAGGATCTTGTTCAGGATTTTCAGCTTGTTCTTGACGACGTTTCATTTTTTCTGATTTTCTAGCAGCTAATGTATCGAGTACTTTAAATTCATAGTCGAAATGATGATCAGTGGTATCCTCAGCGATGAAAGAGGCCAAGATGCCAACCCATCTGGCGAGACGATGGCTGGAGGAAACGATTTCCTTGTGTTGGTCAACGAATTGAGTTAAACGAGCAAAGGCATGACCGGGAAGGATATAGACATTTTCGCTTACGAGATCTGCTTGAGCGTAGAAGCAAAGACCTTTAATCTCAGGTAAGGATAAGAGGGATTCTAATTGGGATTGATTTTCCAAAGACTCGGTTTCGTTGTCTTTCTTATAATAGAGAACAACAGGAGAATCCACACGACGAGTAGATTCAATTAAAGTGACAAGATTTGTCCAGTTCAGCTTTTCAGAAAGAAAATCGAACTCGATAGTAGGTTCGTTGGTAAAGTAAATAGAAACTTGAATTGTAGAAGACATTGTTTTTATTATTGTTGTATAATTATTATACTTTTTGAAATTAAATTTATCTTTTCTTTTATACTTTTTTTTTTGCCAAGCGAAATTGCTGCGAAACAAAAAAGGGAGGCTGATCCGAAAAACCGCACTTCCGGAAAACCGCACCTCACTGAACGACCTCCGAAATGGCGCACCTGCTTATTGAGTTTAAATTCCCTCTGAGCACCCCAAAAAAGCAATTTAATTTTTCATGCATTGTATTGGACGCAAGTTAGGAACTACAACATGCTGAAGTTTGATAAAAAGATATGTCTCATCATTTTAATGTCAATTGAAGTCACCAGATATCAGATTTTTACCGAACTGAACTTACAACCAATGTGACCTGCAAATTAAGTAGCATTACTTGGTATATTTTAGATCACAGGTAATACTTCAATAGGGTATCTTTGATAATTATGAGCATTTTAGCTAGCACGAAAGGATGTGAGAAAATGATGTTTTGTAATACTACGTAAATTCAGACAAACCAAAGTTTATTCCGGACAAATGCAAAATATAATTCAGACGAAGTAATAAAAAGTCTGGAATTTTGAAAACACCAATGTTCAGACATTTACTGTACCTACTCTAAGACATGTTTGATTAGTTTATTCGTTTGAAAATTAAAGTAGTGAGAGGAAATTACCTGCATTAATGAGCCAAAGCGACAAATTTGGTGCATTTCCCAAAAAATCTGAAGCAAGTTCACGATTCCACAGTGTTCTTTTTTCTCCGTGGCCCATCAATTGGCTGTTTACACAAGATGTTCTTGCACCTAGAATTCCCTATTAGTTGTTATCAGTTCCTTTTTTTTTAAATTACATCGATAAGCCGTCGCCTTTAACGGTGGACATAATTTTACGTCTGTATTTGCGAGGATTATGATAACATTAAACTTCTGGTCGGCAGTTATTAAATTACTTAGGTTGTAAAATCCTTTTTTACTTCGATCAGACAGTCAAGTAGTACTTGCTGAATATGAGGGTTGTAATATAGCTATAAGTAAACTTTAATTTAACTCGCCATAGATATAAAGTTATACATCAAAATTCATAGAATACAGCCTTTTTATTCACCTTCATCTAAAACATTTTTACTGGCAAGTCTGAGTATCAATTTACATATTAATATTTTTTTAGGCGGCCTTCATTAAACTTGTTTCTCTTCGTTTGATACTTCTTCTGATGACGAGGTTCTTTCTGCATGGGCTTCTTTTTTGATATTTTCATGTATTTCGCGAAATACCCTGTCATCCATATAATACGCCTTCAATACTAACTCTAAAATTTGGTTTCTGGCTTCAATCTGTTCCAACCTTTCTTGCATATTATAATCAGAATTGCTTAATTCACTATTCTTGTCCTTCTCGATGCTGTTATGGATAGAAAAACTATCTATTTGTGTACCGGATGCGGATTGTTCACTAAGAAATCTTTCTCTTTCTCCGTTAAGCGATCTGCTACGACCCGCAGTCAAACTGTGATCTTCATTTACAGTATGAATATTGGAAAATCGTTCGTGCACAGGTGTTACAAATGGCACATTTTCCACTCCGGGAATGCGAAAAAATTTGTTCAAGTTTTTAGATTTACTCTGTTCCCAACGTGATTTGAAAGAAAGACGTTGAAAAATTCCCCATGGCTTTGCCGGCCTTGCACCAAACAAAAAAACCCTCAAGGCTATTAACATGCTGGCTATACCACCTAAAATGCCAAGAGTGGACATAATAGTCACGTCCCTTTTTTCTGTAACTACTGTCTTTTGCTGGTCTAAAGGGTATAGTTCCATGAACTTAGTTTTATATCCTGCATTTTGATTACCAAAGACTTCTGAATTGGTAATACTAAGCTCTGAAATTTGAATATAATTAGGAAACACTCCCACTAAATTCCAAAGGCTATCGGGATCAATTTTTTGAGTGTATGTTATTTTGAAATGAATGTTCACACTTGACAGTCCATTTAAAGTTATCTTTTGGCCCGCTGTTCCATGAATAAAACTATTATTGAGTTGAAAATCTATCCAATCATCCAAATATTCGGCACTATATTGACGAGGGAAAGGTGATATATCGAAAACTACACGATTGGGATTTTTGGTCGGTTCATAAATTTGAATATGAATTGACTGTTCGACAGAGTCCGAGACTCCACCAGAGTGGCGAAAATTAAGATATGCACCTTCATGAATATAATTAAGTCTGTCTATTGGTGGGGCATACATGTAGCATATTGTTTCGCCTTCCAAAAAATTTGGGCTAACTATAGACCTTGGCAGTTTGTAAACATCTTCACAATAGTTAACATCAGACGGGTTAGATGAGGGCAAGCAATCAAGATAAGGAAAAACGCCATTAGTGTCATTGTAGCCATAATAATACCATCCACTGTAACATATGCGAATATCTAGAATACATTACTACCGTTTAGCACTCGCTGATCAGTGATACCACTATACTTTAAATAGTTACCTGGGAAAGGTACATCATTAGTTTCCAGAATCTCTTCTGTTGATGATACAGAACTGTTGATGATGTTGTATGCAAAATAGGCAATAAAAAGCATAAACAGCAAGAAAAAAATAAGGTTTGTTACCAGGCCATATATCTGCGTCGAAAATGTCTCACCAGCTCTAATTTTTGTTTAATTTTTTGACTAGGCTCATTCTTTTATAATATTACCTTCTACTGCAAAAGATACCGATAATTCGTTGAAAACTGCATGTACGTTTTCCTTTGAAACATATTGTTTTCCGGTTCACAAGCATATACATGATAATAGCGATGATAGCTATGGCACAAATCAGAACTGCAAAGAGAATAACAGAAGGGAAAACATGTATAATTGGATCAGTTTCAGAAACAAAGGGACCTTCATATTGGGAAATAGTTGGAACCCAGTTTAGCGAAAGGTTATGAGAGGATGTGTTTTCATTATCAAGGTTCTGGTATAGTAGTTCAAATATATTTACATCTTTGTATACTCCAGAATCTTTGTAATAATTATAAGTACCGAAAGCAAAAACCATATACCCGTTAGAAATAATGGCCGACGAAGCGTAAATGTTTTCATATTGCGAATGTCGATAGTTTTTTGCCTGAATAATATCCCATGCATTTGTAACCAGGTTTAGTCTTTTTAGCACCTTTGGATTTGCTTCATTTCCCACATTATACAAACTTTTAGTGTTAAGCTTTGTGCCAAAAAATATAGCAAAATTAGTGTTCGGAACCAACTGAACCGTTACTCCTTCGTCATATTCTTGATTAAGCAGAATATCGTCTGATGGTGACAATGACAACGTTTGGTTTTTAATCCAGGTTTTGATTTTGGTATCTAGTACCATCATTGTCATATGCGAGTTGTAATCTTCAGTATCAATATTGGCTCCTATCCTTCCAAAAACAGAGCCGATGTTTCCATCTCTGTCAAAACAAATCATTCTACTATTTAGTAATAGTACATAGCATCCAATCTTTAGTTTGCTTGTTATTTTCTTACGGTAGATTAAATGTACTGGGTCCTATAGTTTTATAATCAAATCCATTATTGTCGATAATACCGTAGTAATTGTAGACAGGATCGTAAAAGTAGGACGTTGTTAAAGGGTTTCTGTCTTCGTAAAAGTTCGTGCCGCCTATCACATATATCATCCCGTCTTTGCCTAAAACAGTGCCATGTCTTGCCCTCATGTAAAACGCACTTTCGTCTGTTTGGTTGTATGTGGGAACTTCTTTTTCAGTCCATGTAAGGCTAACAAAATCAAATATGTAAGGTCTTACTACTGTTCTACTTTTTGTGGAGCCAGTGGAATAATCCGCGAATTTATGAGACAATATCATCATGTGGCTATCATCGATCATTACAGCACCACAAAAGGAACAACTGGGGCCTTGGTTTATCTGTTTCACCAAAGACACTGTTGCTGTTTCTCCATTTGGTGTATCAAAATTGTACTCATACATATCGCTAGAGTGTCCTACAACTGCCACATATCGTCCACCATAAACATACATTTTATTATTGTATGTAACGGCTGATCTTCCATATAATCTCGGGCTAAATGGAATTGATTCATCGACAATTGTAACTTTACTGACAGTTTCTTTTATCAGTCCAATGTATATCATAAGGAGCAAACGTATAACTTGATGCAGTTTCATGTCGTTTAGTTTTTGATTTGAGATTTTATCTACGAGAGCTACAAAAAAGAGAAAAGACAAAATCAATAAGCAAAAATATGTCCGTCAATGTAATTTGATTTTAAAGCCGATATACACGTAGTGGTTACACAAAAGTTTGATCTGCATCTACAAAGTTTGAAGGTCGCTTACTTGCCATGCTGTCCTATATGGTTGCCATTTTTTCCACTAAAATAACTCATAAGAATAAAGGCATACCTATTCTTAAAATTGTCGACGCTACTTTACCTTTCGTAGGATTTGGAAGTTCAACGAACCTTTGTTTACAGCAAACTACAAACCTACATAAGTTGATAATACAAATATATGTAGATCTTGATATATACGATTGGCGTATAAACACTGTTTTAAAAAAATTAAATGTTTACTTCTATTATAAACATGTTATCATATTTTTTTGGATACCATAATATTAAGTATTTGTGCATGTTACTGTTCGAATCCCGAGAGACATTTATTTTTTTGGCCGGTATAGGACTCATGCTTCTGTTCATTTATTTATTTGGGCTTAAGTTATAGGTTTGTGTCACTATTGTTGTTTAGAGCATACAACGTCTGAAAATCTCTGACGCCAAATGCGTCACATGCAAATATGCAGTCCGTTACGTCATTGTAAAATAGAAATTAGAATAATTGCTTGATGCCCCTTTTAATTTGTCATGACCAGAAGGTCAAAAACAGTCATTGGTAGGACGACTCACTAAGTTTGTCTTGAAATCCTTTGTTTAGCTCAATATATAATGCAAAAAAAAAAAAAAAAAAAAAAAAAAAAAAAATCAGGTTGGGTAGAAGATAGATCTGACGTAAAGACTAAATCATATAATAGAAACTGATGGCATTGCAGACGTACTAAGAGTGTATTGAGACCTTCACAAGTAAAAAAACAACAGGAACAAAGTGAATTAAAACCAACTGAGATGCGGATAGAAATACCAATTCATATATCAGTAGCTTACGACAGCATGTAATATTCGACTTCAAGTTGTTAAAATAACATTGCACAATTTTTATTTTTCTAATCCAATAAATATGTGCTCGTCATCAATTTTCCTTTTCTTCTTCTGACAACGGGGTACTTTCCGTATTAACTTCTTTTTTACTATTTTTATGTATCTCGCTAAATATTCTATCATCAATATAGTAAGCTTTTAATACCAACTCGAGAATTTGGTTTCTGGCTTCAAGTTGTTCCAATCTTTCGTGCACATTATAATAGGAATTGCTTGATTCTTTATTTTTATCGTTCTCGGTGCCGCTATGAATGGAAGAGCTTTCTATTTGTGTATCAGAAGCAGATACCTCACTAAATAAGCCGTCCTTTTCTTGGTTACGTGATTTGCTAGAATCCGGCGCCAAACTGTGATCTTTGTTTAGAGTATAGATATCGGAAAATCGATGGTGCACAGGTGTTGCAAAGGGTATATTGTCTACACCAGGAATACGAAAATATTTTTGCAAAGTTTTAGATTTACTCTGTCCCCAACTTAATTTGAAAGAAAGGCTTTGAAAAACACCCCATGGATTTGGTGGTCTTGCACCAAACAAAAGAGCTCTTATGGTTATTAACATACTGGCGATACCTCCTAAAACACCGAGAGTCGACATAATAGTTACATCCCTTTTTTCTGTGATCACTGTTTTCTGTTGGTCTAAAGGGTATATGCTTATGGTATTAAGTTGGTATGCTGTGTTGACAATACTGATATCTGAAAGCTGAATATATTTTGGAAAAATTCCCATTAAATTCCAAAGGCTGTCGGGGTCGATTTTTTGAGTGTAAGTTATTTTGAAATGAAGGCTGGCACCTGCCAACCCGCCTAAAGTAACTTTTTGCGCTGCTGTTCCATGAACAAAACTATTATTGAGTTGAAAATCTATCCAATTATCCAAATATTCTGCGCTATATTGATGAGGGAAAGGTGATATATCAAAAACTACGCGGTTAGGGTTTTTAGTCGGTTCATAGAGTTGAATATGAATTGACTCGCCAAAATAAGTTGGGGCTTCGCCAAGTTGGTCAAATTCAAGGTAAACGTTTTGATGAATATAATTCAATTTGTCTTTTGGGGAAGCATACATCTGGCATTTAGTATCACTTGCCATGAACTTTGGGCTAAGTATAGATCTTGGGAGTTTGTGAACATCTTCACAATAGTCGAATCCATACGGGTTAGATGCTTTTGAGCATTGAAAGTAAGGGAATTCACCATCCGTATCATTGTAGCTACGATAAATCCATCCATTGTAGCAAATACGAACATCTAGAATATATTACTAAAGGTTAACACTATCGACTGAAAAAACACCATTATATTTTCAATATTTACCAGGGAAAGGAACATCATTTGCCTCGAAGGATTCTTCTGTGGAAGATACAGAACTATTAATAATACTATATGCAAAATATGCAACAAATAGCATAAGTAGCACGACAAATATAAGATTTGTTACCAAGCCGGATATCTGCGTAGAAAATGTCTCACCAGCTCTAATTTTGTGCTTAATTTCTGTAAATTGTTTTTGTTCTGAAGTAAATTACCTCCTACTACAGAAAATATTAACGATTTGTTGAAAACTGCATGCACGTCTTTTTTTGAAGCATAATTTTTTTCGGTTCCTAAGCGTATACATGATAATAATAATAATTGCTACAACACCAATCAGAACTAAAAAGAAGATCGCAGAAGGGGGAACATATATATTTGAACCAGTGCCAGAAATAGCGAGTCTTTTATATTGAGAAATAGTTGGAACCCATTCAAACGAGAAGTTATCCGAGGATATACTTTTATAGTCGGGCTTTTGGTATAATAAATCAAATATGTCGATATCTTTGAATGAATGAGAATTGGGGTACTGATCATCAAATCCAAAGGCGAAAACGAGATATCTGTTAGACATAACAACTGACGACGCGTAGATACTATGACGTGGGAAATTTTGATACGTTTCTGTCTGAATATCATTCCAAGTATTTGTGATCAAGTTTAGATTTTTAAAAGCGTATGTCTTTGTTCTATTTTTCATTTTAAGTGAAGTGTCAGTAACATGAAATAGACCAGGAAATACAGCACAATCAGTGTTTGGAATCAACTGAGCTGCTATTCCTTCGTCAGAATCGTAGAAACGCTGTGTATTCTCCATCGATGGCAACGACAATGTCTGATTTACATGCCAGGTTTTGGTTTTGGTGTGCAGCACCATCATAGTTGCATCCGAATTATAACTTCTCGAATAGGCATCATATCTTCCAAAAACACTGCCTATGTTTCCATCCCTGATCGACAATAATTTAACTTCATTTAGTAACTGTATACATGATAAACAATCTTCAGTTTAGTTTTTTTGTTATTTTCTTACGGTAGGTTAAATGTACTGGGTCCTATAGTTTTATAATCAAATCCATTATTGTCGATAATACCATAGTAATTTAAGACAGGATCGTAGTAGTAGGACGTTGTTAAAGGGTTTCTGTCTTCGTAAAAGTTCGTGCCGCCTATTACATATATCATCCCGTCTTTGCCTAATACAGTACCATGTCTTGCCCTCATGTAAAACGCACTTTCGTCCGTTTGGTTGTATGTAGGAACTTCTTTTTCAGTCCATGTGAGGCTGACAAAATCAAATATATAAGGTCTAACGACCGTTCTACTTTCTCTAGAGCTAGCTGAGGAGTTCGCAAATTTATGAGACAGTATCATCATGTGGCTATCATCGATCATTACAGCACCACAAAAGGAACAACTGGGGCCTTGGTTTATCTGTTTCACCAAAGACATTGTTGCTGTTTCTCCATTTGGTGTATCAAAATTATATTCATACATATCACTAGAGTGCCCTACAACTGCCAAATGCCGTCCACCATAAACATACATTTTATTATTGTATGTAACAGCTGATCGTCCATATAATCTCGGACTAAAAGGTATGGATTCATCGGTGATTATGATTTTACTGTCAGATCCTTCGATCAGTCTAATATATAAAGTTAAGAGCAAACATAAGGCCCAATGTAACTTCATATAACTACAGTTCTTGGTTTGCAATCTAATCATTTGAAGCTAGAAAGAAAAAAAAAAAGAAGAAAACACGAAATCAGAAAGCAAAAATAGTTATGCCCGTCAATGTCAGTGTTTTTTCTAAGCCGATAAATAAATAACACATACAGACACATATTGTCGTCGCACAAATGAGCTTGGTCTGCATATACAAAGTTTGAATGTCTCTAACTTGTATGATTTATTATTAAAATTAAACGGAAGCCCCGTCATTTTTCACCTTTCAAAGATTTATACGAGCCTAAAGATACTTCATCGTCAAGTAATTAACGCCATTTTACTCTTATTGTGGTATCCGGGAGACCACTACTGAATCATTATCTACGACAAGAGAAAAACCTTGAATTAAACCAAGTATGCAGATCTCGAAATGTTTTATCCACAGTCATGGTTAAGCCCTCAGGGACATTTATGAGAGTTGCAGGTTCGTGTCACTATTATTGTTTAGAGAATATGGGCATCTGAAAATCTTTGATGGCAAGTTTGTCCCACACACACACACATACATATAGAACTTACTGTGTAAAAGACTCCGAATAATTATTTCTTACTCCTTTTGCAATTGTCATGGGTAGAGCATTGTCAAAATAAAAAATTTCTTTGGTATGAAGGCTCACTAAATTTGACTTGCTTTGATTAATTAGAGCGACTGAACTGCCACTATACTAGTGGTCACGTCTTTGTGATGATGATCATTTAAACGTGATGCATCAGTACCCAAACAGTGTGGGTTTTTTTTTGTGAGTGATATGTTTAGTAGTTTGGTTTATGGATTTATATGTAGAATCAGATTAACAACATGCAAAAAAAAAAAAAAAAAAAAAAAGATTGGATAGACAAATTAAAAGTAAATATTGTATAATATAATACACACACACAAAAAAAAAATAAGGCATTGATTCTACCTTGTACACAACATAATATGTTTTTATGAACTCAGATTTTCTTTGGATGATTATATCATCTTTTTACTGTTTTGTGAATACAAAGCAAAATCACGGGGAGAGGAGGGGGTGATACGAAATTAAAATAGAGAGTGATTTGTTGCTTTGTGAAATAAATGGTGTTTTTTTTTTTCGTTTACCCCGTATTCAATGGTAGGACGGAAAATGAATTAGAATAATAATAAAAAAAAAAGATCTCATTGAAACTCTAAATAGTCTGGAATTTTACTGATGTCTAGAATTTCCCCCCTCCCCTTTTTCATCCAGAAAAAAAACGTGGTTCAATCATATATTGTAAAAATTTCATGTGTTACACTCTTTTATAAAAAAAAATTTTTTCTGCTTGACAGATGAAAAGAGTTTGTTCTCTTCTTTCTTTTTAATGTACGTGATTTTAAAAACAAGGCCTTTATAAGCATTGTCATTTAATAATAAAAAAAAAAGAGGCCCATTGACACGACTCTTTTTTTTTTTTTTTTAAAAATACGATTTTCCTTTTCAAATTTAGTGTGAGAATAAAGCATGTTTGATGGGCAGAGATAACAATTTTTTTATTTAGCTAATGCAAAGAACCAAAAAGAAGCTTTTTACGCGTAATTTGGAATGGAGAGGATGTCATATGTCTTTAGATAAACTAACTCCAACTGACGGATAACATGGGATACTCCATTATGGGGCATCTATTACTGATGCATCTACAGCGCGTTTTCTTAAACAGAAAAAAAAAAAGATCTGATGACACAGGACAGCTATTATTTATTTTACTGAGTTGGACCTGGGGCAAAACATGTCCCAGCTAGTTTTTACTATATAAATGCATTGATAAATGATGTCATGCGAAAATAACATTAGATTACATGAAACGAGATTTATACCACTAGTCACGTTTTTATTTAAAAATACACTTCTCTCTCAGATCATCATCATCATTCGATCATTTTTTTTTTGGAGTAGAAAGGGTCATGGTATCTCAAAAAGTTGAAGAGGCAATCGGGTCATCCGACTACGGGAACCTAGACTCCATTGTAATTTAGCAGCTCCTTTTGTTGTTTTTTACCGTGTATGGTAAGCCCTTTCTTTTTGTCAACATCACCATGGTAAGAAAAGGTAACCCAATCAATTATTTTTGCATGAATTTGTATCACATACAACTCAAAGCTGGTTATAATAGTTGTGACTCACAAGGCGCAGAGGAAAAGAGTGAGGTATTTTTTTTTTTTTTTGGATGCCTCCTCTTCATCTTGTAAATACAACTTTTTTTTAGCTGTCCAATTATATCCTCGTATTCTACCAACACCCCATTTTTATATATGGAATAAATGTTTTTTTTTAAGAGGGATTTTATTTTTTTTATTTTTATTTTTTTTATAGTATGTACAATGGTGAGGGGTATTTTTTTTATTTTATTTATTTATTTTTGTATATATATTGGGAAGGCGGTATATAGATGCGTGATGATCAAGAAAAGAAAGGACTGTATGTTTTTTTTGGGGTATGTATTTTGTTATATGTATGACTGGAAAGATCAAATTTGGGTGGTGATGAACTTTGAGATGAAGCTGTTAATGCAGGTGAAGTGGATGCAGACGAGACATTGGAAAGGGTACGAGGGCGAGGAAAATCAGTGAATTCAGGGTATGTGTAACCTAGCAGTGGATGGTTGCGTAAAGCATCCGTTCGTAAACATTGTTCACTGCAGTAAAGAGAGTCCTAATAATAAAGTTAATTCGCCTGTCAACTTTTAAATATTTGTTCAACTCACCGAAAATGGGCTCACTGCATTATCACAAGAAGTACACCAGTTAAGATCTGCCATGGTTACAAGGGCATAAGGAAAAACAATAAAAAAATAAAAAGAGAAAGAAGGACAGAAAAAAAAAAAGTAGTAAGAAAACAAAAGAGAGAAAATACAAGTTTATTCCTATTTATGCCACTTCCCCTTTTTTACTCTCTTATCAAGAAAACGTGCGCTTAATAAATAGAGGTCCGTTATCGTCGCCCAGCTCCAATCTAGCATTTCCATAAAAGGCAAGTTGTCACACATCCGTGACAATCTTACTGGTGTTCACCCCCTTTCCCCCCCCCTCCCCCTTCCTCCATTATAATTATCGCCTTTTCATTGATTGGTTACCTTCATCACTCTTGATAGGCTTTTGTTTGTGTTCATGTGAATTTTCCTGTGTACAACAATCAACTGCATTTTTTTTTTGGGCTCGAGCGTTTTCTTTGGTAATATCACGGGCAATTTTTTTTTTTTTTTTTATTAAATTTTTAATGTTGCATTTTATCTGATTCGTCTATTTGTTCTTGTCCATAAATTGTACTTGCCTAATAATGATATAACAAAAAAAAAAGAACGAGTCAATACACATGTACACAACACAAATAATAGGCTCACATACAATTTGCCAGGTTTCCACAATATTATCTTCTGCAGTACTTGCCAACATCCAGGGCTCGGCAGGGTTCCATCCAAAATCAGAGATTTTATTTGTATGTCCACCATGAATAAACTATGAAAGAAGTGTTACATCCTTTTTTTTTTTTAGTCTTTCTTTCTCTTTCTCTTTTACCAGTAATTCAGGGGGTCCATCTTGAGCTTCTTTGGCAGATTGATCGTCGGCGATTCTAGCTAAATCCCAAACAAAGATACGTCGATCATTACTGGCTGTGGCTAATACAGCGTCATGATGTGGGGACCATGCCAACTGAATCACTTCTTCCTCATGTCCCTTCAACGCATGTAATTCGTTGTTCAAATTTCTCAGATCCCACAACGCCGCCGTCTTTCCTCCCCCAACTATTTAGTCCCGCATCTTTTTTATATATATATATTTTTTTTAAACTTTGTTTTCTTTACCTTGTCGCTGGATCCAGTAGCAAGGATCCATTCATTACCAGGACTGAATTCCACACAATTCACTTCGGCTTCATGCGCTACAACGTTATGAATCGGATGATTGGATTTCTCCCTTGTATCCCATCTTTTTTTTTTTTTAACATGCAAAAAAAAAAAAAAAAAAAAAAAATGATTAGATTCCCTTTCGTGTGATAGATTCAAAAAAAAAAATTATACTGTACATAATTAAACGCTTATCATCACCGGCAGAGGCAAAGATAGAATCATGACGCATATGCCAAGCAACATCCTCTACACCCGCTGTATGCCCAGTATAGGTCTGCAACGGATCCAGCACACGGTTCTCTTTCGAGGCAGCTGCGATATCCCAATGCACAATCAACCCATCAAAACCGGCACTGATCAAATGATTGGACCTCGATTTATGAGGATTCCATGCTAAACCATATCCTTCTTGTGTATGTCCCTTTAATCGAAGTGCGGGGTGGAAGGGTTCGTTTTCCTTGGGGAAAGATTCATGCGTGGTTCGGTCAAAGACAAAGACATCCCCTGTACGTGATTTAGACGCAATAATGTTGGGGTTTTCGTATTGATATCGTGCTCGATTCACTTCTCCCTCGTGCACAATCTTTTGCGTAATGTGGATATGTGCGTCGTTAAAAGCACCATACCCGCCAATCTCTATGAAAAAAAATAAAAGGAATTTTTAATCTGTGAGCTTTTCCTAGAGACTTGTCTTCTTTTCTCCAAGTGGTTTACCGTTGGTGGACTCTTCGTATTTGCGTAAATCGATATCTTGATTGTCGTTGGGTAATTGCACCGAGGCAATCATGATGTAATTTGGGTCTTCATCGTTGGTATGTGTACCTAATAAAAGACGCTGTGTTTTATAGTTTTTATCGGGTCGACTTTTGCCATAAGGGTGTTAGCTTATTTTGATACAGAAGCAAAACAAAGAGAAAAACTCACGTTTCAACATCGGGAAACCATTGACATGTCAAACTGGGCCAATCCAAAGCATGAGTCACAAGTAAATCGTATAAAAACGGCGAGTTCTTTTTCCATAGTTTATATTCCTCGTTAATCAACTTTTGTTCAGTTGTCTCTTGTTGTAATTCTGTATGTCTTTTCGTGTTATTTTTTTGTTTGAAAAAGAAGAAGAAGAAAAAAAATATGCATTACCGTATTCCATGACGTTTTTCTCTTTTTCAGAAAAAAAAAAAAAAAGGTCCAAAAACTTTTTTTTTGTTTTCTTCCCCTCTTATAAAGCGTCACGGTGTTAGCTTTTCCCCCTCCCATATATATATATATATATAAATCTTCTTTTTATTCATCTAAATAGCAATGGGCATTTTAAACGGTGATATACCTTTAAACGCCTTGCGTTTTAAAGACGATGGTTTACCCACTGACACCTCTATTGAACAAGTTAACTATACAAAAAAAAAAAAAAAAAAAAAAAAAAGACCTGCCACTTTTTTTTTTTTTTTTTTTTTCATGGTTGCATAATGCTGACAACTTCTCTTCTTTTAGAAACGTACCGAAGACTCCATTTTAGAAAAATTTGTACCCTTTGCACCCAACAATGCAGAAAAATTACCTTTAGAAACGTACGTCCTTCATTTATACCCAAACTTAAAAAAAAAAAAAAAAAAACTGACCATGTCGGGGGGTGGATGCGTGTGTAGTATCCAACTGGACAGAAAGAAACACTTGGCCTACTTAAAAAAAGGTTTAGCAGGTTTAGGCCCTTGGGGAAAAGCCCTCGACGCCAGTAAGCCTTGGTTAGTCTATTGGATTTTTCACTCTTTAGACCTCTTGGAATTCAACTTTGACCAAGCACTTATTCAAAGGTAAGCGCCCATCTCTCTTTTACTTGTTTACCCTCCTCCCCCCCCCCCCACTCACTCTTTTTTTTTTTCAATCAATAGAACCGTAGCGACCTTTACAAACTGGCAATTACCCACAGGAGGTTTCGGTGGTGGAGCGGACCAACTTGCTCATTTAGCTACCACCTATGCTGCCGTCAATGCATTAGCCATTGCCGGCACACCTCAAGCCTACAACGTCCTGAACAAGTGAGTTTATTTCATTATACACACACACACACAGCTGACAGATATACCTCAAGGAAAACGTTGTACGAATTTCTGATGCGTATGAAGCAACCCGATGGTTCATTCACAATGCATCAAGGTGGAGAAATCGATATTCGTGGCTCCTATTGTGCACTGTCTGTTGCTGCATTAACTAACTTGCTAACACCCGAATTAACTGCCAACTGCTCCGACTTTATTCGTCGATCACAGACCTATGAAGGTGGTATTGGTCCTTATCCTGGAAAAGAAGCACATAACGGCTATACTTTTTGTGGATTAGCAGCTCTTGAGATTCTTGCTGAACTTGATACTTTACACATGGACAAACTCATCGTAAGTGTGCTTTTCTCAGTGTATTAAAACACAAACACACACACAAACAAAAGGGGAGGGGTGATATTAACTTTTTTTTTCTCTCTCTCTCTCTCTCTTACGGAAAAAGAATTGGTGTTCGTCACGTCAGATGGGTTTGGAGGGTGGTTTCCAAGGAAGAACGAATAAATTAGTAGATGGTTGCTACTCATTCTGGGGTGCAGGTGATTTCCCTTTACTGCGAGCTCAACTCTTACGTGATGGAGAAGAAGATCTTGATTACTTATTTGACCGTGAGGCGTTGCAAGAGTATATCTTGCTGTGCTGTCAGTCGAATTATGGTGGACTTTTGGATAAACCTGGAAAGGGAGCGGATTATTACCATACATGTTACTGCCTTTCAGGATTATCAGTGGCTCAGCACTCGATTCGGTACGATGTGGAGAAAGGTCAACATGTGCAAGGAGGCTTACGGTCTCTCATGTGGCAATGTGAGAACGAATATGTGATTGTGGGTGATATCGTGACAAATTCTTTAAATCCTACCCATCCCGTGCATAATATCACTTTACGTGCGGCCAGAAATATGATTCATTACTTTTATGATACCACCGGTCTCCAATTGCCAGTAGATGAAGATGCTAATCTTGTAGAATAGTTCCCCTCACAACAACCAAAAAAAAAAAAAAAAAATTAAATCTCAGCAGCATAAAAAAAGGCTAATTATACGCGCACCATACTTTTTGCTTGAAAAAAAAATTTCGCGCACCATACTTTTCTGTGCCGGTCAAATAATAAATTCCGGGTCGGACCAAAAATAATTTTTGCACATTGGACTTTTTCTTGCGCACCATGCTTTTTTCGCTGGCGCACCATACATTTTTTCGCTGGCGCACCATGCTTTTTTCGCTGGCGCACCATACTTTTTTTCGCTGGCGCACCATACATTTTTTCGCTGGCGCACCATGCTTTTTTCGCTGGCGCACCATACTTTTTTTCGCTGGCGCACCATACATTTTTTCGCTGGCGCACCATAGTTTTTTTCGCTGGCGCACCATACTTTGTGATGAAGAGAATCAATGTGGTTTTGAGTGTGAGCTCATGCTTTTAGTCTAAATTTTATTTTGTTTTTGGGTTTTGATTATTATGAGATAAAATATAAAGTTTAAGGATTGGGGAAGCAAATTATAAAATTATCCTGTCTAGTTGTTTTGAAAGTAGTGAGACACGTCGTTGACACAAATGTCTCGGTGCGCGTCGAATACTTTTTGGTGTGAAAAGTTTAATGTTGGCCATTTTTTGACTTTGCAAGCTTTCTTCGTTTTGTTATCGATTTGAGGTAAAATCATGTAAAAGTGACTGTTGGCAAACAAAAGTTGAATAGGATCATTCATTGTTTCCAAATCCAGACCAAGAAGTGGTACAAAAGTGATAGAATCTTTGGTGTAAATGATGTTTCCATCATTATCTCTCCACGTGATTTCATACTTATCGACTTTTGGTGTTGTAGCATGTAAAATTACTGGTCTTTTGAAAGTGTCAGCAACAATTTGTGGGCATCCGTAACAGTCAAACCAAAGACTTAAGTCATCAAGACAGGGAGCTCTTGTTGATTGCAATTTTTTGGAGGTATACGCTTCGTTTAGCCCATATGTGTTGTAAAGAGTGTTAGCATACTTTGTAAAGGTAGCTAACATCATTTTTTTCACTTGGATCCAAGCGATTTCATTGTCAAAAACAGCGAGGCTTACAGCACGGTATCCACAATTACCATCAGGATGGGGGTTGACGAACCCAAGTACATCATTGACATATGCATTATCTAGCAATCCAAACAGACCACTGTAATCTGCTTCACGAGTTATGACAGTGGAAGGCTCGTATCTAGAAAAACAAATAGGTGTTATTGTTGTAAAATAATTAAAAATATAACATAGACCAATACTTTGACTTGATCTGCTTGATCACGGCTGTTGATGGCTTGCGAAGACTTAAGGTCGTTTTAGTTTTTTTTTGCTTTTCTACTTTTATTGTTTCCTGCTTCATTTTTTTGGCATTTTTTTGCTCTATCGAGATTTTTTCATCTTCATGTTCCACACCAAGCTTGTTTCTTTTTGTCCCTTTAGGTCGGCCCTTCTGTATTTCGACAATTTTGGGTGCGAGAGTGTTTTCTAAACGATCGTTTGAATACTTACTGATCAAAGCATCCATGTCCTTTATGAGATCAACGGATTCTTGTTGGCTCCCCAAAACCTTGCACAAAGACATTAATTTTTCCAGTCTTATTTGGATGTCTGTTGTATTGATGTCCAATACGTCTGCAGAACCTTTAGCCAATTCGGCAGAAACTTCGGCTACGGTAGCAACTATGAAGTACATTATTATAAGTTTAGTTTTAAGAAGGATAATAAAATTTGCAAAACATTGAATTTTTACCGTTGCCCTCAAAATACGAGATTCTCCATCTTTGGTGAATCACGTTTAATGGAATTTTTCCATCAATGAACGAGACAGCAAGGATGTGTCTGCATGGAAGCCTAAAATTTCTTCTAAGCTTACAGAGGCAGCTCCCACCAGATAAGACATGGCTTACGTGGTCAGGGTTTTCCTCAGATGCTTTCATTTCCATCAATTCATTCTTGATGTTTTCGAAAGCAAAGCTGGAAACATTCAATTTTATCAAGGAAAGTTTATCCATGATATCATGTTCTAAAAAAACTGGTCGTTGAGAGACCGATTCTTTAATTGACTGTAAGTTGCGGTAGTCTTCCTAAAAAACAGATTTTTTTAGAATTGTAAACAAAATATAAACTGTGGTTTAGCTACTACGTACTCTTTTTTTAATCCACAGATCAATTTTTTCTGTAACAACAGCCATGCTACCAGACGAAGTGTTGTTACTTCTTTTGATGTTGGCATGGGTAGACTCAACTCTATTAGATGTTCTATTGCCCATATGCATCAAGTTGTTGACGTAATATCCAACCCAATATTGTTTTTTGATCATCATGCTACATTTTTGCGTTAATAATCCAGGTATAGCCTTCGGTCTAGATAGAAAAATTGCAATCAACATAAATACTTACTGATGGAGGTATTTGATCATCGTTTGGGCACCACCCTTTACACACATGCCCTTGGTTGACACAAAGGCCTCGTACGCATCTTTAGCAAGCAAAAATTCACGCTTTGTTGCGCATGTTAATGCCATTTGCTTTATGATAGCCATAAAGGACTTGACCTCCATTTCCATCAAGTTTCCTGCGTTATAACAATAAGTTAATTTAAAAGGATTTCTTATCGTCTTTTAACTGTTAACATACTGTCCTGTCTTTTTTCTTTCGACAAATTTTTTTTAAATCTCAAAATGAAATTTCTTTGGATATGAATCCAGCACAAGATTTGGTTACTCTCAGGGAAAACAGACTTAATTGCTCCCAACAAGGCTTCGTCGTTATCGGTTACAAAGCATTTTGGTAAGTTACCGGCGCTTTCACCGACGGGCCAAACAATCTCACGAAAGCAGTTCATAGACCAACGATAGCGGTCACCTGTCTCGCGATCCATCCAGCATCCCGCAATAGGCACTGTTACCAATTGCTTGGGTTTCTCTTTTGATCGCAAAGTACCTGCAACAACAAAATTCAACAAGACCATTTTGTGTGAATTGGTCTTGTAGGTGGCATCAATAACAATACACTCGGAAAGCTTTCGAGCCTCATCAATGCCATGTTGATGTATGAAAAATACACAACAAATCCTTTCGTCGGCATTTGTCATGTAGCGGACTTGATGACCACTGGATTCAAGATTTTTGATGAAATTCCACATGTTGGTGTGATTATCTCGACAAAATTGCTGTTGAATATTTGTCAAATCCGTTACAACGAGGTTATTCACACCTCTTGTTTCAAGCATCTAGTCACCAAGAAAAATTATTATTATAAGCCAAAATACAAAGAGGCATAGATATGTTAAAGAATATACACAAAATAATTTTATTTATTATGACTACAACTTCACTAACTATTGATTTCTCAAACGCCTTCTATATATCAATTTTCAACCTTACCTTCAATGTTTCACTGGGCGTTGTTCCTGCACGCATAAGACTGATTGCAAGCTCCTGGTCTTCTGCATTGAGCTTGCGATTGTTGTGATAAGCTCTTCTATCCTCACTCAAGGGATGATTATGCTCAAAACAGCTGGTTCGGATTGTCCATGGCTGTCCGACAGCTCTTGCATCCTTACGAACATATACAAATGCCGAGCACCCTGTTCTTCCAGTTGTTCGGTTGGGACGCTGCGCAACACTCTCTAATCCCTCACCAGTTCCAATATCCTCTTCATCTAGTTTTGCAATTAATTTATCGAATTATTTTATACGACCTTATCGCAGATTTTAATTTATATTACCTTCACCCTTCTTTGCGGCACGATATTTGCCAAAATGTTTGCAAATCATCTTAATGTATGATTTGTCGCTTTTACAAGTCTCAAAGGGGATGTTGTTTGCTTTACTGAAAGACTGTATTTCCAGTCTTGCAGTGTCCTTGTCGACAAAGGTTTTTCCCACGGGAAACTCGGCTTCGAAAGCAGCCTTCAATTCGATGACTCGTTCATTGATGGAAACAGTCTCGGCGAAAGAAGAGACATGTCGTGTGGCTTCGACACTAACGTCTTCCTCCTCAGGCTCACTAAGACATTCCCAGTCGTAGTCATCAGTCGTTGTTTCCTCGGCAATAGCTTGCTCAGCGTTTTGTCTGTCAAAGGTCTCCTCGAAACTGTCTTTGGGTTCGTCGGCAGGGTTGATTACAGATAAAAGACTGTTAATTAACAATTGGCTTTCGCTCAAAGATTGTTGTGAATCGTTTGAATTCATTTCAAAAATAAAAGTTTAAAAGAAAAAGAATGAAGGAAAAAAAAGTGTGGTGCGCGAGAAAAAGTATGGTGCGCGAAAAAGTGTGGTGCGCGAAAAAGTGTGGTGCGCGAAAAAGTATGGTGCGCCAGCAAAAAAAGTATGGTGCGCCAGCGAAAAAAGTATGGTGCGCCAGCGAAAAAAGTATGGTGCGCCAGCGAAAAAAAGTATGGTCCGCCAGCGAAAAAAGTATGGTCCGCCAGCGCTAGAAAAAAAATTCTATGTGCAAAAATTATTTTTGGTCCGACCCGGAATTTATTATTTGACCGGCACAGAAAAGTATGGTGCGCGAAATTTTTTTTTCAAGCAAAAAGTATGGTGCGCGTATAATTAGCCTAAAAAAAGGTCAACGGTTTTTTTTTTTTTTTTTTTTTTTTTTTTTTTTGTTGGGTCCTAGACCACCCCCCTCTTATTTTCCTTTTTGTTTTTGTTCACATGAGTCATTCACCTAATTTAAAAGCTCAGCCTGCCAAAGGCATTTTGAAAAAGAATAAAAATCCCACGGATGCCACACGGTAAAAATAATAATAAAAAAAGAGAGATGGTTTCATACCAACTAAACCCTTTTTTTTTTTTCCTTAGTCTGAGATGGGATGAAGCTAATCTAGAATTAACAGAATCTCAAAAAGATTCAACCATGAAAGTAGATGAACCCAAGACACCTTATGTGCGATATGACGCTGATACCGATCAAGTGCTTAATTTAGACGGTAATTTATCTTTCTTTTTTTTTTTTTTGACAGATAAAGAGAGAGAGAGCTCACTGTAAAATAATCACTAGATATCCCAGAGATTGCATATGGCGTAGGATCTTCGCGCGCTGAACCCGAGGAATTTACACTAGATGGAGGATTAGAATCAGATAAGGGTAGTGTCACCTCCAACAAGAGTGATAAATCTCGTAGACGGGTTTCTGTCAGTGACGATGATTGGGAAATGGAAGAACCCCAAGAGGAAGACGAGGAAGGTAAAAAAAAAAAGGTCATATCAGTTAGCAACATAAGTTCAAAATTTAACATTTATATATATAAAAAAAAAAAAAAGCTGAACAGCGTCATGAAGAGTTTCTTCGTAAACGTGCCATGCATTATCATATGGGTGCTGCCTTACGCCACGATGATGATAAAGACAATGAGGAAAAGAAGACGACCAAGATGGAAGAATAACATTTATGGGAAAAAAACATAACATGATTTATTATTGCAAGATCATGCTTTTTTTTAAAAAAAAAAAATATATATATATATATATATAAAAATTGTACTACCTTATTATCTTGTAAAAGGCTAGAAATCCCTTTTTCTCTCTCTCTTTCTTTTTCTCTCTCCCTTTTTTTTTTTATAATTTTTTATTTTTTTTTGTTTGAATGAAAATAGATAGAGCGTAAAAAAAAAAAGATGACCATCAGCAATATCCGTGACCATCCTTATCATTTTGAACAAGCATTACAAAAAGCGAGCGACTATAAAAGTGTCTCTGTCCACCAAACAGCGGATAACTTTACATGGCTTGTCTTCATTCATGCAAAATGGGTGCCATTTGCCAGTCATAACCAACATAAATTAGAACAAACGCTGGGATTGGGTGGGACCTTTGTGGATATTCAGGATTGCTTATTCCCATCCGTTAAGCGAGTACGTGTATTTCCCAAGGCAAATTATCTTAGTTATCTTGGTGTGAAATATAGATTATCCAGAGTCATGCAACCCCATTATGAAATTCATCACCAGGAATACCCACCACCGCCACCAGCTCCACCAGCTGAGCACGGAGACGAAGATGATCTGGATCCCGCTGTGGCTCGTTTATTACCACCCGGCTTTGTCTTGACTGACTATCGACCTATCTCTTCTCGAGTCTCCTAGATGTACATATTTTTTATTATCATTCCCTTCCACCCTAACCCCCATTTCTCTCTCTCTCTCTCTCTATATATATATCTATTATTTGTATTACACACACACACACACACGTGAATAAAAAAAAAAATAAAAAAAATAAAAATAATATATCCCTCTCTCTCTGTCTCTCTATTTCTCTCTCTCTTTAAGCCACTTTCTGAAACTTTTTTTTTTTTTTTTTTGGTTCATTCTTGTCAAAATGCAAACAGCTCAACAAACGAATCGACTTGATTTCTTATTTGCAGCAGGGTTTGAGATGGTGTCAAGGGTACCTGCACTCAGTCGTTACTACATGAGCGAATTCCAACACTCATTAACCGAATTTGAATTAACCACACCGAAAACGGTGGCTAGACTTGCCTGTCCTAGTTGTGGACAAATTCGAATCCCGGGACTTTCAACGCACGTCGCAGTTGTTGAGAGACAAAAACGAAAGAAGGGTAAACGACCGGGGAATCGGATCAAGACGACCTGTGCTCGTTGTTGTCACACAAGTTTCTACCATGGTTCATACAAGCACAAGCTACCCACTGCCGCTACCGCTACCGCTACCGCTGCTGCTGTGCCTATGACACCTGTCGTGATTGAAAAGAAGAAGAAGAACAAAGGGAAAAAGAATAGTTTGAAAGCCATGTTGAATAAATCCACACAACAACAAAAGGAAAGTACAGGGAATTTATCTGATTTTCTGTCCTTTTTATAAAAAAAAATTAATTTTTTTCTTCTGTCATGTTCTTTTTTTTTATTATTATTATTATTATTTATAGGATAAGAGGAGTGAGTGGGGGTGGGGTGCGGTGGGGGCATATACATTATTTTTTTTCACAAGAAAAAGAAAAAAAGAACAGTGATGTGTTTTTTTTTAAAAAAAAAAAAAAAAAAAAAAAAAAAAAAGAAAAAAAAAAAGATAAAAAAGATAAAAAAAAGTTAAAAAATTAAAAAAAAAGAAATATATATATGGGGGGGGGGCATGAATCACTAATGGTATGGTCACTAGGGTAAGGACACTAGGTTTTACTTTGGCATGGTAACGGTAGATTCTTCATTTAAGAGGTAGAATGGATATTGGCGTTGCTCGGATGACATGGACGGGGTCCTTGTGTGTTCTTCAGGTTGTGATGAAATGGATGAAGCTCGCTTGGGTTTGGTAGAGTCACTCACAGTACCATCACTCCCATACTTGTCTCCATCTCGTCTATGTCTTTTACGAGGTCTTCCCACAGGCCGTGCTAGAATACGTCTTTTCTTTTAGTTTCTTTTTACTCTCTTACAAACAAGCACATAGTAGTAGCAGCCACAGTTTTATTTTTTTTCTTTCTTTCTTTCTTTACCTGCTGCTTCGTTTTCTGTTTTGAAATCCGAGATATACTGCTGGTATTTCTAAAAAAGAGAAAGAGAGAAGGGACGCATAAGTTGCATATTTACACACAAAATACACACACACACACATACCCGGTATGATTCTGTCTTGTGGTATTCTTCCATCTGCTTAAGATAATCTTCTCGAGACCGAAGCGCATTCACCTCATATAGCTCCTTTTCCTCGGGCGTAATATTCTTCCATCGATCACCAATGATTTTGGCAAGATCTGTAAATGACTTGTTCTGCTGTTTTAATTCTGCGCGTACATCGTTAGAGAACATGACATAGGCCGAAGGTGGTTTCAGAGGTGCATTGGTATCAGGTTTGGCATGTCGATGGTATTTTCGTTTCCATAGACGGTGAACATTGTCACTTGTGACGGCTTCTTCCTCTGTAGAAGACATGCCGCTTTGAGCACTGTGGGTCATCGTACCTGCCGATGGAAAGTATTCAGTCATAGCATGGGTGGTATTCGGTGGTTGGCTTTGTTGTTGTTGCTGCTGTATGTGTTGCTGTTGTTGTTGTTGTAGATTGAGGGAAGGTGAGGAAGTGGAAGTGTTGGTAGAGGCGGGCGATGTGTTGGTTGCGGAAGAGGAAGATCCAGAAGAAGAGGATGCGGTGCCTGCCAAGAGTTGTAGTGAGACATCCATGACTTCGTTCGGTTGTAATGGTTTCTTATTATTGTTGTAGCCTTGTTGTTGTTGTTGTTGTTCATATAGCGGTACTCGGAAACGACTATCACCAGCTGTCACATCGGATTTATTAGAGTTATTATTGATGGGTGTGATATTTAACGGTACGCTTGTGGGTATTCCTTTTGCATTGGCTACTGCTCGTTGTAGAAGCTAAAAATTCACATAAAAAAAAGTTAATATCTTTTTTTTTCGATGGGGATATAAAAAAAAAAGGGGGGGGGGGGGCACATACTCTGCGATGACCTCGTTTGACTTGCATTTGTATTAAGTCTGTTTCTGTTATTTCCATTAACTAACGAACATTATGCAAAAAGATAAAAAAAGGAACGTAAACAGAATAAATAAAAAGACGAAAAAAAAAAAAAAAAATTAAAACACACACACAATAGGAGAGTAAATACAAAATATAAAAAAAAAAAATAAAGAGGTGAGGATAGGGGATTACGACTTTTTTTTTTTTTTTTTTTTTTTTTTTTACTCAGTGAGTATATATAACAGTTATTTTTAAAAAAAAAAATTATCTTACAGATTCTGGTCTGTCAAATCCTTCTTCAATGAAGGTTTCAAAGTATTCTGATAATCCACATTGTGAGAGGAATGTATCAACATGCTGCTGATTTAATATCGCACGACTTGTATTCATCTTTTTTTTTTCTTTCTGGGTTGTATATGTGTGTTGGTTGCTTTTTTTTTATATGGTACAAAAAATTTCTCTCTCTTTTTTTTTTTTTTTTTTTTTACTTGATTAAATTAGATACAATTCGAGCATAAGTATGTTACAAAAAAAAAATTTTTTTTTTTTCTGATCAAAAAAAAAAAGGAGTGGAAAGAAAAAGGAAAAAAGGTTGTTAAAAAAAAAAAAAAATAATGAAAACCAAAAAAAAAAAAAAAAAAAAAAAAAAAATCTAAATAGGATCAAGCCGTGACTCAAGATTGGGTAGAATAAACAAGAACAAAATAGAAACACACTTACTTTTAAACCATGTTTACTCACTTTAAACTCCGGATTTAACTCCAAAAAACCCTTTTTGCCCAAAAAAAGGAATGGGTTTTCTTCAAAATCTGACGGGGGACCTTTTTTTTTTTGCATTATGCGTATAAATCTTTTAATCTTTTCTCTGTCTTTCTTTAATCTTTTTTTTTTTCTTTTTTTCTTTACACAAAAAAAAAAAAAAAAAAAAATCACACCTAATTACGAAACCTTATATTATTTCTTCATCGTCATGTATTTCATCATCATTTCCCCACATCGTAACCTACACATAAAAATAAAGTCGTTTCTAAATGGACTTGTTTTAGTGCTAAATCGATAAAAAATGGGCTTTTTTGGAATGAGTTTTAATAAACGCATTTTATTGCCTTACATGACCCCCCCCCCCAGCATTTGGACACAGGCACACACTTTTTTTTTTTTTTTTTTGATCAATCCAAAAAACTGGGTCGATATTAAAATGGGGGGAGGGGGGGTCCTATGTCCGGGGGGACTGCTAATCTTTTTTTTTCTTTTCCCCCCTCTTATTGTTTCAATCTTTCTCTCTCTTTTTAACCCAGCTTCCAATGTCAACCATGTCACCATCACCGCCAGTAAAGGATGCTCCTTTACAACCACCCACTACAGCCTTAATGGCAGGATCAGCAGGTGCATTTGGAGCAGGTCTCTTGGGTGCTATTTGGTATACACAACGTAAACAAAATAAACGCATGGCAACTGAAATTCTCGAAGGCACTGTCCCTACCAATAAGTACACACCTCCCAAATATATCCCTCCCGTCATGACACCCGCCGAGAAAATTATTGCTAAAAAGGAAGCTTCCTTGTTTGCCTTCAAGACATTGGGTTATGGTACTCTATTGGCTTGGGGTACAGCAGGTCTCTTAGCTGTCAGCGTTGGCTGGTATTTAGATGTGCGAAACGTAGGTAAAATTCTTGGTGTATCTATACCAAAAGAATATAAATACTGACAAAGATTCCCTTTTTTTTTCTAACTTAGTTTCAAGAGTTCTCGGATAAACTCAAAGTGATTGTACCTAAAAAGACAGCTAATTTACGTAAAATGCTCGGAGGCACCAAATTGGAAATGACAGAGGCAGAACAGCTTGAGATTGATACTATTCAATTGGAAGATTAAGAAGCGATTAGAATTCACGACGTCATTTTTTTTATTTCTAAAAAAAAAAAAAAAAGCTTCTAAAATAAATATAAAGGGGGGATGTGCATTATTTTATTTACCTTTTTTTTTCTCTCTCTCTCTTCATCACTCTTTTCTATACTTTTATATAATGACAGTGGATATTGACCCTATTATGCGTGATACCAAGCTGGATGAGATCTGTCAAAAGAAAGGATATCTTATTGACATGGACAGCGTGATTTACAATGTAAGTACTACTACTATGAAAAAAAAAAAACCCTAATTTTTTTTTTCTTCTCTCCTTTCAGGGCTCAAGGTTGTTGCCTGGAGCGGAAGAACTACTCGCTTTCTTGGTAGAACACAAGAAGGAATACCTGTTACTTACCAACAATTCTGCACGCACACCGCGTGAATTGCAATACAAATTTCAACGTCTCGGACTCAATATCCATGCAGACCATTTTTTCACCTCCGGTCAAGCTAGTGCCTTTTACCTGCAGTCGGAGAAGAAAGCTGAGGGTGGCACGGTGTACGTGATTGGCGAACCGGGACTCTGCTTATCCTTGTATGAAAAGGGTTTTTACATGAACGATCATAATCCGGATTATGTTGTCTTGGGTGAAACGCCAAACTATAATTTTGAAAAGATCACAAAGGCCATTCAACTTGTGCAACAGGGTGCTACCTTAATCGCCACCAATCTGGATTTGGCCAGTGCTGATCGTCATGGTCATACAGTCCCTTGTACCGGTGCCTTTGTTGCTTGTATCGAATCGGTCACCCAGAAAAAGGCCTTTTCTTGTGGTAAGCCCAATGGTTTAATGCTGCAATATGCTCAATCTACCTTGGGCTTGGATCCATCAGACACTTGTGTCATTGGCATTGAGTGAGTAAACCCTTTTTTTTTTATGTGTGTCTATCTATCTGTAGTGAGTTAACTCCTTAAAACGTCAAAAATAGACATCCATTAGATCCTGGTGTAGTTGTCTCGGTAGGTAATCAACCTTCCATCGTATTGGATACCGTGTTGGAGATTTCACAAAAGAGTCAAAAAAAAACAGTGATTTCATTGGATAAATAAATAGAAAAAAATAAATATAATTAGACCGTTTTTCCTCTTCTCTCTCTCTCTCTCTCTCTCTTCTCTCTTTGTCTTTTTTTTTTTTTTTTTTTTTTTTTTACATATATACACATACATTTGTTTCTCATAGTCAAAGAATGGACCACATTGAATTAGAAAGAGTGTCTGATTCTTCTACCCCACGTACTCCACCCAAGCAAATAACCAACAAAAACAATGGAGCTGGAGTCTCTCGAGTACCTTCAAGTTCATTGAACAGGGAACTATACCAGTCGCAATTCCGTCAACGACCTTTTGGTCAACTTCGGGATAATCTCTATGCTGCTTTACCTGTACCCCCCCATGTGATTCCCGTTGTGTCTTCATCGATGCAAGTGGATCAATACGAGGCCATGATGGTACAGCCGAGTCGCATTGCAGATAACTTGACCATCCAGGACTTGATGGAGCCTTTCTCCTTTGCCCAAGGCCCCACGGACAAGGATAAGCTTGCAAAGACACTCTTCTTGAAAAAGCTCATTGCCAAACTCACTTCCAACGGAATCGTAAGTTTCTCTTTTTTTTTTTTTAAAAAAAAAAAAAAAAAAAAAAAAAAATACGTGACGATCTGACCACACCTTTCATTATATCTAGAATTACGACATGGCCATTATTTGTAACTGCAAAGCCTCACAGAAATATGTCTATGAGACCTTGTCTTCATACAAATACAACGTTCGCAGGATTACCGACTTCAATAACTCTCAGAGTATATTTGGAGTCATGGTGAAAATCAGAAGGCATATCAAGGACCCAGCTCTAGTAAAACTCTCCATCCCCCATTTTTTTTTTTTTTTTTTTTTTTTTTTTTTTATATATACATATATATATATATATGCAAATGAAAATGAAGGCGCAGTAAGTTGACTAACCTCTTACTTTTTTTTATCATGATTGTTATCTTTCTTTTTTGTAGTACACTCCCATTGAACGTAATGAACTGGATGGCCTCTTTATCTACGACGCGGCCTGTCACACTTCAATTGACAAAGAATTGAAAGTGTTTACAGGCGTGCGTTCGTGTGGTCCTACTCTTTTCAATCTTTGCTGCATGGACTCAGCCGAGATTCGTATCTTTACCTATAACCAAATCGTTGCCCCCGAAAAGGCAATTACTTGGGATACCAAGGTGAGGGATCTCGACAAGAACTTGAAGCAAATCCTCCTTTTACAACCCAACAGGGATCCGGATCCTGTCTTCTATAGTGGCTGGAATGACTATCTATCCCAAAATGTATTCAACTGGATAAGTAATCCTAACAATAATGTCTACCAAGTCAAGTTTCCATCCAAAGGTGGCCTTCTTTCTCAACTTCAACAATTCATTGTCCACCATCCTCTCACTACCTCGTCCATCCCCGCTCATATTCAACATCCTGCTCTCCCTTCCGTAGCTACTGCCTCTACCCCTGTCTCTCCTGCTCCTACACCCACCAGTAGTAGTAGTAGCAGTGGTAGTAATGGTAATAGCAGTAGTTATAGAGGTGGTGGTAACACTAGCAGTCATATGGAGATCGATTCAAGACCCACCAAACGCGCCAACATTGAACCTACTGCCAAGCAACAATTAATCAGTAGAACTACGTCCAATCAAAAGTCAAACTCCAACCTCGTTACCACAAAGGCTTCCATCATCCGACCCGATCAAATGCCCGAAACTGGTATTCATCCTGATCGTATAGCCATGATGATCAATACCGGTACCAATAACACGGACATGATGGCGCAGACCAATAAACGTGGATTGAGTCCCCCAAAGAATCTTCCTCCCCTCAGCAAACACCGACGTCTGGTAAAAAATATATAAAGGGAGATATTGGTGCATCATTGCTAATTATTTGCGAAACAAAAAAAAAAAAAAAAATGTGTTGTTCTTTTAGGATCCAGAGAGTCATGCTATGAAAGAACAAGCTAGTTCATCTGCCAATCCTGTACGGACGCCACTTTATCACCCACCTTCGTCCAGTGTCGACCGATTATCTCAGCCAGCATCCTCCTCCTCCGCCATGGACACGACGACATCGTCTCCCTCTGAAAAATTAAAAACGATTTTACCTCCTGTAGAAGAAGTCAATGCCATTGCTGCTGAAATTACCAACGACTTTGATGATTTTTTGAAAAAAGCTTTACAAAAGTTTAAAGATGACATTAATGCCATCAAGTTTTAAATAACAGTGTCTTTTTTTAATCAATAAATATTTTTTACATTCATTTTTTTTTTTTTTTCATCCATAACAAAAAGTGTCTACTTAACCCCCCCATTCCGGTTGCTATTTTTTTTTTTTTTTTTTGTTGCAACAAAAAATAAGTATGAGATACTTGAAAGGTAATGGTCCTCCATCAATAAGACGTTTATAATTGGACTTCATCAAAATAATGTAATAAAGTGCTTAAACCAGTTTTTTTTTTTTTTTTTTTTTTTTTGTAGTGATTTCAATCTCACTTTGCCAATTGTTTTTCGATATCAGTTGCTTCCTCAAGCCATTTTAAGTAAAGACCAAAACATGATAAAACCAATTAAACCATCTTGACACTTTTAAAGCACTGAGCAGTTCTAAAAAAAAAAAAAAAAAATCCACCCACCAGAAGACACCCCAAATTGAACCTGCTGCTCATAAACAAGCTCGATCCCATGCAAAATCATAGGAAGACTGATACACTTTTTTTTTTGACAGAATCCATCTTTTGAGAATCAAGAAAAACAAACCCTGCCTTGTCAATGAGAAACGGGGTGTACTTGGAAACGTTTTTTTTTTTTTTTCGTTAAAGAAGGTCAGAGGATGAACAATTCAATGTTGATCTATTGACAAAGAAGACTTTTTTAAAAAAAAAATTAAAAATAGGACATTCGATTGGTCAATATTTTGTTTCCCATGTTGAATAAATCTTTTTTTTGTTGTTCGTGTGTTATAAAAAGAAGGGTGGGGGGGGCTTTTTGGGCGTACCATTTTACAAGGAGGTTACCATAAATAAGAGAAAACTTGTATTTTTTTCGGATAGGGCCTGTAACACGTGATGCAAAATCTAGAACAAAAAAGTATAGAGAAGGCGTTCATTCATTTATCGACATGTGATTTAACCCCCCCCCCTTTTTTTTTTCTTCTGATCAAATAAGGGAGGTGTTTATGTTTTAAAGTTGTCATGTTTGAGTTTTTATCCCTTATTAAACAAAAAAAAAAAAAGGAGTTGAAAAAGATAACCCCACGTGGAGGGGAAATGGGTAACATCATTTTTTTCCCCATAGAACAAAAAAGATCATTGAAAAAGAATGACGGCATTTAAACACAGACCCCCCAATCTAACAAAAATGGAAAAATGAGATCTTTTCTCATTTTTAACAAAAAAAAAAAAAAAATAGATCGATTTGCCCTTTCACATTTAAAAAAAAAAAAAAAAAAAAAAAGGATCGATCGGTTTTAATTTATTTCCAGTGTAAAACATGTTTCCCCAGAACTTTATCCGTCGTAGATCTTTTTCAGGGTTTTTGTCTACACTACCGTCATTGGTAAATCCCACACATCCCCTTTTCATAAAATTGTTCTGTCTTTAGTGAAATTAAAAACTGCATAATTTATGCATCATTTGACAAAGGGACTCTTCTGCACATCGCCATCATCAACTTTTTATTTTTTTTATTTTTCAGCTTAAAAAAAAACCAGCGTCCTGTACAATAAAATCATCCATCATCCTGGGCAGATACATTGTCTGGTATAAAAACCATTAGAAATAGATCCTTGTATTTCAAAGTCTGCTCTCTTTGCATCAGTCATATTTTGTTCATCTTTGCTAATGTATGCCACCAAGCTGCACCAGAGAGAGAGAGAGAGAGAGATGCATAGAATGTTGTACTTCTTTTATTGACGCTCTAAATGTAAAAAAAAAAAAAAAAAAAAAAAAAAAATTGATGCTTAGAGTATCTCTAGTCCTTCTATGATCTCTCAAGAGTTAAACTTCCACCAAGATTATTTAACATATCGATTTTCTGACTCAACATGCGCCTTATAATTATCATGACGCAATGAGTGAAAAACATCACTGTAAGACTGACAAAAGGCACATGGCATTCTTTTTAGAGAGCAAAAGATATTAAGGCCATTTTTTTTCTTTTAAAGACTGTTTGAGATGAATAGTTAGCATACGGTTTAATAAATAGTAGACTGGGTAGTAAAATTAATTAAATGTTCTACCTGCCAATTAAACCTACAATAAACTACAGTAACTGTTACAATGTATGTCATAACATTTAAGTATTCACCAGAATAACCCCGTCCACTGATATGAGACAATGTTATCTTAAACCTATCTCTTACAATTAGAAAAAATCTGAAAGGTTGACTTCATCATTAAAAAAAAAAAAAAAAACCAAGACCTGCGAAGAAAGAAAGGCTGAAGGATACATAAGTTCAGGAACTGTTACTGGTCCACTATATCAGTTTCTTAAAAACTACACTCGATGAAATGGAACAAACATCCACATATGAAAGGCCACTCTATTGTTATGGATAATGCACCCATTCACACACATGAAAACATAAAGAAGTATATTGAGTATCGAGGATATAAATGTGTGTATCTTCCTACTTACTCTCCAGAGCTTAATCCAATTTGAACAATTCTGGGCAGTGGCAAAAAGTAAGGTTAAGCGTCATAGGTTTTTGCAGGAAGACACTTTGTCCAAGAGGATTACAGAAGCCTGTAACAGTGTGAAGCAAAGTCATTTCAAAGGTTTCGTCTCGCATTCTTACCAGTGTTGGGACAAATGTCGAAACAGACAATCTATGTAATAACCCAAACGAATGTGCGATTAGGGGAAAAACGGTAAGTGCAATAAAAAAAAAAAGCTGTCCAAAACTGCCAGCCAAAAAAAAAGGCTATCCAAAACTGCCAGCCAAAAAAAAAGGCTATCCAAAACTGCCAGCCAAAAATAAAAAAAAAAAAAAAAAATTGTTTTTCTTCTGTTCGTTCCCACAGATACAAAAAAACTATGTCATCTAGTGATATTGTAAATCGCAGCAACGAACGGAATACCATTATTTTGTTGAAAAAAAGCATGTCCTTATTGCGACAAGTTGTATCAGTCGAATCAAAAAGCCGTGAACCATATCGTTGCCATTCATCAGAAAAAAGTGGAACGTCTTCCCTCTGGTAACCGTAATTTTGGCGTGTACAGTCAAGCGAATGTTCAAAAGTATGAACGACTTGGCTACTCCATCGTGGTTCATTATGGCTGTGTCTCTTGCAAGGAGACCTTCACTGAGAAAGAAGAACTGCGAAAGCATTGTGACTTGAACCATGTCATAGCATCTCAACCTGAAAACGGGTAATGAAATATGGAAATGTCTAGAACTCCGTATTTTTTTCAAACGTATTTTTTCAAACGTGATGGTCTACACGTCGATTGACATGCCATATCATCTAAACTTCATTGGATGATCGTTTTCTGTTTTCCATAAAATCTGCTTTACTGCCATTACAAGCTACTACTGGAATGCAGATAGACAATTACCAAGCTCTGACTTGCTTGGTAGGTTTTTGCAACTGTTTCTATTTTAAGTAAAGGCTCAAATATTATGGATGATAAAATAGACAAATGAAATCATCCTGACATAAGCTTGTTTATCAATAAATAAAGCTGGTTCACACACTTTGTTCTTCTCCTTTTCTTTTTCCTTAACATACTTCTTTTATCGTATGAAAGTAACCGATCACATAAAAAGGTTAGTTTAGTAGTGACTCTTGTTTCTTTGAAAAGAAGCTAAATCGAAAAAGATATATAATTGTGATATTGCGGCTGCGGCTAGTCTTTGCAATAGGAGGGCGACCTCCTAGGCAGAGTTCTTGAGTTTTTGGAACTCACGAACCGTGAATAGCTGGGATTGGACTGTAAATAGGTGCAATCATACTGGTCTGCCAGAATTCCTGTAAGTGGTACAAAAAAAATACGTTTGAAAAAAATACGGAGGTCTAGACATTTCCATGAAATATTTAGTATGACAATGATTTGGTTTTCTAAATTTTATTTGTGTTAGGATCATTACTGCACCTGAGGATATCATCAAGTTAGGCTGGATTTTTTTGTTACCAGACAATGACCATCTTGTCTTTCAGAACATCGACATTACCAAGGGATTTCACGAATTTCGCCATTATGTGAAAACGATCATTGACGAACCGCGTCTCTTGACGTACGAATCCCATGTCCAGCACGTCTTGGCATTGTCATCAATCCTCTTGCTAAAACCATGCCGCACCAACAGTGACCTTCACCAGTTCATAGGACGTGAAATATGCGAAGGCCTTATTGAATATTTGCTGGAAGAATATGGCATTCGGTCGTGCAAATTTGACCAATATACTCGACTTGATGCTGAAAAAATCGTGAAGGTATAATCAAGAAAGTGAAGAAATGGCTGTAACTGATTTATCATTTATTTAGAATTGCATCAGAAAGAAGATTACAGAGTTCCAGGATTCTCAAAAGTTGATGGCTCTTATGGTTGCCAGCAACGATGTCCACAACAGGATACTATTTTGCTTTCGAAATCTGTAAGGGCGAATAAGGAAGAACGCAAGTCATAGCGTTTATTCATTATATTTCAATTAACATTTGCCCGTAGACTTGAACAATTACCTTTGGAACCAATCAGTCAGAAGGTTGATGAACTGGAGTTGATTACAAGATATACCACTGCGGCTATCAATCCATTGTTGGAAAACCTCATGAAGCACGTCATGTTTCGGTGGTATGAAAAGAAATATTTCAGTCAAACTTGTGCTCAATTTCTTTTGTCATTTTCGCGTACTTTAGGACTTCTGTTGCCAATGACGAGTGCAAATCCAGTGAGATGTCATTGTTACTGGCCAGACCTGATTCTACAATCAGCATGGTGATAGGCACGGAGATCGGGCAAACTGTAGGATATGGAGAAGTGAAACCGGCATCCCAGGCGCTGAATCACAAGCTAGTCGGAAAAGACTTGGTGCGATTGGCACTTTTAGCAAAGAACGCCATTGATACGTATCGTAGCAAATTTGTCCTGTCGTTTCTTGTCGTTGGTAAGTTTTTCTGGTTTTTTTATTTTGAATGCAAAAAAAAAGACATATTAACACTCTTTCTTTAATTATCATCACGTTGAATAAGGACATCACGCAACATTCTATTTGACTGATGGTACATGGAATGGCTTCTATCCAATGGTCGAAATTGCCCATATTCAATTGCCAATGTCTTTGAAAGAACTTCCACTTTTCATCGCACAAGCCGACCAATTGACAATCGTTTCCTCAGCCTTCTGGAGCTTGTGTGTCGACCAGAAAACGGATCAACAATCATCACTTATGCCAGCCCTTTCCGACAATGAAATAGCAACAATTATGGATATCCACACCAACCGCAAAAGAAAAGCAAGTACCAGTCACCAAAATCATTGATACCTCTCATCCTACTTAATTCCTATACATTTTTATTAAAGCAACTAGTAAAGTATACTACTCAAATGAGTCCTTTTTCGTTTCACGATATTTTTTTTTTTTCTTTTTTTTTTTTTTTTGGCTGGCAGTTTTGGATAGCCTTTTTTTTTTGGCTGGCAGTTTTGGATAGCCTTTTTTTTGGCTGGCAGTTTGGATAGCCTTTTTTTTTTTTTGGCTGGCAGTTTTGGACAGCTTTTTTTTTTTTTTTCGAGTGTGCCAAAAAATCATCGTGACACGACTTTTATTTTCAAATGTGAGCGACATGGTTTCTAAAAAATACGACTTGGTTCCTGAAAGTGCGAAATTGATGTTGATCACACAACGACATCGATTTTGATTGGTTGGCGACATCATTTTTGACCGTGTGCGACATTGCCAGTTGGAAGCACTGTATACGACCCCAAAGAAGCCAATGTGTCACCGTGCATCCGGTGTAACTGCGTATCGTTTATAATATGGGCTTAGAAAACGATGTCAGATTTAATTTTCTTTTTTTGTTCTTTTTTTGTTCTATTCTATTTTTTTTTTTTCTTTTTTAACCGTAAATCTTTATGTCTAAAGTCAAATCTTTAAAGAATCATTTGCTTCTGTCACTATGGTATTTCTGCATAGTATCTATCGGATTTGTTAAAGGAGAAGCGGGGAAAATCACAATCACCGATAAATCAATCTCTTTTAGTCCAAGATTATTTGGAAGATCAGCTGTTGCTTACAAAGATAGGATGTATGTTTATGGTGGAAAACATGCTGCTCTTGTAGCTCACTCAAATGATATGTACGAATACATTTTCGATACTCCTAATAACGAAAAAGCCACCATGTCTTTGGTGAACGGGACGAACAAGGGCCCAAGTTGTTCTTTTTGTGGTGCTGTCATGATCGATGAAAGCCATATGATGATATTATCTCATGAATACGCCAATGCCTGGATCAACTCCACAGAAAGCAGAACAGTTGTAAGGCCTTATATTTTTGATTTTGTCAGCCTTACATGGACTCAAAAAGAGGTTCCTTCCTACAACAAATCAGAAGAAAATCTTTATTACATGAGGGCGAAACATAGTACCGTTTTAGGTTCCGACGGAAGGATTTACGTTATAGGCGGTACCAATTTTTTTGAGGACACTACACCTTTGACAGAATCCTATTATTATGACCCAGTCTTAAATCACTATGGCAAGATTAACAATAATGGATTCGAATACAAATCTATCGGTCCCACTGCCTTTAATCTACCGTAAGAAGATATCTTTGAAAAAAAAAAAAAAAAAAAAAAAAAAAAAAAACTAAAGTTTTACGCCTTTAAATTTCAAAAAATTAATAATGAGTAGTGATGGAAACATTGGTTCTGTTTTTGGAAGAATAGGAGCAACGGGAGAATATAATTGGTACGATACAATGATGGTACTGGATACAAAAACTAGCACATGGATTAAAAATCAGACTCTATCATCATCACCTTTAAACACTATACCACTAAAGCGAGAATATATCGAAGGGGCAACCGTACAACTGATTCCCAACACTAATTTCGCTGTATTTCTCGGTACAGCTCCTGCTTACAAAGATCAACTTGTTTCTGATAATGAGCCAGAAATAATGATGATAAAAAGACTGGCAGGATATGCCAAAAATATCAAGACAAGAGATTTGATACCAGGTAACACTCTTTTTTCACCTTGGCTGGTATCAACCAAATTCTACAGCATGATAAGCTAAAAATATGAAGACACAAAAGGTTTGATACCAGGTAACACTCTTTTTTCACCTTGGCTAGTATCAACCAAATTCTACAGCAGGATTAGCCAAAAATATGAAGACAAAAGGTTTGATACCAGGTAACACTCATTTTTCGCCTTGGCTGGTATCAACCAAATTCTACAGCAGGATATGCCAAAAATATGAAGACACAAAAGGTTTGATACCAGGTAACACTCATTTTTCACCTTGGCTGGTATCAACCAAATTCTACAGCAGGATTAGCCAAAAATATCAAGACAAAAGGTTTGATACCAGGTAACACTCATTTTTCACCTTGGCTGGTATCAACCAAATTCTACAGCAGGATATGCCAAAAATATCAAGACAAAAGGTTTGATACCAGGTAACACTCTTTTTTCACCTTGGCTGGTATCAACCAAATTCTACAGCATGATATGCCAAAAATATGAAGACACAAAAGGTTTGATACCAGGTAACACTCATTTTTCACCTTGGCTGGTATCAACCAAATTCTACAGCAGGATATGCCAAAAATATCAAGACAAAAGGTTTGATACCAGGTAACACTCTTTTTTCACCTTGGCTGGTATCAACCAAATTCTACAGCATGATATGCCAAAAATATGAAGACACAAAAGGTTTGATACCAGGTAACACTCATTTTTCACCTTGGCTGGTATCAACCAAATTCTACCGCAGGATATGCCAAAAATATGAAGACACAAAAGGTTTGATACCAGGTAACACTCTTTTTTCACCTTGGCTGGTATCAACCAAATTCTACAGCAGGATATGCCAAAAATATCAAGACAAAAGGTTTGATACCAGGTAACACTCTTTTTTCACCTTGGCTGGTATCAACCAAATTCTACAGCATGATAAGCTAAAAATATGAAGACACAAAAGGTTTGATACCAGGTAACACTCATTTTTCACCTTGGCTGGTATCAACCAAATTCTACAGCAGGATATGCCAAAAATATCAAGACAAAAGGTTTGATACCAGGTAACACTCTTTTTTCACCTTGGCTGGTATCAACCAAATTCTACAGCATGATATGCCAAAAATATGAAGACACAAAAGGTTTGATACCAGGTAACACTCTTTTTTCACCTTGGCTGGTATCAACCAAATTCTACAGCATGATATGCCAAAAATATGAAGACACAAAAGGTTTGATACCAGGTAACACTCATTTTTCACCTTGGCTGGTATCAACCAAATTCTACAGCATCTGTCTACAAATAGTTGGGATCACATTCAACTAAAATCCTCTGAGCTTTATAATCCTATGAAGTCTTACGCGTCCTCTGTCATTATTTTCAACAAATAAATAGTGTTTGCCTTTGGTCTATTTATTTCTGAAGGTTATAACATGGATTTATACAAATACCTGGACTTGATAGAATGGTCAGACCAAAAGCTTGATAACGTAGAAAATTCATCGGATAATTTTTGGATAACTTGGATTCCATCTATTTCGCAACAAGAAAGATTACCATCATCTCGCAATACTTCAAATTTAAATGTTTCTCCTTCAGTCATCTTTTTCACCGTGCTGATATGTGTCTTAGTGGGTGTCATAATTGCAGTGAGCATGCTAAAAAATAGAAAAACTGCTTTTTTTACGAAACCATACGCGTGTAGCTATCAACGAATCATCAATTTTTTCTGCAGTAGAAGGTAGTACGTGGTTTTAACCCAATTTTAACAAAACTAATCATCAAGCACAAAAAAAAAAAAAAAAAAAAAAAAAAAAAAGAGTCGGGGAGACATTTGCGACGCAGATGTACGGCCTTGTAACAAACTTGGTTTCTTTCATGCTGCTTATGCTTTTTATCGCCTACTTTGTATACAGCATTGTAAATAGCCCTGTATCGACAACGGAAGAAGTGTTAGAGGCAACTGACATACCTTTTCCAGGTGAATTTAAGAACATAGTGAATGACAACATTGATTTAATAATACTAAATGTACTACATTACTTTTTTTTTTTTTTTTTTTTTTTTTAGACGTTCGTTTTTGTTACACTGGTTGGAAATATGATAGCTACAATGATACGACTGGTAATTTTCCTCAATTGACCTGTGAATCTTCCGATGACGTCGATAACTGTGAGGATGTTTATAAACTTCCAAGGTCTATTATGAGCCCACACTCATTATTCAGTGATACATTATGCTACATGTATTCTCCGTCAAAAGATAAGTTAAACTATATATATGAAGGCGTTCACCTCCAGTTTTTTCATGTGGGTAATGTTATGAGTGACAATGAACAATCAACTCGCATTCAAATATATGAACCAGCCAAAAATCCAAATCGTCAAGTTTTCAATATTTCACCTTTGCCTAATGAGTGGAGTGTAGAGTATCTGGACGATTGGATGGATATGCAAACCAATAATTCTTTTGTATATGGTACTTCAGGACAGAAAATTGCTTTCAATGGCGTGCCAGGTGTCAGCATTCATTTTAAAATGACTTACACACAAAAAATCGATCCAGATAGTCTTTGGAATCTAGTAGGCGTATTTCCCAAGTACATTCAAATGTCAGAGCTTAGCATCATCAATTCGGAAATACTTGGCAGTCCAAACGCCAGTTTCGACTTATTTCATTACATCAACATTTACCCTGTAGATAACAAGAAGATCCTCATTACAGAAAAAAGAGATATAACCATCATATCTACGCTTGGTGTTCTAGGTGGAATTGTCAGTATGTTAATAGCTGCCAGAGTTTTTTTATTCGGGGCAAAGCCGACAGAGCCTTGGGGTGTTTTCCAACGTCTTTCTCTGCGGTCAAATCGAGAGCAGAACAAATCTGAAAACTTGAGAAAATACTTTCTTATTCCTGGCGTTGATAATATACCATTTGTAACACCTGTCCATCAACGATTTTCTGATATCTATGCCAAAAACAAAGACAGGCATGTTACCACCCTAGGCAACAGTAGTTCAGTCAGTGCAGAAATGGACTCCTTGATCAACAACCGTTCTGATGCAGGCATGCGAATGAGAAATAACACTAGCGTGACAGAAATCAATCATGACGTTGTGAATGCTTTGAAAAATATGCAAGAAAGATTAGACCAGTTGGAAGGACGAAACCAAATTCTCGAGTTAGTATTAAAGGCATATTATATCGATGATAGAATTTTTCGCGAAATACATGAAACTACAAAAAAAGAAACAAGTTCAGTTTCGGATTTGGAAATGAGCCCATTGTCAGAAGTAATAAAAATCGAAGAGAAATAGGAGTCGATGAAAGAATACTTGAAAGAATTGGGAAAATTTTATTTTTGAATTTCCAAATATATAATTTACAGTGGTTACTCAATCAGCAAATATGATGATGGTGTCTCTACTACGAGATCAGGATGACAGTAAAAAAAAAGAAAAATGTTTTTTTTTTGTTTTATTTGAACTATATATATATGTACGACCCATAGAAAGAGAAAAGAAAAAGAAAGAAAGAGAGAAAATGCATTTTTGGTAGGTATCTTTTAAGATGGGGGAGGAGAGGATGGAGGATGGCCTTCTGTTGCTTCTTCCTTTGGCTCTTCATGAGCAGGTTTTCCTTTGGCAGCAGCCACAATATGCATTCCCAAATGATGTGCGGCGTTAAACAACATTTGCCAAGCCATGGACATAAGGAACATCAAAATAATCATGGCTAACATAACATAGATATATTTGTTGATGGAGTATTCTACCAAGTGATTGGGATTTCTGTTCAGCATGGCTTGTGGGGCTGCAATTAAACCTGTACGTGACAAGCAGTCTACGCCAAACATGAAAATATAGGCACCTACAAACGAAGTGGCAAAAAAGAGCATGGGACGTAAAGCGAAAAAGGTGACAACACCTGTTAATAGAGCCATACCACCCAGAAAACAGGGCCGTCCAATAAGCTACAAGAAAAAAAAAAAAGATAAGTCAACATGTCCATGATAATATGGATGACGTTCTGTAAATAAAAACTTACGGAAACAATAACCAAGTCACTCTTCCAACTAAGAACAAAGATGGCAAAAATAAAGCCGCCGAATGCTAAATTGGTAATGAGTACATGACAATGGATATAATGGATAATAATAGATAGATATATATATATATATTACCACAAACAAGGTACAAGGCGATATTCCAAAGAACGTAATAAGCCACAGCGCCAACAAGACCCACGCAAACGGGTACCACGATCATCAAGATAGAATCCATTGGATAACCTGATACGGGTCTGCAATTTGCTAGACCAATCCAGGTCATGGAACCAAAAGTCAATAATCCCATGACACATAACATTTCCTTAAATCTTCTGAAGCCCATACTACACAAAAACAGGCCTAATACAATTAAAATCGCACCTAAACTTGCCATCCTTGACGAAATGCCAGATTCTGTCCCGTATACCGCAACTATAATAAAAATCCATAAATGTTAAAAAAAAAAGAAAAAAAACGAAGGTCTACGCGCTTATTTCTTTTTTGGCGGATCGCTTACCAAACCAAGCTGTTGTGGCTGCAGGAATAATGGCTGGAGATCCATTATGACTGCCATTACTACCACCCCCTTTACCAGTTTCTGTTGCGGTAGCGGTTGCTGTCTTGGTAGAAGAAGATTTTCTAGAGACAGTTGCTTTGTTGAATTCATTGACACTATTTGTTTCTACTTCCTGTCTTTTTACAAGTGTTGTTGTAGGTGTAGGTTGAGCGAAAACCGAACTTAGGATGAGGGTTGTTAGTAAAAAGCAACACAGGATCCACTTTGATGATAGCATGTTTGGGGATGATGTAAAATAAGAAGAAAAGATATTTGACTATCAAACAGAAACAAAATGTTTTTTTTAGCCACTCTTTTTATAACATCAACTAAAAAAAATCATAACAAAGGGGGAAGGGAAGGTTGTACATGTCTTTTCTATTTTTAGTCGAGTTGCAATAACATGGAATCTCGGGATAAGCGTCAAGACTTATTTTTACTGCTAAAAATAAAAATAAAAAGTTTGTTATGTATACTTATTATACTCGGTTAGTGAAAAGAAGAAATTCCGAGTTGGGAAACAATAACAACAAACAGCCTCAAATAATTTTTTTTTTTAATAATCATTATAAATGAAAGATAGAAGGTTCATTTTTTAGCCTCCCCAACAATTAGATTTATGTTTCAAACATGCCAGTTAGTGTCTTTATATTACTATCTCTGTTTATAAAATGGGAAGAGATAAAGAAACAAAGAATAAAAAAAAAAAAAAAAAGGGACTACGTCAAGTAAGGTTCGAGAACAAATAAGCCCTGTGATTAGATATGTCGTCAATCACATTTAACAATGTGAGTACAAGCGGAGAAAACAAGAGCCAGTCCCTATACAAGTTGCTTTGTTCAAGTGGTGGGCTTCTATTACACTATATGACATCAATTGAAAACATAGGTTCATGCTTTTTACGTGATTTCTTTTAGCGGGCTCAAGTCCTGCTTCAAAACGAAAATAGAGGGGAAGAAAGCAATAGAGGTACGAGGGCAACTTTGGATAAAAAGTGGCATACGTTCAAGTGTTGTTTAATTAAAACGGACAACGCACACCCTTTGCACTACCACTCAAAAAGGTGGCGAATTATATATAGGCACAGGGTGGGTGTCATTTTAGCTCTCCCATCAGCGCACTTTCTTTATATATTCTTCTTGAATGTTGAATGTGTTTTACAAGGCATGGCGATGAGTTTTGATTAATGTTCCAACTAAATCGATGTGCTTGGTAAGAAGCGGTTCAATCGTAAGGGCAAGTCTCACATGGTGAACATAAAGTCCTGTCCAATGCAAGTAATGATTCAGCATGTTTTTAAAAGAGATGTAGGTCGTGGAGCCACAGTTTTCCCAAGAATGCGCTTTGAATCGCTGTTTCATTTTACTAAACAGTCCACCCAAACATTTACTTGGTATACCTCCAACCTGTTCATATGAGTAAATAATCCTAAGAATTCATTACTGATTATAACGTCGAAATTATTTCTTTCCTCTCTCACTCTGAGCAGTCTCTGATTACCAGAACTGGCAAATACAATGCTTTTTTGCTAATTTGGGTCACAGCTTTAATTTCACAATTTTCGGTTCTTTCAAAATGCTTCGATTTGTAAGCATCGAGCATATGTCTTGTTATTTTATATCCTTTCTTTAACATGTAATCAATCAAACCCATCATTTTTTAAAAAGAACTCTACGATTACTTAGCAAGAAAATCCATGCCATGGAAGTTCCATAATGTCGACATCAACTATGATTAATACATTATTCAACTTTGGCAGAAAGTCTTGTTTAACCCTTTTTGTAAAAAGGGCAGTCGCATTTAAGGTACATAAACAAATTCTTAAGCTACCATCGACGCTCCCCGTCATTGTATTTTTTTACAATCTGGGGTTGGTTCCTTTTGTTGGATATATATAGACGCTTACCTGTCTTCAATGAGTTATCAGTGTGCAGCTTAAACTCTTCAAAGTATTTGATAACCTTAATGTAGTACAACTTTAAAGTCACTGAAAAAAATCATAAAGAAAACTTGTAGTATTTGGGGGTTACCCAGCATAATTTATGAAGTAAAAAAAGGGAGTAAAAGAAATTAGAGTGGACATTTTGCAGATAGGATTGGGGACTCTGAAGATCACGTCCTTTTACCCCGCATCACTTTAAATTTGACGACATATTCTTTAATGAATTTCTTTGTTCGTATTTTTCTTTCCTTGTAGCCATAAAGTTTTAAATGATGTCAAAAGTCAAAGTTTTACAAAAAAGATTATTTCTAACATTATGTTCGCTCTTTATTCTATACATTGGACTGATCGAAGGAGCTGTCAGTAAAATCACAATTACCGATGAATCCATACCTTTTAGTCCGAGATTATATGGACGATCAGCTGTTACATACAATAATAAAATGTATGTTTATGGTGGACGTTCTATGGCCATTGTAGGGCACTCCAACGATATGTACGAATATAATTTTGATACACCCAATGGAGAAACTGCAACGGTGTCCCTAGTAAATCAGACAAACAAAGGTCCAAGTTGCGCTTTTTGTGGTGCCGTCATGATTGATGATAGCCATATGATGATACTGTCCCATTCATTTGCAAACGCATGGGCTAACTCTACAGAAAGTAAAACCGTTGTAAGACCTTATCTATTTGATTTTGTCAGCCTCACATGGACTGAAAAAGAGGTTCCCGTATACAACAAAACAGACGAAAGTGCGTTTTACATGAGGGCAAAACATGGCACTGTTTTGGGCACAGACGGAATGATCTACGTTATAGGTGGTACGAACTTTTATGAAGACAGCACCCCTTTAACAACCTCCTATTTTTATGATCCCGTATTAAATTACTACGACATTATCAAGAATAATGGATTTGAATACAAGGCTATCGGTCCCAGTGTACTTAATTTACCGTAAGAAAATAACATTATTTCGAGGTATCTATTATTTTTCTTGCTCTAAAAAACTTTTTTACATGTATGATTATTTAGCGGTGGAAACATAGGTTCTGTTTTTGGGAGAAAAAATACGAAGGGATTCAATTTGTATAATTCAATGATGATATTGAATACAAAAACTAAAACTTGGATGAGAAAGCAAGCATTATCATCTTCATCAGCAGCAGACATCACACTACTAGAGCAAGATTACAACGAAGGAGCAGCAGTACAGTTGATTCCCAATACCTCCTATGCAGCGTTTTTTGGTGCAAGAGTAAACTTTCAAAAGTTGCCTAGTTACGAAGATGGAGCAGGTCCAAATATCATAAAAATTCTTAACCTAATTACATATAATTGGGATATCATTCAGGCGAAAAGAAATCAGTATTTTCAATTTGAAAATAGCTACGCATCATCAGCAATCGTTTCCAATAGATATGTCGTTTTTGCTTTCGGAGCAATCTCTTATAGCAGTTACCTAGCATACAAAGATGTAGACTTATTTGAATGGACATACCCAAAGCCTGACAATGAAAGTATTTCATCCGAAAATTTAGGGCTTAACTGGGTCTCATCTATATCTCAACATGAAAGGCCACCCTATGTCACCTATTCTAGTATAAAAGTCCCCCATCCTATTATTTTTTTTACTGTGCTACTTTGTGTTATAGCCGGTATTATGGTTGCTGTGTATATAGTTGTGAATAGAAAGGCGAAATGTTTCAAAAACATAAAGTTTTGTAGTTTACAACAAATCATTAACATTTTCTGTAAGAGGAGGTAATATTCTGATTTGACTAATCCATGATATTGAAATTTATGATTCAAAAAAAAAAAAAAAAAATAGAGTCGGCGAGACATTTGCCACACAGATATATGGTCTCGTAACAAACCTGGTTTTCTTTGTATTGCTTATGATTTTTATTGCTTATTTTGTACATAGTATCATTAACAGCGCTGTATCGTCAACAGAAGTATCCTTAGACACAAATGACGTACCTTTCCCAGGTAAAAAAAAAAAAAAAAAAAAAATAGAAGATATTGTATTACCCGGAAAATCTTTAATATGTAGCGATATGTTTTAGATGTTCGTTTTTGTTACAGCGGTTGGATGTACAATGGTTTCAACGACATAAATGGCGAATTCCCTAATTTAACTTGTGTGTATTCCGACGAAGTAAATTACTGTGATGATGTTTATGTGCTCCCAAGGTCTATATTGTCCCCTCAATTTCAACAGGGCGAAACGATTTGCTACATGTATTCTCCACCAAAAGATAAATTAAATTACATTCACGAGAGTGCTTATCTTCATTTTGGACACTCAGGTAATCTCACGAATTTATCTGAACACGCACTTCATATTCAGATCTATGAGTCGACCAAAAATCCGAATCGCGCAGTGTATGATATATCACCTTTCCCTCATCAGTATAGTGCAGAATACTTGGATAATTGGATAGATACGCAACTTTTGAACGAATTCGTTCTTGGAACTGAAAGTCAAATGGTGACTGTGAATGGTTTGCCTGGTATCGGCATCCATTTTAAAATAATTTACACAAAAAAGATTGACCCGGATAGTCTTTGGAATCTAGTAGGCGTATTTCCCAAGTATCTTATGCTGTCAGAGCTAAGTATCACCAACACAGAAATAGTCGGTAGTCAGCATACAACAGGTTCATTCAAAGAAATCAAAATTTACCCATCCGACAAAAAAAAAACTGTCATTACAGAGAAAAGGGATGTGACTATTATATCCACTCTTGGTATTATCGGCGGTATGGTGAGTATGTTAATGTCTGTCAAAGTTCTTTTGTTTGGTGCAAGACCAACAGAGCCTTGGGGTGTTTTTCAGCGTCTTTCTTTGCGGTCAAATCGAGAGCAGAGCAAATCCAAAAATTTGAAAAAATATTTTCTTATTCCTGGTGTTGATAATGTACCATTTGTAACACCTGTTCATCAACGCTTCTCTGACATTTATGCTAAAAACGAGGACAGAATTAGTACCATAATTGGAAACAGTAGTTCAGTTGATACAGAAACGGATACTCTCATTGATAGTGGTTCGAGTAGTATGCGGATAAGAAGGAGTGATATGACGACTGATCATCAAGAGGAAATGACCGATTTAATTTATGCGTATGGTCATATTCAAGAAAGACTGGAACAACTTGAGGGGCGGAACCAAATTCTCGAGTTAGTATTGAAGGCTTATTACATCGATGACAGAATATTTCGCGAAATACATGAAACCGCAAAAACTAAGCAGCGTCGTTCATCATCTGATACCGAAACAACTACACTTGCAGAAAAAAAAATATCAATTGATAGGAATGAGATTAACTGAAGAAGATTTTTATCAAGCTTTTTAGTGTAAATGTTTGTGGGAATAATGAAAATAAAAGCCTCAAAAATATAGTTAATCTTTATAAAAAGGGGAGTGGTTATTTATTGAATTGATTAAGTTGAATATTCATTCACACTCATTACATTTGTTAATTTATAAATATTTTATACATCACTGAAGTAATAAAGCGTACATGTTAAAATTACTCGCTAGTAGTACATATAAGCACGATGAAAAAGAAAAATTGGGTCATCCCCTTTCCATTGGGATTGATCGCTTTGTGCCTGGTTCCATTTGTTTTCTCCGCCGCGTAAGTTACACAAATGCACTTTGCTTGGAGCAGCAAAAAATGCTCGCTGACTCGATTTACAAGTCACGATTACCATAAATGGATCGCGCAACATGTTCCTCGTATTTAAATCGAAATTTTACCAGTGCATTAATTCGCTTTTTTGTTTGTTTCATCCCATACAACTTTTTTTTAAAAGAGAGAAAACATGACAAAGTACTTTGTAAAAATCAAAGTTACTGGCATGACCTGTGACGTAAGTAACAAAAAACAAGTTCTCCATGCACCTGATGACACAAAAAAAAAAAAAAAAAAAAACTGAAATGTCAATTCTCTTTTTTTTTAAAAAATAGCATTGTGTCAATACAATAACAAAAGCATTAAAAGAATATAAAGGAGTTTTTAGTGATACCGTGAATGTCAGCTTAGAAGATGAGGAAGCCACATTCCAATTCGAATCAGATCAAGTGGAGGCGGATATACAACATGAATTATCAGAGACGATTGAGGATCTAGGGTATGATGCTGGTACACCCGAACTTTCAACAAGTAAAACCACCTCGGACGATGAAGCATTTTATCAAGCCACGGTTTCAATCTCGGGAATGACTTGCTCTCATTGTACCAACACCATTGAAAAGACCTTAAAGGAGCTGGAGGGTGTGGATCCATCTCGTGTGAAGGTGTCTTTGGATACCGAAGAGGCTACCATGGTATGCACAAAACCCATTCGTGAACAAGACCTTAAGGACACCATTGAAGATCTCGGATATGATGTCGGCGAAATTAAATTTGGTCCTGTCAGTCAACCCATTCCTATTCCCACCACCAAGAAGGGGACCGTGCAAAGCGTGGTATTTTCATTATCGGGCATGACCTGTCAACATTGTGTACGCACCGTTTCAGACGCTTTAAGTAGTTTACCGGGTGTTATACCTCAAACTGTTTCAGTTAATTTGGAAAAACGACAGGGCAAATTTTCGTTTGAAGGTGAATATGTGGATGCAAATAAGATTAAGCTCTTGGTAGAAGGTTTGGGTTATGATTTGAATGGCAGTCCTAGATTTAGTGTAGGAGAAGCCAGCAGTAGCAGTAGTGTAGGACTCCCGAGTTCTTTACAACAACAAGACCAGGTTTTGATCCCAATGGATCATCCAAATGGCGATATAAGACGTAAAGTGGTGATGCGTGTGCTTGGTATGACCTGTCAGTCATGTGTTTCTTCTGTCACGGATGCATTGGAGAACGAAATACCAGACGTACAACCAGGTTCTGTTCACGTTAATCTTCAAACCGAAATGGCCATGTTTATTTGCACCAATCCTGATATGGATCGTATTCATAACGCTATCGAAGATCGTGGATTCAGTGTAGAAAATGTTCAGATCATTCATAATTTGATCCCTCCTGCTGTTCTCTCTGCTGTGGGTGAGGAACCCCAACGCGTGGACGGACGTCAAAATTCAGTCACCTCTCTCAGTTCTGTTTCGGTCGATAGTACAATTGCCGTACCCCACAAAGTCAAGTTTCAAATCACAGGTATGACCTGCTCCAGCTGTGTTCGAACCATTGAGCGTGGGCTTGTGAAATTACCCGGCGTCGTACCTACCTCAGTACAAGTGAACTTGTTGACAAAGACAGGCGGGTTTTCAGTACAAGGTGATATGTTGGATGAGCAAACCATTATCAAGGCGGTCAAAGATATGGGTTACACTGCTAGCAAAGTTGTATTTATCGCCAGTGGATCGAATGGTGTATCCGATATGAACTCTCTAACACAACAACCGACAGTACCTATTTATCGAGCAGAGATGATTATCACAGGTATGTATTGCCCCAATTGTATCGAAAAAGTCCATGCAGCACTTGTCAAATTACATGGCATCCGTTCTCCTTCTATTCAAGTGGATTTGGATAGTGGTCGATCAAGCTTTGAATTTACGGGAGAGTTTATCACTCGTCAACGTATCCATCAGTCCATACTTCAGCTGGGTTTCTCCGCAGAGAGTATCAAGATTACCAAGTCGATGCGTAAAGTGATGGATTCAGATGCTGCAAGCATTACTAGTCAAAAGAGTAGCAAGTATGTATCTACGCATTTGGTTGTAACTGGTATGACCTGTTCTTCTTGTGTTGCAAATATCGAACGTACCGTGATGAAACAAGCTGGTGTGATCAGCTGTCAAGTGAACCTGTTGGCTAAATCCGCTGTGATTGAACATGATCCTACCATAATTGGAGCTCGCTCGCTCGCACAAATGATTGAACAGATTGGATACAAGGCCGAGCTTTCCCAAGACACACAAGGCAACACGATTGCAGAACAACGTGCGTCTATGCGGGAAACCATGGATGCAGAATTAAGCATGTTAAAATCGCGCTTCTTATGGTCTCTTTTATTTGCGGTGCCTGTGGTCTTGATTGCCATGATCTTTATGATGGCTTTACCTTCTTCTAACCCGATCCACAAGTTCTTTATGCGACCGGTAACACAAGGATTGTCGATTGGCGACTTGATCTTGTTTTTATTGGCTACACCTGTTCAATTCTGGCTCGGTTTACCGTTTTATGTGAAGGCGTACAAATCATTGGTCTATTCAAGAACGGCGAATATGGAGACGCTTGTGGCGATGGGTACGACAGTGGCGTATGTTGCATCGGTAGCGTCTGTGATTGCCGCCATGGCACGTCCCATGCCTGGTGCCATGAGTATGAATTATTTTGAGACCTCGGTCTTGTTGATCACGTTTATTCATTTTGGTAAATGGTTGGAGGCTTTGGCCAAGGGTAAGACGGCTGAAACCATTACGAAATTAATGGATCTGCAACCTGAAACCGCTACTTTGGTTGAAATATCGAAACCTTTATCAAGTGTGGGTGAGAGTGGATCTACATTAGTTGGAGAGAATGACGATCGTATTGAAGATATATTGTCCGAAAGAGAAATTGAATCCAAAGACATCCAAGGTAGATAAAAAAATTATAGGAAAAAAAAAAATGCAAATATACTAAAAAAAAATAATCTATATCTATAGTGGGTGATATCCTCAAGATTAATGCAGGAGGTCGTATTCCTTGTGATGGTAAAGTATGGCGCGGTGATTCTGCTGCTGATGAATCCATGATTACTGGAGAATCTGTTCCTGTTACCAAGAAAGTAGGTGACAGTGTCATTACTGCCACCATCAATCTCAGTGCCCCCATCTATATCCGTGCTATCCGCGTAGGCTCCGACACGACTCTTTCTCGTATTATTCAACTCGTGCAAGACGCCCAAGCTTCTCCCAAGGCACCTATTGAACAATTAGCAGATAACATTTCCGCTGTCTTTGTACCTGTTGTGATCGGTTTGGCTCTCCTCACATTTATCATTTGGGAAGTGCTTAGTCTCAAAGATCTTTATCCTGACGATTGGGTCCCCATGGGTGAAAACAAGACCATTTTCTCATTGATGCTGGCCGTCACTGTACTTGTGATTGCTTGTCCCTGTGGTTTAGGTTTAGCTAGTCCTACCGCTGTCATGGTGGGAACGGGTGTGGCCGCTAAATACGGTGTGCTCGTGAAAGGGGGTGGATATGCTCTTGAAATGGCCAGTCGTATTACCACCGTTGCATTTGACAAGACGGGTACTTTAACCATGGGTAAACCCATTGTGACGCATAGTTGGATTGAACAATCTTCTAAATTTGGAGACCAAAGTGCAAGTCAACGTATTGCCATCTGGAAGATTCTTGGTCGTGTTGGGTCTGCCAGTAACCATCCTTTATCCAAATCGATTGAAAAGAAGGCCCGATATATCATTCATGCTCTGATCGAAGATCCCGCGCTTTCTGATGCAGCCTTAATTTCTAATACAACTGATATTGCGGATATCGAGGAAACGAATACGGGTGGTAGTGATGCTTTTGAAGGTGTAACGATCACAAATGCCCAAGAGGTGCCCGGTCGTGGTTTACTTGCAACCATTACGGTGACCAAAGATATTTCTGAACACTTGGCCGGTAAATTATGCAACGTTCGAGCTCTTAATGTGTTCTTGGGAAATCAAGAATGGATGGATGAAAATCACGCACGGTATCAAAACTCACGTCAAGCGAAAGCGTGCCATGATCTTTTAACGGATTGGCAAAACTTGGGACAATCGATTGTGTTGGTAGCTGCATCGCCTGTTTCCGGTAACGATGAAGAGGTCTCATCCGATAGTCTTCACAAGGATGGATGCAAGAATGCGTGTGCTTGTGTGGTATGTAAATGTGCAACGAGTTCAATTTGCTGTAGCGCGTCTCAAACGATGATGATTTCACAATTGGCGATTGCGGATATTGCCCGACCTGAGGCTACACAATTGATATCTGAATTGAGAAAGCGACATATTGAGGTGTGGATGATTACAGGAGATAATGAACGTACGGGAAGAGTGATTGGAAAGCAGTTGGGTATTCCTGCGGATTTCGTTTTGGCGGGTGTGAAACCAGAGCAAAAGGCAGACAAGATCCGAAACCTTCAGAGACGAGGTATTCGACCCGATTCTTATGATGGTCACCGTAAGTTTTGGAAGAGAAACGGAAAGAAACAGCAAGATGCGGTTGTAGCCATGGTGGGTGATGGTATTAATGATTCTCCTGCGCTTGCACAAGCAGATGTTGGGTAAAAGACACAAAATATTTTTTATTTTATTTCATGTGGTTTTTAATTTTTTTTTTTGTTAGTATTTCGGTCGGCTCTGCTACAGATATTGCTATTGAAGCAGCAAGTATTGTATTGATCCGTAATAACCTGATGGATTTGTTGACCATGTATGATGTATCCCGTACGGTTGTGCGTCGTATACGATTTAATTTCTTGTGGGCATTCTTGTATAATACCATTGCGATTCCGATTGCAGCGGGTATTTTATATCCTGCTACGGGAGACGGGCTTCCACCTTATATTGCTGGCATAGCCATGGTTTTATCCAGCGTTAGTGTAGTCTGTTCCAGTTTACTTTTGCGACTCTACAAGGCACCCAAAGTAGTGGAAGATTCACATCAAATCAGATTGTAAAATAACCCATTTTAGAAACCCATGTACATACAATTTTTTATAATTTAAAAAAAAATAGTCTTGAATACTTTTTTTTTGTAAAACTAAAGACTCATCTTTACTCTTATTAAAAAACATACTTATAATATGAAATCGTTATTGTTTATTTTATTTACGTTACCTGCTAGTATTTTCGCGATATACGGTACAGGTAATGGACTTATTTTATTAAGCTCGGATGAAAAGACACGATCGGGCGTACTTAGTTCGGATCACCGGTGCGCCAACTTTCCTCAAAAATTCGAAGCGGAGCATGTCAAGAATACCGGCAGCAGTCATTGTGCGTTATGGACTGATGAGAGTTGTAAAGGGACTTTGTATGTCGTTCCAGCTCATTATACAATGCAAATTCCAGACGATCATTTTAAATCCGTTATTTGTTAATCATAATCATAATAAAAAAACAAAAAACTACTTTTTAATTTATTAAATGGTTTGGTATTTTTAAATTATCAAGAAAGACTTGAGTGACAGATTGACAATGTATGACGAGGACACCCAGTGTTGGCGTATAATTTCCGGGCATCCTGTCTGCCAAAGGCTTTGAAGAGGTATACGATTGATATACTTTATCCAGCTCGGTATTCTTTTCGGTATCCTCACATAAACCATATTCGGGATAAATCATGGATTTGGTAGTGCTGCACCATTGTGTGCGTTGACCCTTTTCATCATGGATTCGGATCCCAATAAAATCGTTGGTCTGAACTGTACCAATATAAATTAAAATTGATGATAGTACAAGCTTTTTTAAACGGATTTGTTGCAAGTCCATTGTCCACTCATTCAAAACATGCGATTTATTGACGGCAGAGCGTTCAGACTCACATTTACTAAACTCCATTGTGTCTAATCGGGGACAGCATGTAGAGAGATATTGAAGCACCACATCATGACGTTCGATTTTGCATTGTACCAAGGAGAGCTCTTCTAAATCAAACACCTGTATATCTAAATCCTTATAATCCTTGTACATCACTTGCACATGCGCTCCTGTCAAAGCTAATTTCTTCAAGCGAGGTAAATGGAGCAAGAAATGATCTATCAAAAACGAGGTAAAAGGGAACTGATCCATAAATCCCTTGGAAAACCATAATTGGAGCGATACTAAACCTTGACATTGAAACAGGTTTTTTGTGACACCCGACCAGCCTGGAATTTGTTCCCAAACACGCAGGCTTAAATGTCGCAGTGAGGCAAGTCCGTCGGACGATGCCAAAGATAGTAAAAATTGACATGACTCGATCGCTTGATAGGTTTGAAAGTCTATATTGAATTCATCGATTTGTTTGTTGGAATTTAGTTCTACAAGGAGCGCCTTTGAGAACAACTGGGGAATGTTTTTACCACCCAAGCTGAGTCGTTGTAGAGAGGGTAAGGAGCGTATCAGATCAATTAATGCGGTTTGCCACATCCATTTGGTTCCAAACCGACTGGTGGTGATCTGGGTCAGTTCTAGTTCTTGGAGTTTGGGATAATTGGTGGTGATAAATTGAAACCACTGGATGGAATCCACATGACCATGCAGGGTTAAAGTACGAACAGTGGTTGGATGCGCAAACAACGAGATGATATCATGTGCTGGTACAGCTTCATGGTGTGGCGTCTTATTTCGTTTAAAATGAAATGCGGTTAACTGCGGTAGATTGGCATGCATCCTTTCTAAATGTTGGGTAGGGATGATTTCGTTTTCTACTTGCACAAGGATCTCTAACGTCAATTCTTTTAACGTTGGTATACGTAAGCGGTCTACCAATGTCTCGAGGTCGTGTGCAGCATGCGTCATGTGTAGTTGAGTTAAATTTGTCCCAAACACGGTCAAGAAGGAGGGTGTAAAATCTTCATAGTGAACAATTCCACATTGTCTCATTTGGGACCACTGCATTTGATCACTTAACTCCAGGTTGGTCCATTGAGAAGGATGAAAACGGAGCACTTCGAGCAAAGGACAGAGGTGATTTAAGGTTAAGAGCGTATCTTGATCCAATAAAACATGTCTTGGATTGTCGTGTAAAGTGGTAGATTCATGGGATATTGTACTGATAAGATGTATCTCTTTGACGAGATAGCCGTGATAAGAAATAGAAGAAACGAGTTGTTTGAGTTGAGTGTCTGAATAGATGAAAACCTTCTTGTAAAGGACTCTTTGAAATGTGTGATGCCATGACCTACAAACCAGTGTAGCGTGCCAACAATCCTGTACCGAGAGATGCGTGGATACTTTGTGTAGAAATTCCGAAGGAAACCTGTTTACAAGAGTCATAGAAAAACAAAGAAAAAGATAAAAGAGAAATTAAAGGAAATCAAGGGGAGATATCTTCTTTAGCATGATTGTGACACAATACACATAAAAAAAAGGGAGAGTAAAAAATAAAAATAGCCTGTATTTATTTATTTTTAACAAAAAAAAAAAAAAAATGGGATATCATCTATGAGGTATTGCTATGGATAAAGAAAAGAAGGGGTAAAACTTTTTTTTTAAACCTCAACCGGTTTGTTTCTAGGTTTCATTCGCCAACTAAATGAAGCCATTCTTTTGACAAAACTACTCGGGCTTTGGTGTGTGACGCTTTCATCGGAAATTGGACTATAATTGACTTCGTTCACCGTATGATAATGCTCACCTGTGTAAAAACTTGTATTCTCTGTTGTTAGATTCTTGGCAGAAGATGTACGTCGAATCTGTTTTAATTGTTTCTTTGTCTTTAGCCCATTGCCGATCTTAATAAAGGCTGATTTCGATCGAGATAGAGGCATGGAAGGCTCATCCAGTACACTTTTACGTTTGGACATGGTCTTTTCCATCACGGATTTTCTCTTCTTGTGTCGGTACGTGCGTGTCTTTTCTTCCACCGATACAAAGTCGGGTGAGTTGGGTCGTTCCGGCAACGGCTTTTGAGTACTTTCGGACACGACAGACCAGCTGGATGAAGAACTCGATGAGTCTACTGTAGATGTACTGGTTTTTCTTGGTGTATTTACAATCTCTGGATGATTAAAATAAGTGGCCTGTTGTTGCTGCTGTTGCTGCTGCTGCTGCTGCTGCTGCTGCTGATGTTGAAACACAGGCGATGGCTCTGGACTCTGAGGTAAATCCTTTTTCTTGGTGGTAATTAATGAAGCCAAACGTAATAAGGACTTTTGCTTGGTTAAATGTCCCTCATCGGGTGTAGGAGGAGGACTGGCAAGAATCTCTTGTCTGTTGCGAAGTGAAGAAGAACGTTGAGGTACAGAGCGAATAATTAAACTGGGTCTATGTTGTGGAGGAGGTGGTGGTGCAGGTGCAGCGATATATTCAGCTAGAGAGTTCTCCAGCGCGATTTTTTCAAAAGCCGGTATTAAACTTGTCAACATGTCTTGTGATTGACGATGCTGTGATTTTCTCCTATAAGATAATTCGGGTAATTTCGGTGCTGTATCCACTTTAATGTCGACGGCAAAGTCCATATCGAATAAACTCATGATTTCGTTTGCCAAGTTTTGAGAAACGACGCTAGACGTCAATCCTGTATCACTTGTCCAACTCAGTCTGTTCTTGTTATTACCGCTAAAGCCGCTTTTACGTCGAGCTTGTTTGGCAGTGTCATCATTGACAATGGGGTTTGCTGGTAAAGGCTTTTCGGAGAGTGGTGAAGGGGACCTCTTGGGAAACTCGACGGATTCATTTGAAAGTGTTGCGTTGGGTTGAGAAAAGATGGATTCGATTGGCTGTGGAGGCTGTAATGGTATCTGTTGTGGTGGGAGAATAGGCTCAACTTCCTCTTCGGCTATCCAGAGATCATCCCCTTGTCCATCATCTTCATCATCAAATATCTCTTCTTCGAAAGGAAAGCTAGTATTCTTGATGGGTCTGAAGGCTTCCATTGTCTGTGCGTATTGTGCAAATATCTCTTCTAATCCTTCCTGGGTCATTTCTTCTAAAGACCTAATATAAATAAATAAATAAAAACATGTGGTTGGTGCCTGAGAAAAATAATTATTAAATTATTAGAAACTTACTCTGGCGTAAAATATTGCCACCGGGTCATTTGTTGAAGCCATTCTGGCGGAGTGCTGGAATAAACAACGTGAAGCATATTTTTGATTACTGCTGTCTTTCGTAATGAATGAAGATCGGGAGGTGCAAATGTAAGTTGTGCTAACTTATAGTTGGAAATAGCCGCTAATTGTATTGGGTTATGTGAAGGCACCATTTGCTTTTTAGTCGTTTATATTTGTAGCAACTTTTTTTTTTATTGGAAAAGATGAACAAGATGAAGAAAAAAGTAAAGGGAGAGAATATTTCGCTTATATATGTATATTGCATCCCACACAGTTGGACAAGAAAAAAAAAAAACCTTTAAAGGGCGGTTCTCCAAATTTCATAGGGCGGTTTGTTGATCATGTAGTTTTTCTCGAGTCACTTTTTTATAAAGGTCTTTGGGTAAGGTAAATAGGAAAGAAGTTACGGTCATTATTTCGAATTGTTTTGTTAGTGGTTCAATTGCCTGATAAAAGCCTGTTATGCTATCAATGGGAAACACTTGACAAATTATTTCTATTTTTACTTTTTGTGAGATGGTTTTATCAGTCCGTTTGATAGACAAATAGGACTATTAAAATATTTTACGTACCTAAATATTGCTACAACAAATATGAATGACGCTTTTTTTTTAAAAAAGAAAAACACATGGTATCCCCAAATAAAGAAATCACAATTGCAACCCACTCACTAAACCAAAGAAATAAGGGTGTCAAAGTTTAATGTAAAGAAAGTAAACAGAGAGTGTAATCAATTCTTAATTCACGGTTGCTAAGGGTAAAATTTTCAAGTCAAAACTCTTTACAATGCCGTTACTCCTCCAGCATCCCTCATTTAAACAGATAAATGAATCCGTCTATTTGTACTACAAATAAATGAGAAGAGGAGGGTGCAGAAAATGAGAATACTTGGTAAACGTATACAGGTCTGGAATCAATTAAAAGAAATTGATTCTCAACAAACAACAGAAATGAGGGTCGCACTAACACAAGGGGGGTGCGCAAATTGTGTGATCATCCAATCCTTTGCTGGTGGTACAATCAACTGTTCTTTAATCCGTCAAATGGCTTGCAAAGAATCACGTATTATCCATTCCCTCTCAGTATTTTTTTTAGCACGTAAAACACTTTAATAAAAGCACAATGGATATATTTAATTCGGTTCGCCTCATCATCGTCATCATTATCCACCATACTTAACTCCTCAGCTTCTTTAATAATATCCTCACATTCTTCGACATTACTGCTGCTGACTTCATTCAGGATATCTGCTTATAAAAATTAATAAGCGGTGAAAATACTTTTTAAGCAAGGTACTTGAACCTAGTTCAGTGGCATCTGCCTCGATGTTGAGAATACTCTCTTCAGTTCAGCTTTATATTCAGACTTTGTTCTCGCCATGTAGTGGAGTTATGAGCCTAAATGTTGTTGCGACCATCCACCAGTGCATTGAAACTCTTTTGTCTTTCAAAATGGTGGCTGTAGTTACTGATGTGAAGCTCGACAAACTTAAAGATGTTTTGTCAAGCACTAGTCACATTTGCAAAGATGAAGAACCTTTTGGTAAAAATTTTCCGAAGGGGAAAAGAGGAGAATTCTATTTTTAACCTTCTACCCAGAAACAATGATACAGCGGCTCCACCCCCAAAGTTCGTTTTCCAATTTCATAAATTCGCTTTTGTCGCAGCCCAAAGTTCGCTTCTTGATTGGTCAAAGTTCGTTTTTTGTAAATCACCCAAATTCGCTTTGGTGGCACCCAAAGTTCGTTTTCACGTCAGAAGAGTTCGCTTTTAAAAATTACAGGATTATGAGATAATGTTATGAGAGATAATGTTATGAGAGATAATGTTATGAGAAAAAAAAAATGTTATGAGGAAAAAAAAATGTTATGAGAAAATGTAATGAGAAAATGTTATGAGAAAAAAAAATGTTATGAGAAAATGTTATGAGAAAAAAAAATGTTATGAGAAAATGTTATGAGAAAAAAAAATGTTATGAAAAAATGTTATGAGAAAAAAAAAATGTTATGAGGAAAAAAAAATGTTATGAGAAAATGTTATGAGAAAAAAAAATGTTATGAGAAAATGTTATGAGAAAAAAAAAATGTTATGAGGAAAAAAAAATGTTATGAGAAAATGTTATGAGAAAAAAAAATGTTATGAGAAAATGTTATGAGAAAAAAAAATGTTATGAGAAAATGTTATGAGAAAAAAAATGTTATGAAAAAATGTTATGAGAAAAAAAAATGTTATGAGATAATGTTATGAGATAACATTTTCTCATAACATTTTCTCATAACATTTTTTTTTCCTCATAACATTTTTTTTTCTCATAACATTTTCTCATAACATTTTTTTTTCTCATAACATTTTCTCATAACATTTTCTCATAACATTTTTTTTTCCTCATAACATTTTTTTTTTCTCATAACATTTTCTCATAACATTTTTTTTTCTCATAACATTTTCTCATAACATTTTTTTTTCTCATAACATTTTTTTTTTCTCATAACATTTTCTCATAACATTTTTTTTTCCTCATAACATTTTTTTTTTCTCATAACATTTTCTCATAACATTTTTTTTTCTCATAACATTTTCTCATAACATTTTTTTTTCCTCATAACATTTTTTTTTTCTCATAACATTTTCTCATAACATTTTTTTTTCTCATAACATTTTCTCATAACATTTTCTCATAACATTTTTTTTTCCTCATAACATTTTTTTTTCTCATAACATTTTCTCATAACATTTTTTTTCTCATAACATTTTCTCATAACATTTTTTTTTCCTCATAACATTTTTTTTTTCTCATAACATTTTTTCATAACATTTTTTTTTCTCATAACATTTTCTCATTACATTTTCTCATAACATTTTTTTTTCCTCATAACATTTTTTTTTTCTCATAACATTTTCTCATAACATTTTTTTTCTCATAACATTTTCTCATAACATTTTTTTTTCTCATAACATTTTCTCATAACATTTTTTTTTCCTCATAACATTTTTTTTTTCTCATAACATTTTCTCATAACATTTTTTTTTCCTCATAACATTTTCTCATAACATTTTTTTTTCTCATAACATTTTCTCATAACATTTTTTTTTCTCATAACATTATCTCATAACATTTTTTTTTCTCATAACATTTTCTCATAACATTTTTTCTCTATGAATTTAGATGTTAATGCTTTGCGTTGCAAAGATTGCAATGTTGACTTTAAGACTCATTCAGAGTTAAACAATCATAATTACGGCACTCATGTGGATAAACAAAGTCTTTATTGGTAATGGTAAGAACTGGACATTTAAATAAAACATGACATTTTTTTTTAAAGAACAAATAGACACCATTATGGAAGTTAGCAAGGTTGATGGCAAATTTAATTGTCCTGAATGCTCAAGCAAGCTCAGTACTCCAACCACATTTAGCGCCCATCTCAAAAAAAAGCATAACGGCCACTGCGAAGCCATTTCAAACAAAACAAAGCGACGAAGCCTCGAAGATAATAACAACGATAATTCTACAACCATATCATTGAAACATCGAAAGTTACGAAGCCTGAGATATGTCTATTTTTGTCTAAAAGTAAGCCCAAAAAATTATATTCAGCGCATAATCAAAAAATCAAACAAAAAAACAAACAATTTAGTTCTGAATCTAAATTTAGATGAAATTGATTCAAATTCTGGTTCATCTGGTCCTTTATTTTCAACATCAGCTCGATGTGATAATGACATGGGAGTATTACTTGCGTCAAATGCCTTAGATCTTCCACAAACTGATCAAGAAAAAATAATAATGTTAAGCAAGATTGGAAATTGGAAATCAATAGCAGTATCGTTAGAAAATGGGAAAAAGTATTACATGCTCGCCTCTCCAGATCTCATTGAAGATATACTTGCAGAACAACCAACTGGTGTGGATCTCTCAAGTATATATATTGTTGTTGTTATTGATAGTGTCTTTGGTACTTCTTCTACTTCTATTTTCAATAATATTGCTGGGTCTGCATTTGCTGGTGTGGACATTACCAGGACAAAATACCACAAAGCCATCAGATTTGGCTTAATCAAGCTCAAGCTTCATTCCATTATTCACTGGACAACAAATGCATTTCAAGAATAGTTTATTAAGGTCATGAAGCTACCACATTTGGTGAAGTATATTTAGTATTCATTAACAGGGTTTTTATTTCCTTGAACTGATAATATAATATTTACAACTTGTTTTTACAATTCAATTTTTGTTCGTATCAATGCAAATCAAAGATATAAGATGAAATACATTAAAGAAACAACCCAATAAAATAATAGCGGTATACCGTAGTGATGATTTCTTATATAGGGTATTATTTACGCAGAAGTGTTGTAAAATTACTGTTCACCACTGCGTTGGCATTTTTAATAGATGTAGTCATCGAATCAGCTAAAATTGTGAGTAATTGGTTCAGTTTCATATTGTTGATGACTGCAAATGATTTCTCTTGTTGATCAATAAATTCACGGATGGTATATTTTATTGCTCCATTTTTCAATTTGCTACATAGATCATTTAGAACATCTAGTTTGATTTGGGCCAATATGCCATTGTTGATAACTGAAGTGGCGATTGTTTGAAACAGTTGAGATAGCAATTGAGATTGTGAGTCTGTTTGTTGGGAAGAATCATAGTCGCATAGGGTCCAAATCGTGTAAGGTCTGTAGGAAATATCATATGCAAATGTACTGGATGAACGACATAAAGTATATGTGGATAAACAATGAAATTTTGATCTGAGTTGTCTAAGTTGATAGAAGTAATTTCCTACATCAATACTGGTTGTTGAGTCATCCTTCGCTAACACTTTTCCCAATCTTAATGATTCCATATTGAGATAGATTTTTGTATCGTGTGTTGCAGTGAAATTACTGGTGGTTGGTCCTAGTTCCACAATATTCTTTGTTATTGAGTTTTTGTCTATGCGTATACTTGAGGTCACCAACAGATTACTGACCGTTGTGCCAATTTTTAGTTTGGTTGCTCCGTCTTCGTGAGTGGTAATAATATTAATCCATCCGTAATTTGGTTGTTTTTTGGGAAAAGAGGATGTATTCATTGCAGTTCCAATTCTGCGCTCATGGTGTGCATCAACGGTCTTCGATCTTCCATATGATTCTATGCAATTCAAGAGTAATGCTGATGTCTTATTCACTAGGATTGCCCCAGCAAAAATTTGCGAGGTGACATACCTAAGCTGAGGAAAGAAAGTCCAATCCTGGTTTATTAACTCTGTAACTTCCATTGTAAGCTCCACGTATTTTTGATCAAATAAGTGGTTATAGAGTGGACTTGTATTTATAATATGATCCAGAAGGCTGTCAACGCTTGAGGATGAAGAGTTTTGTATGACTGTTGTATCGGCTGCTGGAAGGGTCCAAGAACCAGAAGGTTGATCGGTTAGCACATCACTTATGCTGTCTGACGATTTTAGAAAATGATAAGTTTTACCACTTCCACCCACTATGGATATTGGTTCCAAATTTCCAATTCTTGCCAACATTATAGAATTCTCTTTTTCACGAGTTGACCCTAAAGATGTACCAGATGCCAACAATATAGCAGTGTTTTTATCAAGAGCTTTTGGAGATCGAGATGAATCAATTTCATCTAAATTTAGATTCAGGCTTTGTAACTTTCGATGTTTCAATGATATGGTTGTAGAATTATCGTTGTTATTATCTTCGAGGCTTCGTCGCTTTGTTTTGTTTGAAATGGCTTTGCAGTGGCCGTTATGCTTTTTTTTAAGATGGGCGCTAAATGTGGTAGGAGTACTGAGCTTGCTTGAGCATTCAGGACAATTAAATTTGCCATCAACCTTGCTAACTTCCATAATGGTGTCTATTTGTTCTTTAAAAAAAAATGTCATGTTTTATTTAAATGTCCAGTTCTTACCATTACCAATAAAGACTTTTGTTTTATCCACATGAGTGCGGTAATTATGATTGTTTAACTCTGAATGAGTCTTAAAGTCAACATTGCAATCTTTGCAACGCAAAGCATTAACATCTAAATTCATAGAGAAAAAATGTTATGAGAAAAAAAAATGTTATGAGATAATGTTATGAGATAATATGTTGTGACTTTTTTTTCATAACATTTTTTTTTTCTCATAACATTTTCTCATAACATTTTCTCATAACATTTTTTTTTCTCATAACATTTTCTCATAACATTTTCTCATAACATTTTTTTTTCTCATAACATTTTTTTTTCCTCATAACATTTTTTTTTTCTTATAACATTTTTTTTCTCATAACATTATCTCTCATAACATTATCTCTCATAACATTATCTCATAATCCTGTAATTTTTAAAAGCGAACTCTTCTGACGTGAAAACGAACTTTGGGTGCCACCAAAGCGAATTTGGGTGATTTACAAAAAACGAACTTTGACCAATCAAGAAGCGAACTTTGGGCTGCGACAAAAGCGAATTTATGAAATTGGAAAACGAACTTTGGGGGTGGAGCCGCTGTATGTAGTCCACTGCTGAAAGTAGAAATTTAATAAGCATTTAATGTCATTTATACAGTCCTTGAGAGTGCTCATTTACACACGAGAAGGAATAAATTTAAAACAATTAGTATGTAGTTCTCTGTAATGACATTCACATTATTTAGCAAGGCTATGTTTATACCTATAGACTTCTCGTCGACAACATTACCTGTCAATTGTCAAATAAAAATAAAAGAAGGTTATCTGAGATTTAACTTTTTGTTTCCAATAGCAACCGCTTAAAAAAAGGCGATAATTCTAGTTTCTCCTTTAATCGACGTCCGCTCCCTTCCCCTTCTTTTTTTTTCTTTTCTTTTTAAACATACATGATGACTGAACAAGTCTCATTGCAAGCCAAATTAAAAAACCTAGTGCAAGTAAGAGAGAGAGAGAGGGAGAGAGGACTGAGAACAAAAAAGCTATATCGAAGAGTCCCATGGGATCTAAAAAAAACAGACTCTCATCATTATTTCTTTTTTGGTTTTTTAGCAGCGACAGTTTTATTGGTGGTTGGGACATGTTTGCGTAGTTTGTAACGGACTCTTTTACTTCAGCTCGGTGTTGTCTTTAAACACGAATGAGTCGTATTATAAGCGAGCTTATTTAGGAGCACTTTTATCATACGCTGTAGTGATTTACAACTCAATTGGCGTGACACACACCACGATAGGAATGAATTTATTGTGTGATGAAAATGTCCATTATTTTGTCATTGCCTTCTACTGGTACTCTTACCAACCCATTACAGGTAAACTGTGTGTGTGTCTTTCTCTTAAATGAATGATCTACTAAATATTATGTTCTCTATAGTCACTTTAATACCATTCTTTGTGTTTTCCATCTTTCATACCCTTACTTACACCAAAAGCACCTTACTCCCCCTATTATGTATACCCATCACCAGCCAGATCGAAAGCAAGATTCAGCATTTCACAGATAATTACCATACCACTGCCATGAATTATGTTGCCTATGTCGAAGTCATTGGTATTCTTGGCAGACTCATTCTGGGGATTATTACGTAAGCAGCCCTTTCTTTTTATGTATTATTATTATTACCTGCTAAAGTGCTTTCCCGCACCCCATACATAGATTTCGCACCTCTGTGTTGGCATTGATTGTGTTTGTGCATTTTTTGAGATTGCGCTATTTCCTTTCCAGCTATACACGCGATGCCTTAGAGACGACAGGTAGATATTTAGACACTTTAATTATTTTACCCGAGAACAAGAGTACGCAATGGACAGTAGTGTCCAACCTGTACATTAGTCTCAGGCGCCTAATTATCCGTTATGGTGGTGGTAGTGGAGGAGGAGGAGGAGGTGTAACCCTGTCAAATGAAAAGTCAAAATAAAAGCGGAACTCCAAAAAAAAAAGTTTTTTTTTTTTTTTTTATCTTTTTCTTTCTTTTATTTTATTTTTATATATATATATAATGTCACAAGCAGGAGGGTTTCATGGACGTAAAGAACAGATTGTGTCTTCATTAGTGGAATACTTGGATCCCGAAAGACGAGATAAATCACCTAAAGGATTCATTGATGCGCCTATTTTGGACTTGATGCATGTGATTAACTCTCATCCCGAATATTACACCACCAGCAGTTGTTCTGGTCGAGTGGCCATGTATTGTGAAGGGCTTGAAAAGGATGTGGAAAGTACAGACAGTGATCCCAATGCGATTGAAAAGACTACGAAGGGAGGTCAGTGGTTATATGTCAGTCATGACCCTATTCCCATCCCTGACAACAACAGCCCAACGGATGAGTGGATTGTCAAGTTGTTGTTTGGTAAAGAGAGTGATAAAGTGGTGTTTGATAATAAGCGACCTGCTGATATTCTCAACCGACAATTGATCTATTTTAAGTTTGAGCCTTTGGTGAGTTTAATTGTAATTGATAATATGTTTGTATTAATGAGAGGGTTAGATCCTTCATATTGAGGCTTCTAGCCAGGAAACAGCCATGCATTTATTGGGTGTTGCATATCAAGTAGGCTATCAGAACTCGGGTATTACACCTTCCCGTCGTCATATGCTTGCGATTCGTAGTACACACAAGATTGATACACCTGTAGCTTATGTTGAGAAGGGACAGATTCATTGCCTTGTGGATCCAGCTTATTTATATCTCTTATTGAATATGTCGAATCAAAAGTTTGAGCAGAACATGGAGCGTATGAAGATATTTGAGGATACTATGCGAACTGAACTGACCAAGGCAGAGGAAAAGGAAAAGTGGGAGAGTAAAGAAGCACGTAGAGAAAGAAAGCGTATGGAAGGACTCTCTTTAAAAAGCAAATTACAAAAACCAAAGGAACAAGATAAGCCTGATTTAGAAGATTTATTAGAATATGTGGTTTTATAATAAATAAAAAATAAAAAAAAAATTGAACTAAAAAAAAAAAAAAAAAGATCACGTTTCTCCCGGGTGTTGCTGCACCGGACTAATTACAGGAAAGGGGGGGGATTTGTTTGTGGGTAGCTCCATTTGAAAATCACCTCTTTTCCTCAATACATTTTTTTAAAGGTAAAAAAAATAAAACAATCGACATCATCACCATCAAAATCCCCTTTTAATTTTGCGATATTTAAACAATGGATGGATGGCGCACGATGGATTGAAACGCTTTTTTCACTCTCTTTGCTAACTTTTTTTTTTATTTAAAAAAAAATTAAATCAGTATGGCCGAACAGACTACTCCAACATTTAAGCTCGTCCTTGGTAATCATTAAATTTTATTTTTTTTCTAATGTACCATCTCTAAACATCTTTTTTTTATAATAAATAGTCGGTGATGGTGGTACCGGTAAAACCACTTTCGTCAAGCGTCATTTAACTGGTGAATTCGAAAAGAGATATGTTGGTAATGTACCTCTTTTTTTTTAAAAATAATAATAATAAAAAAAGGCTTACGCGTACATTATATTAACTTGCTTTTTGTCATTAGCCACCCTTGGTGTCGAGGTTCATCCCCTTCAATTCCACACTAACTTTGGTGCTATCGTCTTTAACACCTGGGATACCGCTGGTCAAGAAAAGTTCGGTGGTCTTCGTGATGGTTACTAGTAAGTATATATATATACACACATACTTTATTTTCTTAAAGAGATGGTATACTAATACTTTCTGTCCGTAGTATTGGTGGTCAATGTGCCATCATCATGTTTGATGTCACTTCCAGAATTACCTACAAGAACGTTCCCAACTGGCATCGTGATCTTGTCCGTGTTTGTGAGAACATTCCTATTGTTCTCTGCGGTAACAAGGTTGATATTAAGGTAAAGATATAAAAAAAAACATGTAAACGAGAAAGAGCTATTACTGATATACCAGAATAATAGGAACGTAAGGTTAAGGCCAAGACCATCACTTTCCACAGAAAGAAGAACTTGCAATACTACGATATTTCTGCCAAGTCCAACTACAACTTTGAGAAGCCTTTCCTTTGGTTAGCTCGTAAGTTGATTGGTAACCCCAACTTGGAGTTTGTTGCTGCCCCTGCCCTTGCACCTCCTGAGGTCCAAGTCGATGCTCAATTGATGCAACAATACAACAACGAAATGGAAGAAGCTGCTGCTCAACCTCTCCCTGAGGAAGATGATGATTTGTAAACACATACAAAAAAAAAAGCATAGTTTTTATACATTAAACTTTTTTTTTTAATCAAAGACCCTTTTTTCCTTCAAAAAATAAACCCTTACATGATTCTTTTGCATATATTGTTGTTATTATTGTTATTTATTTATGTCCTTATCCACCCTTTTATAGTCATTTTATAGGTTCGGGTATAGGGCCTCTCTTCTGATTACACAAAAAGATATATATACAAAAAAGATATTCGCGTCAAAATGTAAAGTTTATAAAATAAACCTTTTTTTTATTATAACAAATTTGTTTGAAATGATCTTTTTTAATATAAAAAAGAAACCCAAACAAGATAATAATAGAAAAAGCGAGTAGTTTACTTCAACTTCTTCTTGGGACGGAGTTGGTTGGTACGACCACACTTCTTCTTACGGCAGTTGGTGGCACGAGGAGGAAGACGAGCGTAACACTTACGACAGATCATCTTTTCACAGTTGTACTTGGAAGCTAAAGCCTTAAGAGAGGGCTCAATGATACCACCACGAAGACGGAGGACCAAGTGAAGAGTGGACTCCTTTTGGATGTTGTAATCGGACAAAGAGCGACCATCTTCGAGTTGCTTACCGGCAAAGATAAGACGTTGTTGGTCTGGGGGAATACCTACAATTTGCTCATTTTAGTTTCATTTTTTCTTTTTTTTTCATTCTTCAGCCATTTCCACGCTTCACACGATAAGCTTACCTTCCTTATCTTGAATCTTTTGCTTGACATTGTCAATGGTGTCGGAGCTATGAGAAATACAAAATGAGTCTTTACTGTAATGTCAACACAAGATAAAAAAAAAATGAGTGTTGTACCTTTCGACCTCCAAGGTGATGGTCTTGCCAGTCAAAGTCTTTACGAAGATTTGCATAGTAAAAACTACAATGGATGGATTAGTCAATCGTGTTGTAGATGGTGCATCTTGGATGGATGTGTGTACCTTTACGAGACGGTTAACAGAGGAGGATATAAACAGTTTCGCACCCTCCATTTTCTTTTACATTAATTCCTCCCCAAAAAAAAAAAAAAAAAAACTGAGAGGGAAATTTCACAGCTATTCCGGCATATTTGTGACGTCTTTTGACTTTTCGGTCCGGACACCTTTGTCTGTACTTGTTTTTCTCGTTTTCTTTCAAATCATTCTTCTTCCTCCCAACCCTTTACGCAAAAGCATGTACAAACATTTAGAAGATCGCTTTCCTGGAAGAGAGAAACAATTAGAACAGTTGTCTAACGTGACTATTGGCGTAAGTCTCTCTATTCTAACTGCTCTCTTTTTTTTTTACTAAAAAATATAAACTAAAGTCCTCATTGACTGATTATTCACCACAAAGTATATTTGTTTATGGTCCTCCTTCCACCGGAAAGACCAGCGTGATATCAGAAGTCTTTAAAAACAATGGAGGATATGTCAACTGTGTAGAATGTTTCACTCCAAGACTTTTATTTGAACACGCCATGGACCAACTGATTCAACACCAACCTGAATTCAAAAATAATTATACTCGTAGTCGAAAAATTGATAACGTACAACAATTCGTAAAGTGCATTCGAGAAACCTTTCAAAAAGATCCCAAGACAAAGTACTTGGTAAGCTTACCCCTTTCTTCACACAAACACACACAATGCAGTATATTCAACGTTTAGAAAAAAAAAAGATATTGGATAGAGCAGAGAGATTACGTGATATGCCAGGCACCATCTTGCCTGTCTTATTAAGACTATCTGAACTGGTAAGCAAGCGAAAAAAAAAAAGTTCATCATGCCGTAGTCTAAAGAGAAAGAAAACTCAACTTATGTACATCTAATAGACCGATGTGAATATATGCGTGGTGTTTATTTCGAATATCGTGTTTGAGAAATTCAGAGTGAAGCGAGGTGGCATTGAACCTTTCCTGCTACGATTTCCCGAATATACACGCGAAGACACACTCAAGATCCTGCAATTAGATTTTAAGCCAGCGACGGTCGAAGACGTGTCACTGGATGCCGAATTCTATCTGTGTTTTTTGGAAGTCATTTACTCTATTTTCTGTCACAACTGTAAAGACATTAACGAACTACGTTATTTTGCCGCTCTTTTATTCCCCTTATACATCAAACCGATCGAGGAAGGCACGGTCTTACCCAACGAAAAAGCCAAACTATTTAAATATGCACAACCTTATTTTGCAGAGGCGACCGAAAAATTATACCTGCGTGAAATATCTAGTGCTGAATGGTCGCAGGAAACAAAGGACCTCGATGACACATTAGGCTCGTTCTTATCTTCAAAAGTAGGTCGTGCCGAATTTGAGTTGCCGTTTTACACCCGATTCTTGCTGATTGCTGCTTACCTGGCATCGTACAATCCACCGAGGTTCGATGTGCGTTATTTTGCAAAAGCCAGCGAGGAACGAAGCAAAAAGAAGGGTGGGGGTACACGTAAAGGAGGGCGTGTGGATAAATTGGGCGGGAAAATGCGTCAACAGTTATTGGGACCCAAAATCTTTCCGGTAGAAAGAATGTTGGCCATCTTTTATAGTATCTTGGATGAAACCTTGGAAGATACAATTGATATTCAATTACAAATCACCAGTCTCACCACATTACGACTCTTGGTGAGATCCACTTCCATTGATCGTTTAGATGGTGCCAAATACAAGTGCAATGTGAATTTCGAATTTATCAAGACAGTAGCTAAAACTGTACGATTTGAGATTGACAAGTATCTTTACGATTTCTGCTAGAATGTTGATGAGGAGGGGTATAAAAATAAAATAAACGTTTTATTATAAAAATATTTTTTTTTAAATGGCAAGATCCTTTTCAATCACGTCTTCATCATCAGCTAACTGCTGCATGCTTTCAATTTCTCTTGCTTTCTCTACAAGTGCAATCATGTCTTCTGCTGTTCCTACTGAAGTGGTGATAAAAGGATGTTTTAATAAACTACTCGCGTCCGGTCGTTTTAAAGGATCCATGGTGGTACATTGGGCCAAAAAATCTTTAAAATGATCAGACCATCCCTCACTGCTTAACGGAGGTAGACCATGAAGTGCAATTAAATATAAAGCCTTGAGTGGTGGATGCTCAATATAAGGTGGGTTATTCTGGGCCATTTCGTAAATAAGAACACCTAAACTCCAAATATCAATCTTGGTATCGTAATCTTTGCCCTTGATTAATTCTGGTGCCATCCAATAAGGTGTGCCGACAATCGAGTTTCTTTTTGGTTGCGACTGTGTGAGTTGTGCGCACTGACTAAAATCGGCTATTGAAACCATTTAAGTTTAAAGTTTTTTTTTGATATAGGACGATCTCATAGAAAAACTTACTCAGTTTGACATCACCTCGTAAATTCAACAAGATATTATCACTGCGAATGTCACGGTGAATTCGGTTAAGACGATGGATGCGAGTTAAAGCACGCAGGATATCTCTGGCAACACGTGCAATTAGGCTCTCACTGATAGATATGCAGGATCCTTCCTCATATGGCTCTAGTGATAAAATATCTGACAATGCCATATCCATAAACTCCATTACCACCTATTATTAAACACAATGAGTGAATATACGAACCACCAAGAAAGAAAGAAAAAAAAGTGTTTTACCCAGATTTCATCGTTGGTGACATAACTGGTAATATATTCTACCACGTTAGGATGTCTACTCATCTTCATGGTGATTAACTCGTTTCTAATTTTACTGATTTTGACCGATGCTGTTTTATGTATTTTCTTAATGGCGACCTAGCAATGACACAATAAAAAAAAAGTTAAGATTGAGTGGCTGGGTTTTAAAACTTTAAATGTGCCTAGTTACCACTTTGTTGGTGCCGATATGTTTAGCAGCATATAATGGACCCGATTCACCTTCAGCAATCAAGATAAAAGAATTGTAAATGGTATAAGGATCTGTTGATGGGTTATCTGCAATATCCTCTATAGTAAAAAAGTTAGATAACTGTTTGTGTTACACATTTAATATTTTTATACATTTACCAATGGATGTGTTTGAACAGGTGTTTTCTTTTTTTTTTTGTATCAGTCACGCGAGTTATTTATAAAAAGAAATGGAGAGATACTTTACCTTTTTCACCTTCTTGAATGATCTGTACTGCTTTCAAGACATTGCCTTTTAAAGAAGAATTTCGACTTGTGGATAGATGTAATTGCCTTGATTCACGCTTTGTTCTGGGTGGTGAAGGTGGATCGGAGTGAAAGAGAGAATCAGGGCTTTCGACAATTTTCATGGTCCGCCTCTTTTGTAGCGAGGTACTGATCTTGTCCTTCCACTCTTGTGGTAAGCCTTTAAAACCCACACCATCGCCATCTAATTCGACATGTATATTGTGCTGGATATTGTATGGAAGACCTATAGAAGAAGGAGCTGCTACTCAGTGTGTAAGCATCGTATGTGACACACGCAGAGAAAGAGATCCATACTTACATTCAGAGGTGGGGACTAGAATAGGGTGAATGTAGGTTGTATCGAGGATATCATCACTTGGGAAATTGCCTTGCCAGACATCAGGTAAGCCCATATATTTGCCACTATCATCATCAAATTCGACATGAATGCCATGCTCGAATTTGGTGGGTTTCCCGATATCCAATATCCTTTCGCCGTGTTGATTTCTCCAGGCGATGGCTTTCGAAGGAACATTGACAGAAGATACGCTATGATGTTGATAGATTTTAGCGAGTGTAGCTGCTGATCCAAACCTTCGGAGACCTTTACTTGTGTTTGTTGTGGCCGACCGTAACGATCTTGCCTTGTGATGATGACATTTTCCCGTAGTGGGTACTGAATGTACTGAACTCGACGAATTGGCATTACCCATTAGAATGTAAAACTTGTGAAAGAGAGAAGGAGAGAAAAATAAAACCGCTCTTTTTTTTTTTTTTTTTTTTTTTTGAATAAGAGAAAAAAAAAAACTTTTGTGTTACTTTCGCTATAGCCTTTTACGCTACATGAGCATTATCCGACATCCTTTATCAAGTTAAAAGGAACGTTCAGTCTCCTGAAAAATAATTGGCTTGGGATCACACTCACAAAAAATCATTTTTTTTTTATTGTGTACATATATTTTACACACACACACACACACTTATATATTTTATTTATCTTCTCTTTTCTTTCTACTTTTCTTTTTAAATGAAGCCTTTTATCATTCCTATAGTTGCACCAGAAGAAGTGATTAGACCGACGCATAAAGGTAACCTTTTCTTTATTCTTATTTCGCTGCCCTCCAAGTTGGCCTCTCTTATCCCCCCTCGACTCATTCTCTTTTAGTCAGTGCTTCTAACGGAAAGAGATCATGTAGAAACGTCATTATACACGGCTTTTGTAAATTCAAAGATAAAGGTTGTGAATTTAACCACGAAACCGTATGTTATTTTTTATCTATTTATTTTCACTTTCATTCTGTCTTCAAAATATTAAACCCGCTTTCGTTCCATATATCAGGATAAGACCTTTGTACTTCCTCAACAGCAGCTAGAACCGTAAGGATATCTATGGCCTTTCTTTTTTTCATTTAAATGACTAATGAAAACGGAGTTTCTTTTTTTTTTCAGGCCACGAAACACTACAGTTTCAGCAGAGAGTATTCATGCACCTGTCTTCGTACCGAAATCATCTTCACAAGGTAAGCGGATGCCTTATAAATTTGCATGCCAAAATTATTTATCACTTTTGTTCCATAATAGATAAAATTTCATCCAGACCAATGTAAGCTCTTTATATATGTACACACACACACACACATATAAACTAATACGAAACCAAAATTAGATATAATTCAGTAAACACCCAACAAATACCGTTTTCTCGATTTGAACCAAGTGTAAGATGAAAGAGAGTGAAAAAAAAAAAAGGAAAGAGTCATATATAAACCTTTATATGTAGGTACCAAATTATGTTCCTAATTATGGACAGCACATAATGAATAATACTTCAGATCCATATTATTACATGAATGTCAATCCATCAGTAACACAATATCACATGTATCAACCAACACTACCGCATGTAGCCAACCTATCCACACATCATCGATTAGTACAATCTTTTTTTATCCCGGACAAATTAAGGGAACAGTTGATAAAACGTAAAGAAGCATCCCTTCTCACCGTACCTGGTAAAAAAAAAAAAAAAAGTAGGACAGCGAAAAACAAATGATTACTTAATATCATAATTAGCGAAAGAGATGGGATTGCCGGAAGAAGTGCATGTGTATCATTCATTATATCCCCTCGAAGATAAACCAGGAAAGATTTTAGGTCATTCATCATGGATTTATAAGGCTGTGTGCCGTACCACGGGAAAACATTACACAATGATACGCGTCGAAGGTAAAAACATCCTGCCTGTTTCTATCCGTAAACGCGTACTGATATAGAAAAAAAATGTAGGATTTAGGTTGGTAAATGAACAGGCAATGAGTATTGTAAAGAAATGGAGGCGAATTAAGCATGCAAATATCATTGCAATTCATGAAGCCTTTACAACCAGAGCATTTGGAGATTCATGTAAGCTAAACCAGGATAATTTTGAAAAGATGAGCCTTTAAAAAACTAACCTTTTCCTTGTGTACAGCTCTTGTATTTGTGTACGATTATCATCCATGCTCCATCACATTATTCGAAGCGTATTTTACACCACAGGCACAAGCGTTACTTCATGCCAGATTCCAAGCAGCAGGTATCAATGGATTACCCGTACCGGAAACGACCTTGTGGAGTTTTATTACACAGATATCCTCTGCATTAAAGACGATCCATAGTGCAGGATTAACCGCGCGAAGTTTAGAGCCCAACAAAATCTTGATGACGAGCAAGAATCGACTTCGGATCAGCTGCTCGGGATTAGTGGATGTACTTCAATTTGATGGTATATCCAAGATAGCCATGCATCAACAGGAAGATTTGTTATCGTTTGGTAAATTGATTGTGACTTTAGCTTGTAATTCACCTCAATCAGCTCAGAATTTACCCCAGTCGTTCGATTACCTGTCCAGATTCTATACACCAGATCTAAAGAATGTGGCATTGTATCTGCTTTCAAAGCCCTCCCATGCGAAATCCATTGATGAAGTCTTTAAATTAGTAGGTCCGCGTATGCTGCATGAAGTAAATAGCAGTCAATAGTAAGTGTATGTGAATAGATTAAAAAAGTAGATCATTGGGTTTGCTAAATAGAGTGAGTACACTCTCTTTCACCAAAAGCTATACAGATTCACTCGAGACGAATTTAGGTCGTGAGTTGGAGAATGGAAGGATTGTGAAATTATTATCCAAGCTTGGGTTTATTAATGAACGGCCTGAATTTGAAAATGATCCACAGTGGTCCGAGACGGGAGATAAGTACATGATTCGATTATTTAGGGATTATATATTTCATCAGACAAACGAGATGGGAATTCCTGTGGTGGACATGACTCATGTCATTTCCTGTTTAAACAAGGTAATTAAAAATATATGTGTGTAAGGTAGGGGCTAACAAAAATTATGATTAGTTGGATGCAGGTGTGGAAGAAAAGATCCTGTTGACTTCAAGAGACGATCAGACTACCATGATTGTAAGTTACAAGGAGCTCAAAGCATGCATCGCCTCTGCTTTTCATGATATCTATCCATCCTAAGAACACACAATAAATAAAACAAATGTCGCTTTTTTTTTCTGTCATATTATGTTGGTTTATTAGTAGACTACGGATAAAGAAAGTTTGTATTTCTCGTCTCTGTTCTTCAATAAAAAGTCGGTATTGTGGAAAGCACGCACACAACGCCATGCTTCGGATTCGGAGTCAAACTTGACCAAGAACTTTGACACTGTTGATTGTTCCTTACTATAGAATACGAATTTTTAAATATACGTATTTGTAACTATATAAAAACCCCCATTACTTACGTCTTTAAATGTAAAACATTGTCGGATGCACCTTCAATAGGGAAAAAGTTTCTGGAACGTAAAAATCCTAATAAATGTTCGGTCTCTGTTCTAGAAGGAAGACCTGTAATGACCACAGCACGGCCTGAAGCACTGGTGGAGTCAGTAATGGAGGTTAATTCAGGACGACGCAAGGCGCTCATGAATGTGCTGGGGTTGGAGGTGCTGTCACCGCTCTAAAAACAGTTGAGTCCTCTTTATTCTCTCTCTATCTTTCTTTACTCTCAAACTTACATAGGTCATGCGAATGGTATTACCACCGACAGAACGTCTGTTACCATATTCAACTACACGACGAGCGTCTTCAGGGGAAGCCATTAATACCACACAACGACCTTGGAAGTTGAATTCGGGGCTACGACAGAAAACAGCTACATGTCAAGTTAAAAATAGGGTATCGACAATAAAATGTAAGAAAAGTACCTTCAACGATGCGTTTGTCACCTTGAGGGAAAGCTTCTCTGGCTAATTTACGCACATCCTCGGTGGTTGCTGTGACAGGAAGAGAATCGATTTGAACAAAACGGGTAGGTTCTGCTGATTTCTTGCCCTGTTTCTTGACTTGACCAATGAATTTGTTGGTCAAGTTCTCTGCAAAGTTGGTCTTTTCAGTATTGTTGTTGTTGAAACGAACGACAGAGGTATGAAGCGATCTTTGACAGGTATTAAAGACTTGGGCTGAAAATCTTTGACGAACAAGAACTGAAGCTAATTGACGTGTCGATGCCATGGTTGAACTGTAGGAAACAAAAAAAGATAATTTTTTGTTCCCCCTCCTTTTTTTGGCAGGGTACACCCTCTTTACAAGTCACTAATATGCTGTATGCCTATTTTTTTAATTACAGTGGTCACCATCTTAATGCAAAGTAATCAATTATTTCGACACTCTTTGTCTATCGCCGTATCTGATTATAAAATTTACCCCATACTGTCAAGCTGACCATACGTTGACCCTTTCCTTATAACATCATTCTATTATGAAAGAAATAAACTATCACCTCTTTTAGCGTTTGTACAAGTCATGATGGAAGCTCACGCCCAATTAAAGATAACGCAAGTGCTTCAATTCCATACAACAATCGTTTGTATGTATTACAACACAATTGGAATAACACATGTATTTTTCGTGCTATTTTAAAGCGATGGTTGTAACCATGGCAACTTAGTCGGGAACAGAAAATTTATTTACGTGACGGGGGACGCCCGCTTTAATTAAGGTTTGACATAATATGAGAATACTATCATAAAGCTGTAGTTTTCCTAATATGTCCCAAAATAATATTTCTCCCTCCAGTGCATACAATGGTAGTGGGGCAAAGCACATCCAGCAACAAGGAAAAAAACAAAACAAAAAAGAAACCACGATATATAAAAAAAAAGGAAAGTTACAAGCCACCAAAATTTATAAGCCAATCAAATGAAGTAGGATCAAATTTTTTTCAAATTGTCACGGAAAAAAATAGAGGTGATTACTTTTCACAAGTGAGGTTTCCTTCTCTTTTCCCTAGTATATCGTAAGTAGTGGCTTATTTTGACTTCAATAAAAAAAATACTAAGTAGTATGTGTTATCGGATATAGACAATGAGTGCCGATTTGGTCTGGGCTATTATCAAGAATAACAATTCTTTCCTCGTTAAGCGTCAAAACGTTCAGTTCTCTGCTGAACCCGCTAACTTGAAGAACGTTAACTCTTTCAAGTACTCTGGTCTTGCTAACTACAAGGTAAAAACGAAGGACGAAAAAAAAAAAAAAAAGTAATTTAGCTGACCAAAAAAACGATAGACTGTTACCATCCTCCCTGCTGCCCGTGGTGTCCGTGTCACTCTCCGCAAGGCCAACAAGGAGCAATCCCCCAAGAAGTCTGCTAACTCTATTGTTATTGCCAAGTCTGGCCGTAAGACCTCCAAGTCTGTTGCTAACTTGATTGCTCGTGGTAACAAGTACAGACCCGATCTCCGTGCTGTAAGTATTTGATATATTAAAGGGGAAAGAGAAAAAAGAAAAAGTGTGTTAATCATCTTTCACTATAGGCTGCCGTTGCTCGTGCTTCTGCTATCCTCGCCACCCAAAAGCCCCGTAAGGTTCAAGCCAAGCGTGAAGCTAAGGGTGTCCGTGCTACCAAGGCCTAAACTCTTTGTATCTTGAACACATATTATACTACATAAATAAACCCCCATACTTGTTAAAAAAACTTTTTTATTGTTATTTATTTACATGCGTTTTTATTTTAATTTATTTTGGTCTCAAAAGGCCCATTTATTGTTGTTGTTGCTGTTGTGCTTCCAATGACTTTAATCTGTTTTCGAGTTTGGCTACATAAGCATCAGCTTCATCGCGATATTCTTGATATTCCAAGTGCTGCCATAATAACTGAAAACCCATGGTGGTGGCAGAAGCAATAACTGCACACTTCACAATAGGTGTACCATATTGATAATAGAATCCTCGTCCTTTTGCTGCAGGTATCGTTGAATACGAACGTGACTTTGTCGAACTCGTCAATGCTTTCTTGAGCAACATTTTATAAAAAACAAAAGGTATGAGAAAAGAATAAAAAAAGACCCGTTGTTTTGCTCACCCCTACAGCAGATCACATCGGCGTTTAAAAGCTTCCATCTCAATGTAGCCCCCCCCCCTTATTTTTTATTATATGCATGTTTGACAGCTTCATGAATGCATGAAATGTTAAAAGTTGTCTTTTTTGGGATAGGCAAGTCCAGTATATAAAAAAATAACGCGACTGATAAAAAGTTTAATAATTTATAATAAAAGCTTCGTGCTTGTATGTTCAATAATCATCATCTTCCTCTTCCTCTTCCTCGTTGCACTCTTCATCTTCAGCATGCTTATGACCCTTATGGCTTTTGTACTTATTATACTTGTGATATTTACCCTTCTTGCTTTTTTTGTGCTTGTATAGGTCATGCCAATTGTATTCTGGATAGCCGTCATCAACATGTGTAGGCACCAAATCGGGCTGGTCAGCTATAGGCGATGTTAAAGGTCTACTTGTAACTATATGCGGCTTTTCTGTATGGATCTTATCGATGTCATGCGAATCATTATGTGGTATCACTCTAGGTATATCACTTTTGGTAGCTTCATCGGACCCAGTAACAGTGCTAACCAAAGTCTTGAATCCATCCGTTGTATCATAAATATCATTTGTAATTGTCCTATGGGCCACGGTGTTGCTGGGTATATCTTCAATTCGGCTATGGATGACAGGAGTATCAGTTACTTTGCCATTGTAAATCACTGTTTTGTTGGGAGTATCATTGATTGTACGGTAATTCACTGGTTCGTCAGAGATATTGATAAATGAGCGGAAAGGTGTTTCTTCGTTAGATGTGATATCAGCAATGGTGCGATGATTTGCTTCTTCATGGGGGATGTCGTTCAATGTACGGTAGGTAGCTGTATCACGAGGTATAGATTCATTGGGGATATCAATAACCGTGTGATGGGTTATTTTTTCGCTGTGAGGGATATCAGTAATTGTGATGTGGGTTATGGTGTCTCTAGGGATGTTAGTCGCTATTCTGTGTCTTATTCCACTCATAGTAACATCGGAAATGAGTTTACTGGATAAATCAATGTCGGTTATTGTATTAAATGTGACTGTATCAAAGTGTGTCTCCCTAGTTGAAGATTTGTCTGGAATAGCGCTAGGATAGTCAGTTACAGTGCTATGCTGGGGTTGTGGTGTAGGAATGTCAACACGATTAGCATCGCTATATTCATTTCTGAGAGAAGATACCAAAGCAAACGGAATACTTAAAGATTGATGATCCACAGTACTATGTGTTATCGTACTGGAAGGCTCATAAGTAATGGTTGAATACTGGTTTGATTCGGTGCTAGGTGTGTCAGTTACAGTGCTATGCTGGGGTTGTGGTGTAGGAATGTCAACACGATTAGCATCGCTATATTCATTTCTGAGAGAAGATACCAAAGCAAACGGAATACTTAAAGATTGATGATCCACAGTACTATGTGTTATCGTACTGGAAGGCTCGTAAGTAATGGTTGAATATTGTTTTGATTCGGTGCTAGGTGTGTCAGTCACAGTGCTATGGGTTATCGATTGACCGGTGTCACCGCCATAAATGGTGGCAAACGAATAGGTGAGTTGAGAAGAGTCAGGAGCTTCAGGTACAATGTCGCTGTATATTACTATATGTCGTTCAGAATGAGATGTAAATTCACTAACAGTTGAATATGAGTTGTAGACTACTGACTCATCATCAACTTCAGTAGAAATCGTTTGATATTCCAGTGTGCTGTAATATTCTATAGTTATTTCTTGCTGATTTGTTACAATGGAAGGTTGAACAACGATGGTATTATAAACTATTGATTGTCCAGGAGTATCGTCATAAATCGTGAGATATCTAGGTTCTGTGTTGTTAATATCATCTGTTACCGTTGAATAGGTGTATTGATCGGTAACATCGCCGTAAATTGTTTTATATACAACTGTATTGACGGGTACTTCTGTGACTATTGAATGTTTATGGTGTATAGTACTAGTCTCCTCGTAAATTGTACTATATGTAATCGTATTATCAATCTCTTGAGTGATTGTTGAAAAAGGTATGGTGATAGTTGTGGGTTTATTATGCACTGTATCAGGAATGTCACTATAAATCGTTGAATAGGTTATTGTGCTGATAGGTGTTAGAGATTCGGGCATACAGTCAGGCCCAATGCATCTCTTCTGGGGAGCTGCAAAAAGATTCATGGGACTAGCTTTGTTTTTGGAATGGTAATCATTAGCCACAACTACTCCCGAGAGATCAATGATACCAATATCTTGAATGTTCGCTAAATGAAGTAAACAGGATTGAAACATATATGTTAGCGGCATATATTCGTTTCATATTCAGAAAAAAGCTTACCATCAGGTGCTAATGTAAAATCATGGGTTTGCCCAACCATATGACGATTAATGTGTATTCTTCCGGGTGTATAGATGCCATATTCATTCGAAGGGTAAAAGTTGTAAATTGTATTGCGATCTGAATTTCCTAAGCCTTCGGGGTTCACAGATAATGTGAAGGTCGTGCCAACAGAAATAGGAACCTAGCCGAGATAGATTACATATTAACAAACTACATTTATAATGTCTTTCATGTAAAAATACTACAAACACTTACATTAACTATTAGCGTTTGTGGCAATGTCTCTCCTTGAGAAGTTTTCCATTCGATATTCCTCCCACTAATTATATGAGTAGCATCCGATAGCATTCCAGGAAAAAGATGGCAGTTGTAGTCATTACAGGTGTTCATGGTTATAACATCGAAATCATTCTCTTTATCATGGAGTCTTGTAAGAACATCATTCTCATCCATTTTTAAAGTAGGATGTAAAACTGACAATTTCATGGAAGCCATTATTGCATCAGTGTGAGCTTGTTTAAAGTCGAAAAAACCGGTACCCTGATCAGTAAATATGGGACACCCTTCGCCATACTTCCGGATACGTGAAATGTCTGTCTCTTTCTGAAAGTATGAGGCACCGTATACATGATCAACAGTAGCATGAGTTCGGCCTCCAACAACTAGACCATACTTCTCTGAGTAAACATTGTTTGCATCGCTACAATCAAAGGCATTGTTCTTATTAATCGCACCAAATTTACCGTCTAAATTTCCTTGAACTGCAAGAGAACCATGCATATTGCGAACATCCTCTACAGCAAAATCACCAAAAAATACGCCTTTAGATATAACAGGCTAAATGTGGAAGAAAGCGTATTTATGAATATTCAACTTGATTTAAAATTTTCCATGAAAAATATCTTACATCCCAACAAGAAAGGAAATCATTACCGCAGAATGTTTTTAAAGTCTCGGAAAGGCCTAAAAGCAGAGTTCTCATAAGAACATTGTTTAAATTTTTAAATGTGTCGTTGAAGTTCTTTACCCGCATAATCAAATTTTTCAGCCGCGCACAACCCAGGAACACATGCAAGTACAACTATAGTGGGCTGAACTTTCATGATTTACTCGTCTGTATTTATGATCTTAAAATGAACGTTATTTTGACAAAATCAGCAAAGGTAAACCAACACCTCTAAATTGCGATAAAATTTATGCATGTGCATATATATCGTTTTATTCAATCCTAATTTTCCTAGATTTTCTATTTCCGAGCCATCTTTAAAATAAGCTGTAGGTTTTATATATTATGAATTTATGTTTTAAACATTCTCGTAAAGAATAATATTCTGCTCATCAGGGCTTGTCAATAAATATTTACAAAGCATTTGTTTTTGTAAATGTGGTGCAAGTAAAATGATTAACGTTATATGTTCATCGTTAATTTATTCATGAATCCAAACGTTTTCGACAATTATTCTTCTAGTTAAATGCCGTCTCAAATGAGCTTAATGTTTGTAACATGATTGGCTATATAAAGACCTTATTAGCTGGTCATTGAGTAGAAATCGAAAACAAAAAATTGATTAAAGTGTTATGATAGAATTAACATGATTTTATTCTCAATTTTCAAAGCATCTAGATTGCTGAACCATCAAATCTTCCACGGGTTTATTTTTAAATGAAAAATACATGAAATGAATTTCGGGTCTTAAGAAAACTGAAAGAACTTTAAAGAATCATTTTTGACAAAAAAAGTTCAGTTCTATCTGATATTTTGCCGCGTCCCCAGAAATTTGGTAGATGACATTTATTTTCCCTTATCAGATTTAAGGTCAGGAACATTCTTTAAATCGTCATCTTTAACAGAACTTTGATGCGTTTCAAATTCTTCCAATTGCGATAAAAAAAATTTAGGGCTTACATATATTATAGTAGCGAAACAGTTTCATAATCATCAACCATTGAGAATGAATTCAGTCCTAATTATCATTTTATAGGTTTGCGAGCCGCAATAGGTTAACTTTGTACCACCTATTTTTTATGTCATGTAATAATAATAGGAGTTGAATGTAATGGTTGGAGTGGTACAAACTAATAATAATAATCATAAATCTCTTCCTCTTCATCATCGCAGTCTTCTTCATCATCGTAGTCTTCATCATCATCGTAGTCTTCATCATCATCGAGCTTATGGCCCTTATGCTTACTGCTTTTGACATATTTGCCTTTTTTAAGTTTATCGTGCCAATTGTATGTTGTATAATCATCGTAGTCGGTATACTCCGTTTCATACTGGGTAGTGATTCTGGAAGTTGATTTAGTAGAACTGGTGGGCACATAAACGCTTGAAGATTGCACAGAACTATTAGAGCTACTGACTGTTTCATATGATACACTGCGTGGAGTAACTTCTGGTTTGAGAGTTATAGTGACTATAACGGATGATCTTGTTGTAATTATGATGGTATCATACGTGAGAATGGTGGTAGAAATATCATTTATCGTGCTATGAATGATTGTACTAGTAGTCTGATCAGTAATAGTGCTATAAGTGATTGTATTGCTAGTCTCTTCGGTAATGGTACTATAAATGATGGTATTGCTAGTCTCTTCGGTAATGACATTATGAGTAGTTATATCACTATGGCCATCAATAAGGGTGCTATGATCAAATGTATTGCTACTCTCTTCTGTAACTGTGCTATGTATAATCGCGCTGCTAGGAGTTTCAGTAACTACTATAATATATACTTGCATCGGTAAGGTCTTCGGCGAGGGTGCTATACGTTACTGTATCACTAGGAGAATTGGTGACTGTACTATATGCTATTTCATTACTAGGCTCTTCGGTAATTGTACTGTATGTGATTGTGTCGCTCGTGTTTCCGGTTAAAGTACTATAACATATTGTTGTGTCGCTTAGATATCCGGTAATGGTGCTATACGTCATTGTATCGCTAGTATCATCAGTGATTGTGCTGTATGATATTGTATCGCTCGTAACAGTACTGTATGTCATTGTATTACTAGGGACTTCAGTTACGGTGCTATATGTGATTGTACTGCTTGTGTTCATATCATCAGTTAAAGTGCTATATGTGATTGTATTGCTTGTGTTTATATCGTCAGTTAAAGTGCTATATGTTGTCCTAATGCTTGTAGTCGGCTCGCTGAAGATTGTACTAAAAGTCAAAAGCGACTCTTCAGGAGATATGCCCACTAATTCTGGGAAATGAAGATCACGATCGTCATATATGGGAAAACACCCTGAGAATCCAGAGCACTTCCCACCTACGGCAGCATAATCATGAAGTTCTACACCACCAGTTCCTTGCTTCCATTCATAGTCATTAGCTACAATTAATCCAGCAAAATTTCCGGTACCAGACTCTTCAATGTTTGCTATAAATATATGAAAGAGAAGTGTTTAGTACTTGATTGAATTGATGTAAGCTTTTTGATTGTGAATTTTTTTTTAAAAAAAAAACCTTCGGGCGCCAGGGTAAAACCTCCTAATTGGCCTCCAGTATTACGACTGATGTATATTCTTCCAGGTGTGTAAACGCCATTCGCGTCTGAAGGGTAAAAATTGTAAATTGTGCTGCAAACATAAATTCCCAAACTTGGCTGATTTCCAGCTATAGTAAAAGTTGTGCCGACGGAGATGGGTATCTAATAAAAAATATTTAGACTATATGTCAATCTATTACAACGCTATATTCATCACAAAAGGTATATTTACATTAATGACCAAATTTTCTGGGAAAGACAATTCTCTAGGACCGTTCCAGTTACCTATACCATCGATCATATGGCTTGAATAAGACAACCTCCCTGGATACAGATTACAGTTGAAGTTGTTGCAGGTATTTAGAGTCATGACATTAAAATATCCTATTTTGGGACCCAACTTAACAAGATCATTGTTTTCATCTAGCTTAAAATTAGGTTCTAATGCTGAAAACGTTTGGGAGGCATAGACAGAATTAATGTAGGCTTTTTTGAAATCGAATAGACCAGGACCTCTATCTGTAACTATTGGACAATCAGAATTTAACTCCTGGATTTTCGAAGTATCAGTTCCGTATGAAAGGAATATAGCGCCATGGACACGGTCACTAGTGCCATTATAAGAACCTCCCACGACAAGACCATAGCCGTCAAAACTGTGCTCAATATCACTGCAATTTACAGCACCGTTTGCGTTAATTGTGTAAAAACTACCTGACAAAGTTCCTCGAACAGCAAGAGGACCCAGGATGTCTTGGCCATTCCTTGTAGTAAAATCACCAAAGAAAATCCCAGAAAATCTAGTGAGCTAAAAAAAATATTTATTTAGCATATGAGTGCTATATTTAAAAATAAATGATTGCTCTTAATTACCATTTTAGAGGTAAGAGAATTACCGCAGGTTGTTGCACCGTAAGCACGACTCTGAAGTCGATGGCTAGTTGTGGTTTTATGACTACCGAATACGTAGTCATAACTGTCATGTATAAAAGACGATATACCAAATGCATACAATCCAGAAATACTACTCAACAAAATTACGATGGTGTGAGCTTTCATAAAATTAGTCTTAAATGTTTGATCAATTACAATTTTTTTTTTTTGCGCATTTTATATTTATTCTCATTTTACAGAGTATTCGGATTAATCAGATAAAAAAATATCTGATCTTAACCAAGCTCAGAAGAATAAGCACGGCCCCATTCACTATTTTACCATGCTCCCAGATGACATTTCTTTTCTCTTATCAGATTTAAGTCTAGGAACATTCTTTAAATCGTCATTTTTTATCAGATTTATGATACTTTCCATCTCGCCCAATTGAGATAATAAAAATTATAAGTATTTACACATTGTCTCTGGTATCAAAACAAGTTCCATAGGCATCAACAATTGAATTCAGTCCAAACCATCATTCTTTAAAACTTTGGATATTACATTTTAGTGAGGCGCAAAAGGCTGATTTTTTACCACCAACATTTTATGCCCATGTCAGAATAATAGGGGTTAAATGTAATGGTGGGAATGCAAAAGCTAATAATCGTAATCATTGTAATCATTATAAATTTCCTCCTCTTCATCGCATTCTTCATCATCACCGTGCTTATGGCCCTTGTGCTTATTGCTTTTGACATATTTGCTTTTATGTTTATCGTCCCAATGGTAAGTTGTATAATCATCGTAATTTGTATACTCCGTATCATACTGGGTATTGTTTACGGAAGTTAATTTAGTAGAACTAGTAGGCACATAAACACTTGTAGTTTGTACAGGTCTATTAGAACTACTGATTGTTGGGGATGATACACTGCGTGGGGTAACCTCAGGTTCGAGAGTTATAGTTACTACAACGGACGAGCTTGTTATAACTATGATAGTATCATACGTGAGAGTAGTGGTAGGAATATCAGTTATCGTGCTATGAATGATTGTATTTCCAGAAGTTTTACTAATGGTATTATGCGTAGTTACATCAATAATGGTGCTATACGTTATTGTGTCATCAGGAAAACCAGTGATTGTACTATATGTTATTGTATTACTAAGATCTTCGGTGATTGTACTGTGTGTGATTGTATTACTAGGATCTTCGGTGATTACACTGTATGTGATTGTATTACTAGGATCTTCGGTGATTGTACTGTATGTGATTGTATTACTAGGATCTTCGGTGATTACACTATATGTGATTGTATTACTAGGATCTTCGGTGATTACACTGTATGTGATTGTGTCGCTTGGGTTTTCGGTTATTATACTATAAGATATTGTTGTATCGCTTAGATCTCCAGTATTAGTTGTCATTGTATCGCTAGTATCATCAGTGATTGTGCTGTACAATACAGTATCACTGGGGGTTTCTGTAATTGTACTGTATGTCACTGTACTACTAAGGTTTTCAGTTATGGTGCTATACGTAATTGTGTTGCTTGGGTTCATATCGTCGGTTAAGGTGCTATACGTTGTCAGAATGCTTGTCGGCTCGCTGAAGATTGTACTAAAAGTCAAAAGCGACGTTTCAGGGGGTATTACTACTAATTCTGGGAAAAGAGGATCACTATCGTTAAATATGGGAAAACATCCCGTAAATCCAAAGCACCTCCCGCCCACCGCAGCGTAATCATGAAGTTCTACGCCACCAGTTCCTTGCTTCCATACATAATCATTGGCTACAACTAATCCAGCAAAATTTCCGGTACCAGCCTCTTCGATGTTAGCTGAGCGAATACGCATTAGGACAAATTGTGGTAAGCTTTTTGATTGTAAAACTTAAAAGAAAAATTACCATCGGGCGCCAGGGTGAAACCTCCCAATTGACCTCCGGTGTTACGATTGATGTATATTCTTCCAGGTGTATAAATGCCATTTGCATCTGAAGGGTAAAAGTTGTAAATTGTGTTGCAAGCAGAAATTCCCAAACTTGGCTGGTTTCCAGCTATGGTAAAAGTCGTGCCAACGGAGACTGGTATCTAATAAAAATTATTTAGCCAAATGTCAACATACTACAACGTCATATCCAAGATAAAAGGTGTATTTACATTAATGATCAAGTTCTCTGGGAAAGACAAATCTCTAGGACCGTTCCAGTTACCTACGCCGTTGATCATATGATTTGGATAAGACAGCTTTCCTGGATACAGATTACAATTGAAGTTGTTGCAGGTATTTAAAGTCATGACATCAAAATGTCCTATTTTGGGACCCAGCCTAACAAAAACATCGTTTTCATCCAGCTTAAGATTAGGTTCTAATGCTGCAAACTTTTGGGAGGCATAGACGGAATTGATGTAGGCTCTTTCGAAATCGAATAGACCAGTACCTCTATCCGTAACTATTGGACAGTTAGAGTTTAGTTCCTGAATTTTCGAAGTATCAGTTCCGTATGGAAGGAATATAGCGCCATGGACACGGGCACTGGCGCCATTATAAGAACCTTCCACAACAAGACCATAGCCATCAAAATTGTGCTCAATATCACTGCAATTTACAGCACCGTTCGCATTAATTGTGTAAACACTACCCGAAAAAGTTCCTCGAACAGCAAGAGGTCCCAGGATATCTTGTCCATTCCTTGTAGTAAAATCACCAAAGAAAATCCCAGAAAATCTAGTGAACTAAAAAAAATATTTATTTAGCATATGAGTGCTATGTTTAAAAATAAAGGATTGCTCTTAATTACCATTTTAGAGGTAAGAGAATTATCGCAGGTTGTTGCATCGTCAGCACGACTCTTCAGTCGATGGTTAGTTTTTCCTTTATGACTACCGAATATGTAATCATAACTGTCATGTATAAAAGACGATTCGCCAAATGCGTACAATGCAGATATACTACTCAGAAAAATTACAATGGTGTGAACTTTCATAAAATTAGTCTTTAATGTTTGGTCAACTATAATTTTAATGCATTTTATATATGTCTATTCCGGGATATTACAGTAGCGTCGGCGTAAATGTTAGACTCCTATTTCTACTAATTATTTATGAAACTATGCTTGAATGAACATTCTTCATAAAGCATGCTCCGAGAATTAAAGAAAATTACTATAGCTTTGTACATAATTTGATGACACACACACCACGACTCTTAACTTGGTCGTTTCTATTTAACTTTATAATCCGTTATTTGTGAATAGAAATGATGAATCCATTCAATATTTTACTAAGTTTTGTAAGACATAAACTCCCTTGGTAAAATAGTATCTTTCCAATTTTCACTCAAAAAGTGTTACAATTTCTTGGGTTCTGTAAGACCACTTATACATCTTTACCAGCTTTCGTTTATTTTAAGTATGTGCCGTAATCATAGTTTTCTTGATAAATCACTTTTGACTACTTACATTTTATAGTCTAAATTTCCACGAAAGAGAGTAATGAGGAGAGAAGGTGGTATTATAATTCGCACTTTGTATACATACTTTGTTAGTGTAGCATGAGAGAATTGTCATGCAGCACTTTAACAGCCGACTTTCGTTTTTAAATGACTTCAAAACCCCATATTCAAATAATTTATGTGCTTGCTATAAAATCTCTCGTCGTTATTGAGTAAAGAAGTAGCCGGAGCATAAAAAAATAATTAAAGCGTTGATAGAATTGATGTTATGATTTCATTCTTAATTTACAGAGCATTTGGATTGATTACATAAAAAGATGCGGCCTTATTTAAAATTTTACTAAATGCTCCCAGAAATTTGGTAAATGACATTTTTTTTTTCTCGTATATAATCTATTTACAAGCATTCTTCAGATCATTCGTCATTTTTTATTAGATTGTAGATGCTTTTCAATAACGCCCAAATGGGATACAAAAAGTTCTAATATTTCACTTATTTTCCAGTGAAAAATCAAGTTCCATAATTATCAGAAATTGAAAGTGAATATAAAGTTCTGATTACCACTTAATGGATTCAGATACTACATTTTAGTGAGCCACCATAGGCTGATGTACCGCCGACATTTTATGTCCTCTTCAGAATAGAAATAGGGATTAAATGTAATGATGAGAGCGTAATAAGCTGATAACCATAATCATTATAATTATTGCAAGTACTGTTTGTAAATACCCTTCTCTTTATCCCCGTCATCATCGCCGCCGTGCTTATAGCCTTTATGCTTACTGCTTTTGACATATTTTCCTTTTTTATGTGTACCATACCAAGTATATCCTGTTTAATTATTGTGATCTATATACTGCACACACATAAAAACTTGTAGGATGTACATTGGCTGTTAGATCTATTAGTTGTTTTGTAAAACACAATGCGTAGGGTGGCTTCTGGCCGAAGAGTTATAATAATTGCATCCGATGAGCTTATAGCAGTTATAATACTTTCGTATGTAACAGTAGTAGTAGGAATATTAGATAATAATTATTACCAATGATTGTATTGCTAGTCTCTTCACTGATTTGGTGACATATGTATTTCGAAGTATCGCTTCCGTATGGAAGAGATTCAATTCTTACTCCTTACAACAGAATAAATATAGCAGAAGAAAACAAGCTGTTTATTATTGAAAAAAAAGTATTGCAATTATGAATGAGGTCGCGAGTAATAAGAGTGATAAAGGTCAATATTGGTCAAGTACTCCACCCAATTGTTAAAGACCAATAAATGATTTTACAAGTAATATCAAAATTAACAAAGTATTCCGGTTGCTATGAAGTAATTGATATACCATAAAAGAAAGTAGGAGTAATGGTCTAAGTTGTGGACCTGTTCCTGAGTAGCAAAGATTATAAAAGGGCAATTTCTTTGGCTGGGAAAGTGAGGTTTTTAAACTAGAATTATGTCATTCGGGGGTCAGGACTGCGTTTGTACAGTATTGAACACTACAGCAAGCTTGCTGATTTTATGAAAGAAATTCCGACTGAGAGCAGATTCTTGGACGAATTCAGCCAAATAGTACCATACTATCCAGCATCTCATCATGAGTGATATTTTACTGGCAATGGTGATAGATCATCTGTGATATTAGAAATAGTAGTTTCAACTTCCCTCTGGTTTTTGGCACTCCTTTATTTGATGAGGTCCGCAGATAAATCTAAACTTTCTGTTGCTTTTACGTGTTTATCCGTTTTGTATCTGTTTTTTATTTGCAATCCGTGTTCATATCTACGCTATTTAATAAGCTGCATAATGTTCACCCCATTATTATTGGCACACAGTATTGTCGAATCACTGATAAACAATTACTAATTTCAACATTATAGATCTATGTAAGCCTGCGGCTCTGATGTATATTTGAGTGGAGCAATAAGTGCAAATGGTTATTTTTATGCATTTCTATTATTGGTAAAGGCTCAAACATGAAATGGCTGATTAAATAATCAATTATTATATCATGCTGACATAAAACCCAGCTCTTATTTATCAGTCTATAAATAAAACTTGTTCGCACATTTTTTTCTTCCCTTTTTCTTTACGAATGTATTCGTCAATAGCACTCTCTTTTAAAAGAGAGTAACAAGTATTGCAAAAAGGTTGGTTAATAATGACTTTTATTATTCAAGAAAACGCTAAACTAACAAACAAAAAAACCTGCTTCTTTTATAAATGAAAAGGCGCGCTCTGCTTTTTTTTGCGAAGAATCAGTGATATTACTGCTGCGGCTAGTCAACGCTTTACGATGGAGAACCCCCCAAGTTGGGGTTTCAGCTTTAAGCCGAAACTTCTGTAGGTCACATAAATTATATTGTAATTTTGATCGCATATATTAACAAAAAACACAATCATAGGCATCGTTCTGGGAACTTGGAAACTTCACGTGACAGGGACGTAAAATCTTTACGACAAACGTGTAGAGTTTACCTCGTTTAAACGCCTACCTCAAAAGCTGTCATCATTTACCCAGTCGACCAAAGTGGGTAATTGGTGACATTTCTGCAAATCAGTGCACTTCACAGTTCGCTGTTCAACGACTACGGAAAAACACGTTCGTGTCAAGAACAGCTGGAGAGGATGCCTTATTATAACTGATCCTGAAAAAGTCAATTGACAGGAGCTGCTAGAGAAAGGGAAGACAGCTTACGAAAACATAGCTGAGCAACCAATAGGAATCCAACAAAGTTTTTCTATTCGGGAAAGCTACCAAAAGAAGAATGATGAGGTTGCGGGTATGTTATACAAACGACCAGCGGAAGATGAACTCGAAAAGGTACTTCATGGATATATCTTTCAATTATTTAATCAGCTAATATACATGTTCTAAATCGTCAATAGGAAGGAAAAGGAAAAAAGGCTAGATCATCAATAAACATTGAACAATCTGAGCCAGAAATCCCAGTCGAATTGATCAATAGTTCCCAAAAGTCTCAGGTGTCAAGCGTTCCATTCTTGGACGTTGCTTATGACGATAGTGAATACGACAGCACGTACAGAGACAGTCAATCATTAAAAGAATCAGAAAGCTCTTCCTACAGCATTAAAGGCTACATATGGACTTTGACTTTAAGCGAGTTAGATATTGTATTTTTTGGCAAAAAGGAAATGACAACAACCAATCTACTCATAAAGACAAAATACGACAATACGCATATCGAGGCAATGAATAAAACCATCAAACCAACTGACATGGATAGACGGCTTTCTCTTTCTGCTTTGTTTGATTGCTTCAAACCAACGAAGGTATTAGAACAGTACGTAGGCCCTGTTTCAAAACTGCCACACAGCATAATCAGCTGCATCAAGGCAATGGAAAAATCCATGGATAACGACGAAGTAATGGAAATAGGAGGAGATAAGTTCAGCACCGTCGAAAAGAACTTGCCCTTCTTCATATTACGTCGGATGTATATATTTAATTTATTAATAGAATTATCAAGTGTATGGCATTCGAGAATGTTGGAGGTGCTATGCCTATCTTTTCTTTTGCCTTTGGTTCTGTGTTCGTTGGACATGCTGTTTTGAATTGGGTTTTCCATATAGTAGCCCATCTCGATGGTAATGCTTCACAATAGATTATTTAAACACAAATCTGAGTGTTTTTATGCTGACTTAGAGTTGTATACAGGGATTTTACGACTTGGGTTAATAAACAAAAAAATGCCCGAGACTGATTCTTCGCGGCCCGACATGGTTTTCCGCACGAAGTCTTTGAAAATAGGGCAATCAACACACCCAAAGCATCTGTCGACCTTGCTCGAACCAGGGTGCTTGAGACTTGCAAGAGACAGTTGCATCTAATGTTGAAGGTTGCCAAATCATTGAAGGAAGCAGTGCTAATTATAGTCTGCGCACAGCCATTTACAGGTGACTTTTGGTGTACTAATGTATGGTAAAATAAAACAGGAAAAATTAAATAAAAAAGGCTAACTTGATCGATTTAGGTCTTTCGTATAAATTATACATGGTCACATTTAACGATGGGTATTACCCTTACGAAAGAATTTCTGTTGGTTTGATGCCTACGTCGTTTGCAACTTTCAAGTGTACGGAAAAGATGTTGATGGATTTGTGCCAACTGAAAGTAAATGATCAATCTATCATACCATTACATTAGTACTAATTGCTATTTGTAGAAATCCATAAATCTTTCTTTGAGGTTGGAAAGCACCAATGCTGCCATCCTTTTTCAGGGGTTAGCTCATTCGGCAGATGAGCTGTTACACACTCCTTAGCTGTGGTTGATGAAAACCAGCTTCTACCCACCGTATCTTATACTATGATTTTTCGCCTGAAACATCAGTCAAGTTTTTTTTTATATTCTAATAAATCATTGCATTTAGCCCAAAACCCTTTATTTTATCACATTTATTTTATACTACAAGGCCAATTTCTCCATTTGCTTATGACGGACACACAATGATGGCCTTTTTTTTGGCATATATTTTTGTGTGCGCGTGTGACACCATCCTTTTATTCATGTGGTCTCTTCACTGTCACATATAGCTTGTAAACATCATGCAATTGACTGATGGACTACCGGATTGCCCAAAAAAAGTAAGAAAATATTCCAGTCCCATCAGCATATCTTTTTGTTTTATTTGTTTTTTCAATAATAAAATTATTGTTACTGAATGAACATGACTGCCCTTAGTAACGATGAAAATGAGGTAGTAATCCAGTAACATGACGCATTACAATCTTTTTCTAATGAGCCGCATGGTAAAAGACGACAACTTAGATGTCGAACGAAACGTGATTGAAGTAAAACTCAGTAACTGGGTACACTTGAAGAAGCACAAAGATGTTTGGGTGGTGGGAAATAAAAGGTGCCAGATATACAGAATGTGTACTACCTTATGGATTTCGTTGCTTCAGGAACGAGCCTTAAAGTAGCCTGTGGAAATGCTATGATCTTATTGACAGAAAGAAGAGAGTAGGAGTAAAATAATCATTGCTTAAAGGTGAAAAGCAGCATCGCGCTGAGTAAGAGCATCAATAAATGGTAAGGTTCTGAGATTGAAAAACCTGTCAATGGGGTCGATCGGCGTTCCCATCAATCAATGAGAGCGATTTGTGATTTATCAATGAAAAGATTCAAACATCTTTCTTTTTTAAAAATAATACATGGATGTGTTTCCTTGGAGAGGTCAGCAGATGAGGTTATAAACTATAAGCAAAAAAAAAAAGCGTGATTTTATGGATGAAGCTGGGTTCTACCATTTCGCCATAGACGTTGGTCTAATGAAAGGTATTTCGGTTTGAAGCAATTGCAGCTATCTTCTGTCTGAAGAATTTTGATGATTCGCTTGTGGGTAATTTCAATTGATTTGTCAACAAGAAAGTGCACACCACTCCTTGATGACAAGGAAGTTCAAAGTTCAATGGTCCGGCAAAAACGAGATCCAAGTACTTTTTTTTTTTTTTTTTTTATACAAATAGGACGAGTTTTGGTGTCTAAGAATAGATTTCTAGCTGTTACCTTGTATTCAATAGAAAATGTAAATAAGTCAGCTTCCATTCGAGAATAGAGGCTACAAATGGTGTTTGTTTACCTCCTTACTCTTCCAAACTTTAATTCAAGAGTTTCGAGTTTAAGGTAAAGGCAGTAGAATTCAAACAAAATCCATTGCGATCCAGGTAATATTTTGGCTTCTTGGGAGAATGGAGGATTACCTTACATGTCTGTCATGATTGGATCTGTCATTGGGGGGGGGGTAGATTTCTCAACGTATCAGTATAGAGAAAAATTATCGTTTTTATTTAAAAAAAAAAAAACTTTAGGCTAGAAAAATAGCGTTTACTTTTTGAAGAAATTAGTTCCTTTTTAGAAAATGAGGTGTAAAAAAAAAAAAAAAAAAAAAAAAAAAAATCCTGTACATTGGTACACGAAGAGTGTCCATGTCATGTCTCAAGGTTTTTGATTTTTCTTCCTTATTTGAACCCTGAAAGGTAAAACAAGTCACGGTCCAAAGGCCAGAAAAAAAAAGTTTTTTTTTTTTATTGTTGGGTGAAATATAAAAAAAAATGAATTTGTTCAAATTCACTCGTTTCTTTTCTTTTAGTACACCTAGAATAATAAAAATGGCTGCACCTCTCACTCACCCTTGTATCGTTGACGGTTGGTTCATGGAAAAGTCCACCATGTGGCCCGGACAAGGTAACAATGGAAACAAGATAGCTTTTTTGACGTGTCTGACGTTTTAACGTTTCCCCATAATAATAGCCATGTCTCTCAAGGTCGAAGAAATTCTTCACGTTGAAAAGTCCAAGTACCAAGATGTCCTTGTTTTCCAATCATCCAACTACGGTAACGTTTTGGTTCTTGATAACGTTATTCAAGCTACTGAGCGTGATGAATTCTCGTAAGTGTTGATACGGTTTAAGGATTAAAATAAGTTTATTTGATAATTAACAGATTGAAACTATTAGCTACCAAGAAATGATCACCCATCTTGCCATGAACTCTCACCCTTGTCCCAAGAAGGTAATAAGAGATGAAAAGAGATAAAGAGAGAAAGAGAGAAAGAGAGAAAAAAATAACCCAATGGAAAAATAGGTTCTTGTGATTGGTGGTGGTGATGGTGGTGTCCTCCGTGAAGTTGTCAAGCACGAGTGTGTTGAAGAAGCTACTCTTGTTGATATTGATGAGGCCGTTCCTCGTGTTTCCAAGAAGTACCTTCCCAACATGGCTGTTGGTTTCGAACACCCTAAGGTTAAGGTTCACATTGGTGATGGTTTCGAGTTCTTGAAGGATAAGGTCAACCAATACGATGTTATCATTACTGATTCCTCTGATCCCGATGGTCCCGCTGAGTCTCTTTTCGGTCCTGATTTCTTCCAACTCTTAAAGAACGCTCTTACCGAAAAGGGTGTCTTCTCCACTCAAGGTGAATGTATGTGGCTCCATCTTCCTCTCATCAGAAAGGTCAAGGACTTCTGTAAGAACCTCTACCCTCAAGTTGAGTATGCTTACACCAGTATCCCCACTTACCCCAGTGGTCAAATTGGTCACATCATGTGCTCCAAGGATGCTGACGCTAACCTCAGAGAACCCCTCCGTAGCTTCACCAAGGAACAAGAGGATAAGCTCTGTCGTTACTACAACTCTGATGTTCACAAGGCTGCTTTCGTCTTGCCTCAATTCGCCAAGAAGGCTTTGTACGAATAAATTTTTTTCTTTTTCTCTTTGATGATTTAAATAATAAACAAATTGCATATACATCTTATTCCCTACGCATCCTTCATTTATTTACAATTACTCTCATTGACTCAATTATGACACGGGTCAACTTTATGGATGGTAAAATTCTAAACGATCTAATCTTAACGCTAGTAGATCTTGCCATGACCAACTATAGTTCAAGAGACCTAAAACAGACGAACGCAGGGAAACAAAGAAAACCCATTGAAGCGGGACGTCAAGTTTATGCAAGAGTCATAAAATAAGGGTAACTATACGGACACCGTTTTTTTTGGTGTAAAAAATATTTAGGGACACCGTTTGTTTGTCCGGCCCGGATTTGTTTTTTTTTTTTTTTTTGCACTATAAAATAATTTCAGGGACACACCGTATTTTTTTACGGACACCGTTTTTTACTTATTAAGAAAATCTCACTATGAACGAAATGACTGAACAAGACATCAACGATAAGGAATTGCTAATTCAAGCACTTCTTTCCGAGTTCAGTAACGATGTTGAAATTAACGATGGCTTCGAGCAAACATTAGAAAATGAGAACGTTAAACACGAAAATCCCGGCAAAAACGCTCTCTTGAACGAGTTTGACTGGGACTCCATCAGTGTCGCAGAGAATGCAGCAGAAGATCACGAGGAAAATTACCTGACTGACTTTCCGGTACCGTCTTTTGAGGAGACTGTTGGTAGTAGCGAAGCTGTCGTAAGTATGAAGGAGGCTTTTGGAAAGGAGTTTCCTGGAAGCAAAAAATTCGCTGACAAGCAGTCGGCCAAATACGAGATCCAAGAGTTTTGTAAGTCTCAGAACATGCCTTTTGAGACACTCAGAAGCGATAAAGTTTACATGAAACTGGTATGCAAGCATTTTGGCGAATACAGCAACACCAGAGGCGAAGAAAGTACGTATGCATTGAGTGAATGGCTGGTCTAGTTTGATTAAAAAAGTGAAATAGAAGACAATAATGATGGGGAGGGTGTCTTGAAAAGGACTAATCGTAAGACTGTTAAGGTTGGATGTACGGCTTTTATTCACATCAAGTTGGATACCAAAGACGTGAACAATCGCTGGTATATTAACAAGGCTTGTTTTGACCACACGCACCCAGTTAGCAACAACCGCCAAATGTATCATGTTAACAGGAAATTGGAAGCAGATGATCAAGAATTTGCAATCAAGATGATGCAAAGCGGAAGCACTCCCAGTGCAATTTTGGAGGTAAGGAAGTTGATAGTAAAAGTAGGATGTGGTAAGAAGCTAGCATTATTTGTGATCTAGTTTTTTTTTGAATAAAGACATATTATACGCACACTTTAAAAACATTCTCAAAAGACATTAGCAGTATAGTTTTTCTTAAAATAAATCGTTTTGTTTGTAGATGTTGAAAACAAGAGATGTTTGCAACGTTAATGGGATTGACCTTACGAATATCCAACAACGTTTCTGTAGAGACGACAGCATTTTCATTTGGAATTTTATAAGACACATCGAAACAACAAACCACCATGTTAGATATTTTTGGGCAGAATATCATGTCAATGCTCTGATGCACATGGGCAATCGAACATCCAACAGAGTTGAGGCAACTCATACAAACATCCAGCGTCACACGCATACATCTTCTGGAAGTATAGCTATTGTAACAAGTAAAATCAGCCCTTGGACCCAGAAACGGGTAAGTATTATTTATTGTATTCTTTCAATCGAGACTCACTGAAAATAATTAATGTAATAAAGGAGGAATACCGCGACTTGCAGTCCACGAGAGAGAGGCGTTGACACAGTAGACAGGTTTACTTGATTTGGTTATCATGACGAAAGTCAGTCAACTTCAAATGAATATCACCAACTTTGCTCTTGAGAGTATAAAGTCCGAATTGGTAGAGTTGAGACTGGCCAGCGAAAATCCAAATCATAAGAGCCATGCACTTCCAGGAAAACAGACTTGCCTGTGTTCTTTAAGAAGAAATTACAATCTTCCGTGCAGACACTTGTTGGTAAAGCTACTCTCGGATAACAACGGCGTTGTGCCTTTTAAGGCAATTTCAAAAAGATGGAGAATCCATTATATTGACGGAAGTGGTAAGTACTCTTTAATGGGGTTTATATTTAAATTAAATTCTAATATTTATTAATAGTGGTGTTCTCAGTTGCCACCATCGCTGAGATAACGAAAGAAGCCAGTGAGAAAACAAAATCCGTTGACGAATCGGGCGCCTACCAAAGCCGTCTAATGATCCGTTTTGAAAAATTCTCTCTGTTGTTGAAGACGGTCAGCAGTCAGCAAGAGAAGGAAATTATGATGAAGCGTATTGATGACTTGTACGATGCTCTTGTTTGCAAGTCATCAATTGAAACCGCACGTCCTCCTGCCACTGTGGTATCCCAGAAAGGCCACCCAAAAAGCACTAAGAGAGAAAAGCTGGGACTAGAGCACGAGGACGATGCCATTAAGCAAGAAAACAAGAAGCGCAAGGCTGATATCGTAGATAGCTCACCAAAAATAAAGCAGATAAAAAAAATACGAAGCAGCAGACAAAAGCCAGGAAAATGTTCCTTCAAACGTGGTAAAAGAAATTTCTTTAAAGTAAGTATTTTATTTTACATGTTAAAGCATTCAAAACTGACTTTTTACGGTATTTTAAAAGATACAACGGCACAACCATCCAAACTCTGGACAATAATCCTGCTTTATTTAAACAGTTAGATTTATTAGATGCCAATCAAGCTTTAGCTTTGATTGATCCTCAAGGTGAAGATAATTGTTGATTTCGAGCAATCAGCCTTGCACTGTTTGGACATGAAGAAGGTTCGATTCAAGTCAAAAAATTCATACTCAACACTCTTCGGTCTTATCGAAATGTTTATGAAACCATGCAACTAGACATGGACTATTTGGAAAGGAAACTTAATGCTTCAAAATCCCCATGTTAAGACCCGGAGGACCATTATATGTGGTTTGACACCATCGGTTGCCCGCAACTAGTTGCAGATACAATGAAACGTCCCGTGGTTCTTTTGAATTCTTCTCCAAGAATCTTTAAAACGACCGGTATTGAACGTGATCTTGACGGTAGTATCGTTTACAACAAATACCGACAGACTTTTGTCCCTTTCTTTGAGTTGGACACCTAATACTTGGCTGATCCAATTTTTTTTTTAACAAGCTCGCATTTCTATTTTCTGGATCGCCAAACCAACGTAAAGAGCAAAAAACCCATCGACTATGAACATTGGCCCCAAGTAAGCCCTCTTCATAAAATAGTTGTAAGAACGCACAGAGATATTTGCACAAGTGATTTCTCTGAGTTTTATCAAGACACTTAAGACCATTTTCATTCTTTCCTACTCGATATATATTAACCCCAATAAAAATTTTATCTTTTTCAAATATAAAATGAACTAGTATCTCTAAAACCGGCGCTATCAGTAAAAAAAAAAAAGGTGTCCGTAAAAAAAACGGTGTCCCTAAAATTATTTTATAGTGCAAAAAAAAAAAAAAAAAAAAAAAAAATAGGCGGTGATAAATGGTGAAACCCAAATATATAAATGCTTATTAGTCCGGGTAACTGTTTCTATTAAGAGACCAATTCATACTGAAAGAAAAAATGACTCAAGTTATTCCCCGTACCCTTAATAAAATACAATCATATAGCTATTCTAATTCGCAGCTAAATTCAAAAAAAAGTATGATACATAAATCATCCTAACATTGGGCGGGGGGGGAGGACTCTGAAGTCCTGCGGTATATGTAGTAGCTTAAACGAAAATGTTTTCGATCATCATTGATACGGTGTAGCCCCTCAACACTTGAAGAACGATGAATTCTCAGGTCGAGTATACTAGTAATCTCACACTATGGTATTATCACTGGGGGGGGGGAGAGCAAGAAGAGATAAATCTCTAATTACAACTCTGCAAGTTGGTAACTAAACATCTTGATGCCTGCCATTCATTCATTTACGGTGCGTTTACTCTCAATTGAACACTTTTTTGAAGTTCTATTGGTCAATTTTTTGAACTTGATTTGATCACTTTTCGAGCCTCACTTGCTCAGGCGAGTAAGGATGGAGGTACACTGGGGTATAGCCTGTCTGTTAATGATTATATAATCAATCAATTCGGCGATGTGGATGGTAGCATTATCCATGACAATGAAATAACCTCTAATTTCAAGAAACTCATCCATAATATCCATATGTAGTATTGTTTAAAAAAGATAGATCTGTGGTACCTTTAGGAACAGATAACCTATCCTGAGACGACTTTCTCACTTCGTAGCTCCTACTACTTTTTTTCCTCTTAACATTTCCAGACTCTCTCATACTTAAGTTTGACAGCACGGATAGCCGAGATAGCATCAATAACAGCGTGAGAGACTCCTTCTAGCTGAATGTGTTGTGAAAATGACGATCACTGAGTCAGTTTTTGATTTTTTTCAAAAAAAAGCAAAAAAAAAAGCAAAACGCACTGTACACAGAAAGGTTTAAAGCTCATTTTTTTTAAAAATTTACGTTTTTATTAAAAGCAGTATCCATAAACGAAGCAATTTTTAACGAATCAGCCCGTTTGGGCCGATTGGAGTGATTTCTACTTGTTAATAGAAGTTGTTCTTTTGCTACTTTGTTGACACATTGTCAAGACAGACTTCCAGTCTTGATATTACGAACCGAATAGGTTTGTCTGATTTAGCTGCTGCCAAACAACTTCTGTAGTAACATAGCAGAATTATTTCTCATTACACAACTTTTTTTTTGTATTGACATTGAGTTTATTCATTACACGATTTGAAACAAGTAAAGATTAAATTGAATTTAAACAAGTATATTATTTTTTAATAAGGGTATTTTGATAAGCGGTATGAATATTTATTATATGTTTTTCGTTATTTTTGCTTTTTCTTCCTTCGACTTAAGCTTCAATATCTTCTTCCTCACCGTCTCTTCTTCTCTTTCTTTTACTTGCTTCGACACTGAAACAAGGTAACAACAACAGATCTTTCACTGGTTCTATTTTTTTTACGTCGGCACTCTCTTTTCTTACAAGCTTATTACTCTCCTCCATAATTAGCCTTCCTTGATAGACAACCTTTAATATTGCGAGGAGCTGATTAGATATGTCATCAACCTCCTCAGGTAAATCAATTGAGCTCAAAGTGGTAATTCTTGTTACGTGCCCTGCCGGTGAATCACAGAGAACCATGGTAAATTTGGTTTCTAAATAAAGAAAATTCATCATTAGCAAAGGGGTAAGGGACGATGTCGCAATTCCAAATCTTTACTTACCATACATCAAATAGCCGACAAGAGTTAATTGACGAATTGAACTAGGCGCCGCTCTGTATAAACTATACATCATATCTTTCAAGACTTTTTCCATTTTAAATGAACCGTCGTAGAGCTGCTTTGTATCATCGTCAAAGCGACCACACTCACAGCAGCCATACTCCAATCTTTGGCGAGTAAAGAGCATATCGACTTTTCTTCCCGTAAACTTTCTCTCCATTTTATCTTTAGCTGCTAATGTTCTACCAAGATTTCTACTAACACAAGAAGATTTACTTGATTTCTCACCTCTAAATTATTGGAAACAGAACCAATTTTATTAGTAATTAGAATTTTGGAATGAAACTGAAGGTTGTACTTTACCCGATGCAATCTATTTTAGAATCGTCTAGAACGGTGTCGAGAAAAAACCAAATTCTGCGAAGCATATCGCCCTCAGTTTGATGGTTGAGCGGCAATTTTTGATATTTAAAAAGCTTGATATAATCAAGCACTGTATCCTTAGCCCATTCACAAGCAGTGGAATCAAATTCTTGTTTCAAATACTGCTTAAATGAGTCAGCATCCGGAAGCTTTCGAGCTTCAAGTATAAAATTATTTAATTCAGCTGGCAATTCTGGAAGCTTCTTCTCATTGTAGTTCATCATTTCAGCAATATCTTGATCACTGAAATATTTCTTCCAACTTTCGTCGCTTAAATCGAGGACGAGAGAGTGTACTGGACTAAAAAACAAGTTTATAAGTATGTTGCAATAAAAAAAACATTATTCGATAGTTACTGCTCGAAATTACAAACAAGTGCGAACTCTTCCATCTTTTTCTCTACAACCACACCAGAAGACAATTTCCACATAGAAGTTTCATTTAAGTCTTCATACAATTTTTTAATATAATCCTTGTCCTGTAAAGATAACCTTGGTTGTTTTGGAGAAGACGAGGCAGAAGAGGATGAATTTAATGATGATGAATTTAATGATGATGAATTTTTAGAAACGCTAACGGTTTCACCATTTGTAATAGGAAACGCTTCAAAAGGTTTAATGTTAGGATTAACAATACCCAGTCGCTTGTCATTAATTAACATAGAGATATTTTCCCAATTTGGTTTTGTTTTTTTCTAAAAAATAATCAGTAACAGGAACAATTTTAATTTAAACGCTAAACCTACATAGCTAATATTTGATTTAGACAGCACTTGGGCAATTCTTGAGCACCAACTTGATTTATAGATAAATAATGAAGTTTTATTATCATATGAAGATACAATGGTATCGGTCAGTTGATCAGAAACTTTTGAAACGTTAATTGGCAAACCGGCTGCGCCTAATGAATGGATGGCGGCTTCTATTTCTATGATTAAAGTTGTTAGTAAGTCGTTGCTAAGGATATTAGATTTGAGTTCTTTGGTAGTAAACACTTGCTATCATCGCTTGATTCCCAAAAGGCTTTACTTGAGGTGGGCTGTTTTGAATTCGACATTGTTAGTTCGATGGCAATAGAATAATTGTTTAGTAACGCGGTAAGAAATCCTTCACAAATAGAAAACAAGGTCACAGTGCATATCACCTTGTTACGCGATTTACTTATTTCCCAGAATCTGCAGCGGGTTCTAAAACTGTTTGATTGCTTTGTCTTAAAATCAGCAATGCTGGACACAAATATTATTGGTTCTGACAATTGAGTGACTATGAAAATAATTGGTAGGGAGTGGGAATTGATTTTTTTCAATGTCCTTATCCTCTGCTTGTTCGATGAGTAGAGAAGCCTCAGTGTGTTGAATGTGGATGGCAGTAATGTCGACTTGGAACGGTATATCTCGAAAGATTTCCTTTAAGTGGTACAGCCAAATTGAATAAATAGCCGAGCCTAGCAATTGTGTGAAATTGCAGTGGAATAAGGTGGTGATTGTGCCTTGAAATTTTAATTGGAAAATTTTTGGGTAATGATTGATTGTTGCTCAGACTTGGATGGATCTTGGAGCTGGTTGAAAAGGACTAGCATAGAGACCCATACGGACCATCATTGAGGGCAAATAATGAAAACATGTTCTGCGTTGGCAATGATATCCGGACATTAAGTCACAATTTGGGTAGAGATGAACATCGGGGAGTATTCGATGGAGAAACGCTTTGACAGGAAGTTTGTTAATTAAACGATACCATCTGTTACGCACTATTGGATGTAAGCCAGTTTTTCCAGAATTTTGTCCAGACTGTAGTTGTTGGGTAGCTGTTGGGTAGCTGTTGGGTGGGGTTGAAGGAGTGAATTATCCTTGCAGTTTTAACAATGTTCGGCCGCACTAAAGTAAATTTATTTTTTAGCTAATTATACGCGCACCATACTTTTCGCTGGCGCACCTTACTTTTTTTCGCACACCACACTTTTTTTTGCTTCATTCTTTTTCGTTTAAGCTTTTATTTTGAAATGAATTCAAACGATTCACACCAATCTTTGAGTGAAAGCCAATTGTTAATCAACAGCCTTTTGTCTGTAATTTACCCCGCTGAAGAAGTTAAAGATAGTTTCGAGGAGATCTTCGATAAACAAAACGATGAACAACACACTTTAATTCTACTATTGAACAAATTATCTAATAAAAGGCCTAAAAGCAGTATCAAAGTATTTTACCTTGTTTTTATTTTTTTTATTTATTTTTATTTATTTTTATTTTATTGTCCAATACCTCACAATCAGTTTATTAGAATAGTATTGGTTGATAAAGTATGATTTACCTCCGTAATTGTATTGATGGCTATCTGGAAAGTTGATGACAAAATACTTACTGATAATTCAATTAAAGAATTAAAAAGGTCCAAGTGTTTCAGTCAATACGCTTGTGTTAAACACATGAAAATATTTCAAAATATTTAATTGGAGTTAAGAAACAAAATGATAGTAATAGGATTTAATACTTTTACAAAACCATTTCCTGATACTGTTTATTTGCAGTAACAAGGAAATAGAAACTTGCATTAAGAAAGTTTATTAAAATAAGGGTTCTTTTCCAGAGGAAAGAGGTTTATTTTCATGGGGCAAATTGTCAACAGACACAAGCTATTACACTTAAACCTGTTAGTAAATAAAATAAAAGATTTCATTATTGCACTTGTTTAATAAAAAAAAAAGGAGAGAGACCAACACATTCTCAAACCAAACAGGTCTTGGCTTGTCATCGGGTCTACAAAGCACAAGTACAAGATGCGGGACGTGGGCAGACCATACATGTACAAGACCTGTAAACTTCACAAAGATGCGGGACGTAAGCTGACCATGCAACCAATGTTGATGATTAGAATATGAAAAACCTCTGTAGATTTCACAATTCCTGGTGAAAGTCAAAAAACAACCTGACGTCATCTTTTTCTGGAGGTGCTGTAAAAATCTTTAAATTATTTCCAGAACAACCCATGATGTTGTCGCAGGTTTCTTTCGCTTTTTTTTTCTTCTTAGTCACCTGTTAATCGTGTAAAAGCTACCAGGCGCTTGTCGTGTGGGATGTATCGTAATACACTTGGCTGCTAATTGTTAATCGTGTAAAAGCTACCAGGCGCTTGTCGTTTGGGATGTGTCGTAATACAATTAGCTTCACCCATTCTTAGTCATTTGTTAATCGTGTAAAAACTACTATGCGCTTGTCGTGTGGGATGTATCGTAATACACTTGGCTGCTAATTGTTAATCGTGTAAAAGCTACCAGGCGCTTGTCGTTTGGGATGTGTCGTAATACAATTAGCTTTACCTTTTTCTTATAAAACAGTTTTTTGGGAGTAAAAGTATTTCTACCTTCACGTGGTTACTCCTGTTAGTAAAAGCTTCTATTGCTTTGAAGCTAAGAGAGATGCAATTCCTTAATTTACACACATCTGTCGTATACAGGCACTATATATTAGTTATATAAATGAATATTGAATAGTCTAGTCTTAGAATATTCTTTAATAAAATTCATTCATTATATATCTGGTTCAGTTATATATTGTTACAATAATCTATTCATTCATGCATCATTCCTTTTATATTGATTATAGCTTATATTTCGTTGTTTTGACCTCAAAAACTGTCTTTTTGAAAGTAGTTAAAGCGGTAGCAGATCTCAACACTACCGAAGAAAGCGATGTCGAAAGAAAAAAGATAAAAAAAAAGTACCCAGCCTTTATCAAGTTTTACAACTCGACTGTCACCAAGTTCGACATGACTCACAAGCATTCCATTCCTCAAGACATGACAACTTATGTTATTTAACGCAGAGAATATATTGTATTTTAGCTAGTGGTAGTAAAGATCCTGTAGCTAGTGTTATGGAAGTAGGCTCAAGAAAAACTTCATGCTGTTGCTTCGAGTTGGAATGATGAAGCTTCTTTACAAAATAAAAATCCAGCAATCAAATATCAATCAGCTTAAGCCACTTTCAACAAAATTGAATAGAAAGGTAGACACTTTTCTAAGAAGAGGAGTTAAAAGTGGAACTAAACGCTTGCAGAGTTATAAAGAGCACTTTCTGAGAAAAGTCAACAGAAAGAAATTCAAAAAAAAAAAGGATTGATAGATTTGGAAGAGAGACATCTGGTGGCCTTGGAAGCAAAAGAGAAGAAAGCTCGCATTGACTATTAAAGATTATGATGGGGCGTATGTTACTCCTACCACGGATGGTAAAAAATAATAATCCAGTTGATGAAAATCTTACTTTCCTTACTCGCCTGAGCAAGTGAAGTTCGAAAAAGTGACCAATTGGACTTCAAAAAAGTGTTCAATTGAGAGTGGACGCACTGTGTATTCGACATGACATCTACTTATATATAAGAATAAATTACTTGGGGCTATGAAACTCGTTAGAGTCAAGGATCTAGATATTGAAATCTATAGATCTAATCAAGAATTCCCTAGATCTATCCCTGATGTAACCAAGGAATCCATCGATCTGATCATGAGATCTGATCATGATGCCCAAGAAGATCTAATCATGGTAAGAAACCAAAAGAAGAAAAAGATATAAGCGGGAACGTCTTTTTTATTTACAGGTGGGCCAAAAGACGTAAAGTGCCCAACCGGTTATCGTTAGTACATAATAATAATAATAATAATAAAAAAAAGGTGTTTTGTTTGGCGTTCCCCCCTATATATAAAAAAAAAAAAAGTGTGTTGTTGTTGTCGTTGTTTTAGACGACGGTGTGTTTGATATCAGATACTTCATCCGTTTCCAAACGTTGTTCCAGGTCTGGTTGTGGACCATGCATTAATTCCAAATGTTCTCGTTGTGCTGTCTCTTTATCAAAGGTACCAATGGCGGGTTCAGGTGTAGGGAAAATGTGATAGATGGCGATACCCAAGATAATGACAACATAGGCAAAAGGATACATGACCGTGATATGATAACCAAATAAGCCAATACCAAAGATCAGACCGTAAAAGTTACTTGTCAGTAAGGAGAGGTTATAAAGAACAGCACTTCCCCAACGAAACATGATGGGAGCCAACGAGTAGAGAATACACATACAGACAGTATAGACAATGACTAAACCCACAATAGCAGGGTTTCCAGCAAACGAACTAAACTCGTTTCTTTCGAGGATCATCAATTGAATGAAATTGATAAAGGTAGCAAAGAAAGTAAACATACCAATGACTTCATACAGAGGATGTTTACGTGCCATTAGTTCTTCTCCTACATTGGAGAAACCATAGAGTGTGGCACCCAAGAGACAAAAGAGGTCACCTTTAACAGCATCGACAGCAGCATAATCTTTTCCTTCCATGACATCACTGGCGATCAACATGCCCATACCTCCCAAGGCAATCACGACACCCACGTATTGAACCCAACGATAACGGATCTTCATAAAGATGAAAGATAAGAGCATACAAACGGGTGTACTCCAGCAGTTTAAAAGCATAGCAGATAAGAGAGAGGTGTATTGGTAGGCTTTAACTACAAAATAATTACCCTCGACATCAATGGCACCCAAGATCAAATAATAAAGCCCACGACGCCTGAATTGAAGTAACCAACCTCGGATACCTCGTTTGTAAATAGCATAACTGTTATAAACTACTGCCAATGTTGCACTAGTATCTACATTTTAGAAATCTTGTTTGCATAGAAATAAGAAGAAAGAATTAACTTACTAGACGAGGAAGGTTTGGGTGGTAGGAGCAGCAAAATTATAAGAGAGACTTAATTTCGTGGTGGTTACATTAGTACCAGTGATACACAACGAAAGCACTAAAATATAAATAAATATTAATTTGGTGAAGAGGAGATCTTTTTTTTTTTATTTTACCTTGGCCCAAGATTAAGACCTTGTAAAATCGAGGATCTTTTAAGAACGCAAATCGTTCTTTTAAGGTCTTTTTTTCGAACATTGATTTGAAAAAAAAAGAAAAAAGAGTGGAGGGTTCCACTTTTTTTTTTTTTTTTTTTTAAATGATATTAAAAAATAGAATCAGAGGAAGCTTCAGAAAGATCTTTTTTTGTGCTTCCCTTTTTTTTATTATTTATTAGATCTTTTACATTTGCCTTCTTTTCTCTAATAAGAATACCTGTTTTTATATACATGTAAAAAATAAAAAGGTGGAGCTCATGTGTGTGTGTGTGTGGAGAAACATGTGAAAACGAGGGGGGGTTTCAAAAAAAAAAAAAAAAAAATGTTGTCTCAGACGTTTGACATGATGGAATAAAACAGACAACGTGTTTTTCAATTTCTCCTGTAGCTTTGTTTGACTCTCTCTCTTTTTTTATTTTCACATGGGATCAACAAGACTCACTCGCCACTTTCTTTTTTTCCCCCCATGGATTTCATTGTTTGCTTTTAAAAGACGCGTGGGAAGATTTTTTCTGGGATTTTTTTTTATTTAGCAATTAATAAGAAAAAAAAAAAAAAGAGATTGAAGGGGATAAAGAAAATTTGTACACTGAAAAGGGATTTCTTCAAAAAAAGAACCTTTCATAAAAAGAGGGGGGGGGGGGAGAATAATATTGAATTTTTTGTTATATCGTTATTTTTTAGGGGAGGGGAGGGGAGGAGTTTAGAAAAAAAAAAGAGGCTTTTTTTTTTTGCATCTTTGGGCGTAATTTTTTTTTTTTTTCAATTTTTTCATTTTTTTTTTTTTTTTTTATGGCTTACGGAATTCAGTAAGGACGGGATATATAGCTTGGAAAGCTTGATAGATTTCTTCACGCACTTTAGCACCGGTAAGGACGATTTTACCTGATACAAAGATTAACAAGACAATCTTGGGTTTGACCATACGATAGATAAGACCAGGGAACAATTCAGGTTCGTACTAAAGAAGGAAAAAATACGTAAGCAAAAAAAGGGAGAGAGAAAAAAAAAAAGAGGCTTTTTTTCTTTTCTTTCTTACAGAACTGAAATGACCATGAGAGTAAGCCAACCCTTCAAGACGAATAGGGAATTTGACATCACACGAACCCACAATATTTTGAATTTTAAAATCGGTAAATTTCGCTTGAAATCCTAATTTTTGAATAATACGTGCGTATTTACGTGCTGCCAATTTGCTATCATCTTCACTTTTGGCTCCAGTCACCACCATTTTACCTGAAGCAAAAATCAAGGCCGTAGTCTTTGGATCTCGAATACGCATAATCACAGCTGCGAAACGCTTTTGTTGTTATTGTTTGGCACATATAAAATGTGGTTTTTTTTTTTAGTTCAAAAACGAACATACAATCCCCAATAAAAAAAAAGGGGGGTGGGGGTGGGGGGGACCTCTTTTTTTTTTTTTTTTGTTCAAATTACCTTTGGATTGTACTCTGCATTACGAGCATGAAGAGCAATTGTCTTAAGATCTAAACGACAATCCAAATTCACAGTAGCCACAATATTTCTATTATTTATATTTTAGAATACAATAGAACACGGAAGAAAGAAAAAAATATATATTTAAACTTACTGTAAGGTAGGTGTGATACCCGCCACAGCATAAGGATTTGCGTCTCTACTAGGTGTGGGTGCATCAATGGGTGCAGGAGTAGAAGGAAGTGCAAAAGGAGTCGAATTGTGAAGAGGTGTTGGAATAGATGGTGTCTGCATAGCAGGTGTCGTCATCGAAGGTGTAGCAATGTTGAATCCAGACATGGTGTTTATTTTCTAATTTATATGCGCAATGTTATTTTTGTTGTTGTTGTTGTTTGTCGTTAAAAGGTGGATATACAGTGAGTGATTGAAAGGTGATATATTTAAATAAAAAAAAAAAAAAAAAAAAAAAAGTGTGAAAAAGCGGATAAAGGTGTGAAAAAGTTGAAAATTTTTTTTGCTTTTGTTCCTCATTGGGTCCTATTTATATCTTTTGCGTGTGACTTGTAAAAAAAAGAACCAATCAAATATGAAATGGAGATTCTTTTAAGCTTCTCTTCTTCTCCTCCCCCCCCCCCTCTTTTTTGGGGGGAGGGGTGGTGTGTGTGTGTGTGTGTGTAGTGGGGGGAGAGAAGGAGGTGGGGGGAAAGCTAAGGAGACACAAAGTGTGATATATATATATATATAAATACACAGTATAGAGAGTGTACGTATACACACTGCGATGTAGAGTATATACACAGTTCATTTAAAATAAAACGTTGGGATGATCGTCATTGTACCACTGGGGGAAGATGGGGGGTGTGCATAAACAATAAAGTAACATGATGCTTTTTGTGTAATGGTAAGCAAACTAGCTATAAAAACCCGGTACCCCCATCCCCCTCTTTTCCCTTTATCTCTCTTTTTCTTTTCTTTTTTTTTTCTTTTTTTTTTTAAAAATGAGTGTGATACAGGCTATTTTCATCAAACAAACCGAGACACGACATGAGAATAAAGCATATACTGCCTACCGTATCGACATTCAAGCGGCAGTGCGTCACTGGCATATTTGGAAACGTTATTCAGATTTTGTACGACTTCATGAACAATTAATCGAAAGTTTCCCGGGTATTAGTATGCCAGCCAATTTACCTCAAAAGCGTATCTTTCCACCTACCATCTCAGCACCGGATCGTATCGAAGATCGTCGACAAGGATTAGAAGACTATTTACGTACCATTCAAAGTTACCGTGATGATCGATGGCGTAAAACAGATATATGGAATGATTTTTTAGCATTACCATTAATGCAACCGGGGGAAAAAGATGGGTTTTCTTTTCGGTCTTGGTTGGATGAATATGATGATTTGTTATCACTCTCACGAGAGATTCGATCCTTGATCACGAGTCGGAACACGCATCAAAGTCAGCATGAGGTATCCGATGCCATGCGTTGTGAAGTAAAAGCTAAAAAAGATTTGATGACATTGAATGCTCGTTTGGGTAACCTAGAAACCTCACTTTTAAAAGGGGAGGGGTTGGTGGTAGAAGGTGAAGAGAGAAGACGATTGGACAAGACAAGTCAATTAAAACTAGAACGAGATGTACTTGTTCAACTCATGAGTGTAACAAGACAAGACTTTTCCAAAAAGAAGGACACTTATGCATCCTCTGCTTCTTTGTTGTTGTCGTCCTCAGAGAATCGACCCTTTATGGGAGACATTGGCTTTGATCAACAACAAATAAAGAGAAACAAGACGGTACCTACACATACAGCAAGACCTGTACGTGCATTTGGAAACGCCCTTCGTCTACAACAACAGCAACAACAAAAAGAAAAGTTACAAGAGACAGAGTTGACAAAAGGATTGGATAACAAGGAACTCTTGACCTATCAAACAAAAGTCATGAATGACCAGGACCTACATATAGAACAATTCAGTCAATTACTCTCAAGACAAAAAGAAATTGGTCTCGCTATTAATTATGAACTAGAAAATCAGATTGAGGTATTAGAGTCATTGGATATTCAAGTTGATAACACAGGTACCAAACTCGCTTTTGCAAACAAGAAACTGTCTAAAATCAAGTAAATCTTTTTTTTTTTTTTGTGACCGTTTCATTTTACAACCCAAAAAAAAAAAAAATTATTTTTTTTCAAATAAAAAGATTTCTTTTTTCTTTTTTTTTTTTTGCATACCTTATTATAACCAATGTCTGAACCAACAGATAACACCATTGCACCTGGTGTCAAGAAAACAACAAGACGATTTGCACCAGTGAAAAGAGGAGCCAGTAAAAGTGCAGCAGGATTAAAACGTGAGGAAGCCGCTGCTGCTGCTGCTGCTGCTGCTGCTGCCCCACCAACAACAACAACACAAACAGGAGAAGGCTCTACCACCACTGGAAGTGAGTCTGCCGTTAAACAAGAAACACTTTCTAGTGAACATGCCAAAACTATTCCCCTTGGCACCATGCGTCCCGAAGGAGCCAACTCGGGTCGTTTACAAAGTGTCAATGAGGGTCAAAAGACACGAGGCGGTACTGCCAAAGTAAAAAAAATAAAATAAAGAGTAGCCCAGTCTTCTTTTTATGTGATACTCATTTTCCCTTTCTCTTTTTTTTTATTAGATGAAATTCAAACCTACTATTCCCCACAAGAGAAACAAGAAGGAAGTGTAAGTTCTACAGTTATTACATGTGCCCGTCACAAAACTTAAAAAATAATAATAGGTCGTCTTCGGCTATTGATGAAGCATTAAACTCTAAACCTGGATTCAATAATGATCGTGGACGTGGTAGAGGACGTGGAGAAAGAGGAAGAGGAGGACGTGGAAGAGGACGTGGTAGAGGTATTATCATGGTAGATGAATCCACAGCCTCTGGTATCTTTTCCTTGGGTCCCTCTGCTGTTTCAAGAGGAAGACCTGGTCATGGTGGTGCTGGTTTTGCTTCATTTGGTGGTGATGTTCCCTCACGAACAGAAGGAGATAGTGCAGAATCTGATATGGTGGAAATGTTTACAAATGCTATTGGTAAAGATACACCCGTCACATTTAGACATACATCCCGTTTAGAAGGAGATGTTGATCCTGTCACTTTATCACAACCTGTTGGTAGTATTCCTTGGATGTCTGTCAAGTCAAAGAAACCCGTGGTGGATGTGAGTTCAGTGAAGGAGGAACAGGGAGTGGAAGGAATGGAAGTGGATACAAAAGAAGTGGAAATAGAAGAAGAAGAAGAAGAGGCGTTACCACCTGTGTTTATGGAAAGTGATTCACCTGCACAAGATATCTTTGCATTGGATGAGAAACATCGCCTTGTATGTGTGGCAGAGGATGAATTACTTTATTTCCAATTACCTACTGTGGTACCTCAATTTGAAAAGCCTAAAGAAGAAGAAAAGGAAGATGTGGAGATGACAGAGGAAAAAACTGAGACGGTTGTCAAGACAGAAGGAGGAGAGGAAGCTGAAAAGGTGTTACCAACGGCTGCTAAGAAATCAACTTTAGAGGAAGCCATGTCACAGTTAGATTTAGATGATATGCCCGATGGACAAATTGGTAAATTAATCGTGTACAAGAGTGGTAAAATGAAGATGAAGTTGGGTAATATCTTGTTGGATGTCAATCAAGGTATGCAATCCAGTTTCTTGGAAAATGTCATGGTCATTGATCATGAAAGTGAGGAAACAAAGAAGGCTATTGAGTTGGGTCATATCGTCCAAAAGTTTGTGTGTGCTCCCAACATGGATGCTCTCTTAAAAGACGATGAAGACGCGCTTATTTAATTTTTTTTTTTAATTTTTTATATAATAAATTTTTTTTCTCTTTTTTTTTTTTTACACACACACACACACACACACACACAGAAATGCTGTCAGTGGTGCTCAGCTTAACTTGTATCGTGTCCTTACTGACATATGCATATTTCAGTATTGCACAATTCGGAAAAATACTCCCCTTCACTACGAATAATGTGCTCATCGTCATTGCTCATCCAGATGATGAATGCATGTTTTTTGGCCCCACTTTGACCTCACTCTCCACTCTCACCAAAGCTAAAGTTCATGTACTTTGTCTCTCCACAGGCAATGCTGATGGTTTAGGAGCACTTCGTAAAAAGGAGCTCGTTAAAAGCTGTCAAATTCTGGGTGTACCTGCCTCCCGCGTTAAATCTCTGGATCACCCGTAAAGTCGGAAAGAAAAAAAAAAGTGAGGGGTTAGGGGGATGGGAGCGAATAATATAACAGACACTTAATTTTTTATTTTTTTTTACTAAAAAAAATAGTGGCTTGCAGGATGGTATGAAAAACAAGTGGGATCTAACCATCGTCTCTCAATCGATTGGTGAATATGCTGTGAAACAAAAGATTGACACTGTAAAAAAAAAAAAAAGCGGATAAAGAATTTAAGCGGGGGGTGTAGGTTTGTATTAATTAAAAATGTTTTATTAGGTAATTACTTTTGATGGACAAGGTGTATCTGGACACGCAAATCATATTGCTGCCTATCATGGTTCCAAGTAAGTTTACTCTTTTCGTGATACGCTTGGGGTCCCTTTTTTTTTTTATAACTTTTTTTTTTACGTGTTGAACACAGACTTTATGCAGCCAAACATGGGTTACGCTTGTATCGATTAGAAACAATTCCTCTTGTACGTAAATACATTGGTATTCTTGACTTGATGATACCTAACTATGGTCAAAAGGAACGAGTGACGTTTGTATCGACACCTATTTCGTACCTGATCACGCATAAAGCCATGCGTCACCACGAATCTCAATTAGTCTGGTTTCGATGGCTTTATGTGACTTTTTCTCGATACATGTTTGTCAATGATTTAATTATGGAGTGCTAATTTCAACGGATTACAAACAAATTTGAGAAAATAAAAAAAAATAAAAAATTTTTATAATAAAAAAAATTAGAGTTTTTTTTTTTTTTTTCTTTTTTCTCCTCTCGATAGATAAAACTAAAGAATATTCCGACACCCTTTTTTTTTTTTTTTTATATACATATATACATATATTTTTGCTATAATACGATAATGAATACAACAGAAGATAAAAGTAAAAAAAATACAAGAGAAAGACCCAACCTGTGTTTATGTTGACGTTTTTTTTTCTTTGTTGTTGTGTTTAGGCGAGAAAAAGTATCTGGACTACAAAAAGCGAATCCGAGAAATAGAAGAAGTAAAAACAAAAAAAAGGACGCCCTTCCCCATGGCAACTTCTGACAACACTATTGTATAAACATGTATTTATAGGAAAACGATAGTATCAGTTCTCAGTTAGCTAAAGCACGTCATCATATCAAACGTCTCCGAGTCGAAAGAATGTAAAAAAAAAAAAATGTCAAAAAAGAAAAAAAAAAAAATTTACATGTACTGATGTTCTGTAAAAAAGTGTTTTATTAGAGGAAATCGATGATTTAAGACAAGGTCGTTCATCTCGTGTTAAAAAGTCGGGTGGTGCTGAAAGTGATTCAGAAATGTCTATTTCCGAATCCATCATTGTAAAGTCCTTTCTATTCTTTAAAAAAAAAAAGACGTGGAGAGGAGAGCCTCTCTTTTTTTCTCATATATATAACTCTTCTTTTTTTGTGTGTGTAGTCTGATGTCAAGGGAGTCCGAAAGAATGCGGCTGCTACTCCTCGAAAGAAGCGAGATCCCAACGCACCCAAAGGACCTGGTAATGTCTTTTTCCTCTATTGTCGTATGGAACGCGATAATATCAAGGACGAAGTTCCCAACGAGAGTTTAGGTGAAGTGACTCGTCTCCTTGGCCAAAAATGGAAAGCCTTACCCAAAGAAGAAAAGCAAGTACGTATGTACATGACATATAGACACAGAACATAAAAAATGCCAACTTTTTTTTTATATTGTAATAGAAATACTACGACATTTATAAAAAGGAGCAGGAGGAATATGAGTCTGCCATGAAGAGTTATACAGCTGCTGGTGGTGGATTAGAAGGCGCTGCAGCGGTTGAGGCGGCTAATAAAGTCAAACAAGAGGGTAAATTAGATGATTCGGATGAAGAAGAGGAAATAGACATGCTTCAAGATGACGATGATGAAGATATCGAGGATTTGGATGAAGAAATCGAGCAAGAGATTCACGAAAATAGTCATGCTAAGGAACATCTTCATGCTATCGTCTCACCACCTTCCTCAATAACAACTACAGATACAATCCCAGAATCAACTACTACTATTACTACTCAACAACATCATACGCTTATTTAGACGCAAATCAAATATATATATATATATATATTTATATATATCAATATAAAAAAAAAGGAAAAAAAAAAAAAAAAGGGATCGTGTATTTATTCTTCTCCTTCTAGTTAATAGGTTTAATCTAGTAATAATAAATAAATAAAAAATTGTTATTAGACACACACACACACACACACATGTATAAAATCCCCATTTTTACCTTAAAATGCAGTGAAATTAAAGAAAACACAAAGGCCTTTAAATCTTGAACGAGATAGTAAAATGCACGTAAACCTTCAGGATCCTTACTCTCCTGTACTTCCACAAGCGAACTCAACTTGGATGTCTATACACATTTTTTTGTTTGTTAGCCACACTTTCTCTCTCTATTCTGTAACAGCTCGTCTCTACTTGCCTCAAAGGAAATGTGTTCATTACCAAGACGAACTTCAATTTCTTGACTTCCAACCACATTCTTGGTAGGCCATTGGCTGTCATCTTCCCTACACACGACGATAAAAAAAAACCACCAGTGTTATTACTCCTCCCTCTTTTTTTCTTTTTTTTTTTTTTTGATGCTTACTTCATGACTTCACTATCTTGAATAATCTTCTTTAATTCCTCAATGACAGCTTGACTCACGTACACTATAGATGCACATCATAAGAAATACAAGAAATAAGCCTTCACAACATCACTCACTTACTCTCTTTCTTGATTAAACTATCGTTTCTGTAGTTGGAATTATTAGCATATCGACAAAGACCATCGGATCTAAATTCAAATTCCAAAAATTCGTGGCCGTAACGTCCCTTGTGTCCAGAACTACAATTTTTTTTTTAATCCCAAACAATGTCAGTGAAGGAGAAACGCGTAGGTTTACATGGGGTTGAGTGTTACTTACTAGTAACGAACATAGAATTCTTCTTTTTCACCCATGATGTATAATTTTTTTTTAGATAATTAAAGGGCGTTTTTTTTTTTTAATAAAATAAAAAAAATAGTACACACATATATACACACACAGACGCAGAGACGCAGACCCAAAAAAAAAAAAAAGAGAATCAGACGTCACAATTGGATATAAAAGACAAAAGTGGAATCAAGTTCCCCTTGTTCATGATATCGTAATGATCTCCAACGATACTCGTATCCAAGGTAACATTAGCACCCATCGACTTTAAATGATTTACCATGACATGCGCTTGTTCAAGATTGACAAGTGTATCTTGCATACTATGGGCAATCACAATGGGTTTCCCCTTCTTTAGTTCCCCTGAGAATTTACTGACAGGTGAAGCATCATGGTGATTGTCTGGACCAAATGCTTGTTCAATGAAATCCAAATAAGAAGGAAATGTCTTTACCAGTAAAGGAATATCGTGAATACCCGATATACTCACAATGCCCGCCAAATAACGATGATAGGGTAAGGAAGTATCCACCATAAACATCGTGGCCATGTGTCCACCGGCAGAATGCCCAATCATGTAGATTTTCTCGTGATCGTAGCTAGCATTAGGTGTCTTGTAGAGGTACTCGAGGGCTTTCCCTACATCCAGCATATGATCCGGATGCTTTATGCTAAGATCTGTACTCAATCTTTTTTTTTTGTTTTTTTGTTCTTGGCTATTCAGTATACGGACTCTTTGTTTCAATTTTATATATATATATACCTGTAATTGACGGAAGCAACGGAACCTAAATGAGTCAAACCGAGAGCAAGATCTCGGTAATCCGACTTGTCTTCCGATCGCCAAGCGCCACCATGAACAAGTACAAAGAGTGGAACTTGACTCTTCTTTTCTGACTCGTAAAAGTCAATTGAACGCAACGGGTCATTCTCAACAGGACCGTAACAAAACGTTTTCATTTTTCACACAGCCCAAAGAAAAAAAAAAAAGAGATGATTAAAAAGAAAAAGGGGGTGGGGGGAAGGGGGGCGCTGATTTAATTTTTCAACTTTTTATTATCAGTAGATGGATCATCTTCCTCCTCGGCTTTACGTTTCAAGGGTTGCTGCTGCTGCTTTTTGGGTGCCTTGATGGGAGCCACGGTTTTCAAAATCTTTACATTCTCCCCAATAAAATGAACCTTTTGCTCTAATGCGTTGGATAACCAAGGAGCCTCAATGAGAGGTACTTCCTGAGCTGATAAACGTAATGATTCCTCCTTGTCCTCCATAATCTAGAGAAAGGATGAGTAAAAAAAAAAATCATTTGCTTTTCACGGGGAGTGAAAGTGTTTTTACCTCAATCAAGACAACAGATGCTCGAGTGATACCCAAGGCTTGACCCAACTTGGACTCAGAATCTGCAGGCATGGGGATTAATTTGATTTTAGCTAAAGCAGCCATAGAAAGCAAATGTTGGCATAATTGAAGTGGTTTGATCTCTCGTTTACAGATATACATGACGGGTTGTGTGGTAGGTGTGGAGGCAATATAGGATTCCATGTAACGAGTGACTTCATTGATACCCACATGTAAACGTGACTGAATCTCAGGCGCTGCTACTGGTGGTGGTGTGATCTCGGATCCTTTCTTCTTTTTCTTTAAAGCACGGCATCGGGTTCTATATTCACCCACGGGTGTCAAAGTTCTAAAAATCATGTAGTAATTTTAATGTATCAGCCTTTTTTTTTTTTGTTCTTTTTATATCTTGTTTTCTAGTGGTACGTTTTTTTTTTTTTTTTTTTTTCGCTCTCTCTCTCTCTTTTGTTACTTTAATAATTGTGTCAGAATGGTCTGTCCCAAGTCGGTATGAATGGTGGGCCATTTTAAAATAAATGGTGAACCAAGAACATTTTTATAAACACTTTTGGTCTTTTCTGTAGCCGTGGCGGTACGTACATTAGTCACTGCCGTGAATGTCTTTGCTGCTGTCGACATGTTTTATCAGTGAAAATGAAAAAAAAAAAACCTCACTTTTTTTTTTTTTTTTTTTTTTTTTTGGAGGGTTTGTATTTTGTAGGTCATGTGTGTGACTGTTTTTCAGTTTTATTTTTTCTTTTCTCGACAATGATGATAAATACTTTATTAGTGAAGGGAAAAGAAAAAAAATTGGGGATTTTTTTTTTTTTTTTTTTTTTTTTTTTTTGTTGGAGAGGGGGAGTGTTGAGGAGAAGGGAATAATAATAATAATAATAAAGTGAGATAGATATCTTAAAGGATTGTACAAAGTCTTTTGTGAAGACGTCTCATGTTACCCGTGACAGCAGCTTTTGTAGCAGCTTCGATCACATCATCCACATGAATGTTCTGCATAGCACTACATTCATAATATTTAGCGCCTATTTCCTTTGCCAATTGTTCTCCCTTTGTTGTATATAAAAAATAAAAGATGAGTACAGAGAGAAAAAAAAAAAAAAAGAAGGGGGGAGTTGCTATGGTTACCTCTTCCTCGGTAATTAATCTCTGTCCTACTAGTCCAAGTCTTCTAATTTCATCCTGATTCTGTCTAAAGTCGAGTTTGGTGCCGACTAATAATTTAGGTACATTTTCACAAAAATGAGTGACTTCTGGTAACCACTAAGGAGAGAGAGAGAAAGAAAAAAAAGAGGGGGGGGAAACACAAAGAAAAAAAAAAAAAGATGAATATAAAAAAAAAGATTTCTTTGTGGATGAAAGACTTACTCTATCTTGAACGTTTGTAAATGAAGTACGAAGATTGATAGCAAAGCAAATGAGAACGACGTCTGTTTCTGGATAGGATAAGGGTCGTAATCGATCGTAATCTTCTTGTCCGGCTGTATCCCATAACGCTAATTCCACAATCTTTCCTGTATCCAATGTTACGTTGGCAATATAATTCTCAAACACCGTTGGCACATATCTCTATAACCACCATCAGCCCACACTCGTCTTTTTTCACTGTTTTCTCTTCATATAAAACTTACTTGAGGAAACGCCTTTTTCTGGTACACCACCAATAGACTGGTTTTACCACATCCACCATCTCCTACCACTACTAACTTCTTTCGGGCAACCTTTTTTTTTTTTAAAAAAAAGAGAGAGAGAGAGAGAGAGTTAATCAAGTATCCAAAGTGTGAAAAGAGAAAGAAACTTACGCCTCGGGTCATGTTATTTGTATGTGTGTGTGTGTGTGTGTGTTTATAGGTTTTTTTTTTTTTTTTTTTTTTTTTCTTTTTGTTGGAAAAAAAAAAAGAAATGGATAAAAATGGAAAAAGAAAAACAAACTGGAAATAAAGAATAAAGATGTGCCCCGCCGCCCCCTCTCTCTGTCTCTGTCTCTCTCTCTTTATATTTGTAACTCACGAGGATTAAAATTTCTAATTACAGATCATTCAATGAGTTACGAATTGTTGCACCAAAAAATAAGTCCACCGGATTAAATAAACAAAAAAATGTTGTCTAAATTTAAAGGAGTTTCAGTATCCATGACACTCATCAATAAGGACACCCTTCAAAAAAAAAAAGATGTTTTAGTATCGGGTGCCTGAATTCTACTCTTACAGGTCTTTTTTTTATATATAATTGTTCTTTTAACAACAACCCTTCTTATTTTTTTTTTTTTTTGTATTTGTTTCATCTCATTCTTCTTCTTCAAATAAGTATATCTAAACCCCCCATGCCCTACATAGACTGTAATGCAAAATACACACATGCTAGTTCATAGTGCGTGTCTTGGCAATACTGTTAAACGGACCTTTTTTTTTTTTATAATATACCAATGATCATGACGTAATTCGTGTTACCAATACGGAAGTAAATATATTACATGTAATGATTTCTCTCTAAGGTCATCCAATCGACGGGGATTGAATGGTATAACCGCACAGCAGGATAGTAATAGACGAAACGCTTTTTTGCTTCTGTTTGTTCTGTGATATGCAAAAGAAAAAAAGACCTATGGATGGATCGCATGTACATTTATATATATAAAAAAAAAGAGTGCAGAGATTACTAAAATCACTTTAAAAAGATCTATTTGACTCTATTCCGAAAAACCGGAACGTGTCCGGGGGAAGGAGAAAGAAATATAGATGTGTGCTGATTATAACTATTATTTCTTGCATGATTTTATTTTTTGATGTAGAGTGAGAAAAGAGTTATTCATTTGCATGTAATTTTTTTTTTTTTGTTATTATTGTTGTTGCTTTTGATTGAGACTGTGACCTGTTAAGATGGGAGATAGATTTTTTAAATCGATTGACCGTTCATTGGCCAAAACGGATATTTCTTGGACGGCTGAAACAATTTCACGCGTAGGAGGTTCTATAAAGAGAGAGAAAATGTTAATGATGGATAGAAAGAAGATTCAAGAAAGAGAAAGAGAAAAACTTACTTGAATCACACAAAATAACCAAGATTCTAATGACAAGAGTTTCTCCGCCAGGGGGAAATTCACGAATAAGTTTATTTAAATCTGATGATTTCATTCCGATTGCTTTAATCATTTTAATCATATGAAGGCGAATATACTTTTGTACACTTTCCGATGCTTTAATATAAACCGAGAATAACCTATATAATGTAGTTTTTTGTTTTTGTTTTTAATACAGTGATCATCATAATTTTTGTTTTTTTCTTTATAATACTTTACTCTTTCAGTAAACTTGGCCTTCTTGTGCATAATACAAAATACAATTGTGCATGTCGAACCACGTCCTTTTCATCCCAACTTCCTTCGGTTGCCAATACTTGCAATGCCTCTACTGAATAGGATTCGACTCTCGTGTTGATATGAGTTTGATTTTCGTTCCATTTCTTGACGGCCATAATGCTTGTCTGTCTAATTTGATCGTTTTCGTTAATACAAAGGTCTAAAAGAACCTGAAGTGCCATCCATCGCACCGTAGGTCGATTAATGACTATATTACGAAGTGTCGACACGCAAGATACAAATCTTTCGGGGACACTCTGTAAATTCTCCTTCACAAGCTCAATCGTCTCTTCATTCAATTCGGGTGCCTCTAGTAATAATTTCGTCAAAATCTTATCCTTGGCATCTAATGTAGGGATCGTCTTTTTGAGTAATTTATGGAACCATAGGTAATAACTGGCTGTATAATTTGCGTTCAGTCTGGATTGTCTTTGATCTGATAAATATTCTTCATGAAGCCATTCTAATGCCAAATCATGTCTATATATATATATATTCGCAAGTTCCCCCCTTCATCCATTAGTTTTTTTTTTCGTATACGTATTTCCTTCTCTCTTTTGTATTTACCGTGATAATAAATCTTCAACAATAAAATCTAATAATAACTCCTTGATCTCATTGGTTTCATCGAGATCCATCGGAATCACTTTTTTATCTTCATCTTCCTCTCCTTCTCCAACGGATGCAGGTTGCATACCGATACCACGCGTGACAAGCTTAGCAACGAGTAATAACCATCTGCTTTTGGCGGTTGTAGGTGTAGCATCATGTGTAGTGGATTGAAACGATTTCTCTGCATAAAGAATACGTTTGATGGCCATCTTTAGCAATTGTTTCTTTTCCGATTCACTCAAATCCCGTTGTTCAGCCAATTCATACGGTTGCATTTTTAATGCCTGACTAGCTCGTTCCTCCACACTGGCAAGCACAGGTACCTTGGGCTTTTGTTCTTGTTTGATGTTGGGTAAAAGAGGTACAGGTGCAAGTGACTTGAAGTTGTTTTCCATTTCCTCGTCTGAATCCACATTGGGTTCTGCCTTGACCTCAGCCATCTCTATGTCGGTCTCCTCCTCCTTCTCTACCTTCTCCTTCTTCTCTTCGCCTTCTTTTTTAAACAAGGGGTTTGTGTTGTATTGAGGTTGTTCAGGTGGAGGTGGAAAGGGAGGTGTGGTGGAGCGAACGAAGCCAGTTCGGGTGACGGCTAATGTGACACCTTGGGCAGGAAGCAAGGAAACTCTTTCTGACATGACTTCCAATGGAACAGTTTGTAATACGGTCATACACAAATTGACAATAGCACTTAGTGGTATTTGTGTAATATCATAATTGGCAAGGATATTATTGGATGTAGCTGAAGGTATGATGGGCGTATATTCGGTCTTTGCGCGTTTGTCTTGTTGACGTTCTGTATCAAGATGACCACTTGATCGCTTTGCTCGTCTTGCTTCCTCTGCTCTTTGTTCTCTGGAATGGCGACTCTGAAACATGGCGACATTACCTCCAATCGATCCAAACGCAGCAATCAGTTCACTTCGGAAAGAGGAAATGGTATCCGTTCTACATCAAACATGTGTTGGTCTATTTTCCCTTATCTCCTACCCTATTCTCTTTCTCTCTTTTTACCTTATCAAAGACACAAACGCTAATTTTAATGCTTTATCCACATTACGTAACATCACGGGTGAGTCATCCTTTGATCTCGTCTTTCTCCAACCTGCAAACGCTGCCATGATTTGCTTGACGAATTGAGGTCTTTTCTTACCGATAATCATGAGACAACTCACTGTTGCTGTGATAACAGATCTAAAAAAGAGAGATGTTAGGGGCCAACCCCCTCCCGTTTTTTTTTTTTTCGCATACAAAAAAAAAAAAAAAAACCTTACTCGATATCTGATTTCAACATGCTGAGAATCAAGCTAAACATATCCTGTCCCTTTTTTTCAAGCTCTTCTACATTTAACAAACGATGATCGGCTCTTGGTAAATTAAGCGAGATATCCTTCTATATATATACATAAAAAAAAATTGAGTTATTTGGTAGAGGGAGGGGGGAGAGCAAAGTGTTTTTGGGATGACATAATTACCAAAGTTGACTTTGATAGCAGCAATACTAAGACTTGTAGACATTTCACTGCGTTTATTTGAACACCTGCGTTACTATGGTGTATCAATGAAGTATCGACTAACGTCATTAAGGACTGACAAAGTGACCATAAACGAGTTTCAGCTTCATTTTGACAACTATATATATAAAAAAAAAGGGATAAGTATACACTTTTTTTTTTTACTGCCATCTCTCTCTCTTGATGAAAAAAAGAGTGACTGAACAACTTACACAGTTTTATAGACAGTGGGTAATACAGTGGAGAATGCCTTGGTTGCATTCTTTATAATTTTTAATTCCTCTTTATACGCATCCGTGCCATCGTCTTGTTTTTCAAGTCCATATTGAAGCAAATCAACAAGTGTTTCTAAAAAACTTCTAGTTGCAAACGATTGTGCATTTTCTGGTTGTGATAACACTTGCTGATCAAAATCACGCAATTGTAATACTTGTTGATCGTGATCCATTCTTCTATAACGAAAAAATATATAATAAATAAAAAAACGCGTTTTTTAATTTGGCAACAACAAAAAAAAAAAAAAAGGAAACGCAGGCCGAAAATGAAATCTGGGCTGGTTTTAAAAAAAAATTGAAAAAAAAAAAAAGTCCTCTTGCATCATGCTGGGGAAGCGCTTTTAAAATATGAAACGTTTTTTGTTATAGGGTTGGATTTTATCCGGTGCAATCACTATAAAAATTTAAATCCTTCTCTTGGATTGTTATTTGTAGTATTTCGGTTTTTTTTTTGTAGGAAAAGTGCCAGGATAAAAAAGAATTACCCATCGTATCTTGCTTCATTGATATCATGCGACCCATTTTTTTTCTGTATGCTCAATAGTGCATCGTAATAAATGTGAAACCAAGCAGACAAACATATTTCTACTTTGATCATTTGATTGTCAGGACAAAATACGTCTGTTATTTTCTTGTGATCAGAATCACTTTTGACTCTTTGCTGATTTTGTGGCATATTAATTCACTATCCATATACTTTTTGATTATAATGTTCAACACTTGCAATTCTCTTTTACATCTGAAAAATTCTAACCTATAATTCATGTTTAGCATTTATAAGACTGTTCCGACTAGATTCTGATGGTAAAATATTCTCTTTATAACTACTTATATTTTCGCTTCATAATGTCCGTGGTCGAATAGCTGTTCAAACTCGTTTCTATGACTCCCCTAGCTTCACATCATACACGCTTTAACTAGATAAATGATGTATCTGAATCCATATCTTTCAGGACTTCTCCATACCTTCAAATCTTTAAATTCCGTTTTCTCTTTATTGATTATGCTTGTATATGAGATAATGACCCACACGGTGGTATACGCTGTCCACGCATTTCATCCCATTTACTTCTACGTGCCCACAGAAAATCCCATATCCATGAAACATGCATGCTGGATGAACAAGAATATAAGAATTTAGCCTAAATAAGCAACTGGTCTCTGCCCATTTTGTTTACACCCTAAAATAAATCAGCGATCAAAAATTGATCTTTTTTTTAAAAAATATCGCGATTGGCAATATCGATCCTTAAATCAAAAACAAAATATCGTTGGATGGGGTACAAAAAAATGGGGTAATCGATAATCGATATAATATTACTTTTACACACTGCTAAATCAGTATGCAGGCTTGAAATTGATACGTTTATATAAATTGGGAAAAACAAAATTTTATTTATAAAAAAAACTAAATAACGTCAAATCTGATCATGATGGACCTCTTCAAATATGGAAAATGACCAGTGAATATGACTAGAGACAGATATAATGAGAGGAACTACGATAGTGACCATACGAAGACCTCAGACGAATAGCAGTATCACTTACCTGCAGAAAGATGGTTTATGTTAATAAGAGAATAAACTATCATGTTTAGCAATGTGTACCTTTACAAAACAGTGGGATGTACGAGCCTCAAATAAATAGTAATATCAATCAGCTTTAAAAAATTGGGTTAACTTAATAATAAACAAGTATACCAGTATCAAGTTATTTAACTTTCCGCAAGTAATGAATGTATTGATTTCTTTAGCTATAAAAATGCGCTAATAGATATAAGAAAGTAGTTAAAGTTCCTTACCGAGCAAAGAGCATTGGTCTGATCTTCACCGCAAAATTACGGTGAAGGTTAACAACGATTTTGGCCGTATCCGTGACGGATCTGGTCAATTTTTGGCTATTCTGTATCCTGGACGGGACATTTTTGAAAAATGACCGTATCCGTGACGGATCTGGTCAATTTTCGCTCATTCTGTATCCTGGACGGGGCAAGTTTATAAATTGACCGTATCCGTGACGGATCTGGTCAATTTTTTGTCATTCTGTATCCTGGACGGGGCAGGATTATAAATACCTATGTTGACGAAACGAAGACTGAAGATGTGATACATGCTCTCTGAGCCACGCTTTATTTTCCTTTATTGTTAATAAAATTGTTTTCCCTTTCTTCCCTATATCTTTCAAGCTAAGCTATATAATTCAATTTTTTTTTTTTTTTTTTTTGGGAGGGATAAACATACAGATAAATGATAATGAAATAATACTAATGGTTAACTAAAAAAGCGGTACCATGGGCGGGTATGTATCACATCTTCAGTCTTTGTTTCGTCAACATAGGTATTTGTTGTCGTGCCTAAACAGATCCCAGTTGACTCCACTTCGACTTCCGATGTGATACTTTTCTCCGTACAAAAAATTGAATTGTTTATGTGAGTGCTATCCGCAGATTGATTGTGAGGTTTGTAATAATAGTTTTCAAATGTGTTTGAGTTCAAGCTCCAGTGCGCGTGTTTCTTGACTGTTAAGATGGAATGTCCTTTTTCAACTGCTTTTGTACTTGAGGCTGATCGAATCGAATGTGCTTTATAAGTGTTGGTGTCTATTCCTGCTTCTTCCATTGCTGTTGTGATCCAATTTGCAACTGTAGATGGTCTTGTTGAAGTAGATTTCTTGTCTTCGCAGTCGACATAAGTAAGGAAGAGTGTATGATCTTCTTGTAATCCTCTTCGAAGGTGCTCGGTTTTTTCAAGAAAAAATGATGTCGTCCTTACTGGGCATAATTCTTCCTCCAATATCATACCTAATTTGCTGGTCTTAACTGTGCTTTCCTTTGGCATTCGTGAGTGAAGGTAAAGGTGCATTGAATCCGTTCTTTTTTCTTTTACAATTACATCTCGATGTTGCAAACGTCCGATATCAGATCTTGGGCGCCACATTGTTCCAATACAAAGAAGCAATACTGTTTTTAGCTGTAGTTTACCTAAGGGTAGTGTAGCAGTCGGTGATAAATGATTTTTTATGTATGTGACTAGAACATCGACATCCCACTGTTTCTAGTTGTTGAGTGGTTGGTATTTTAATATCAGTTTTCCTCTTTGCTGTAAAAAACTCTTTCACCATCGGTTGATCTGCTATTGGTGTTTCTTGTTGATGTATTATTGAGAAAACTGATGCTATCGATGATCTTAGGCTATTCAAATGGTTGGTACTGTATTTTGTATTTGCTTCTAAAAAATTCAAGACATTGAGTGTATTATATTCAAGTGGGTTGCACTTTGGATCTTGTGTTCCACACCAAGTTGTCCACAATTTCCATCCATTATCGTACATCTTATGGGTTGAATCTCTAGTCTTTTTGTTTAAAAATTTGATTGTGTTGATATCGAGTCCATCCTGTAACCTCCAGTTGTTGATAATAGCCAAGCGGCTAGTGACCATTTCTTGTTCAGTCTCCAAATAATTGGTGGTTGTAGATGTTGGAATCGTAGGATCATCGGGTACCAGTATTGACTTATCCAAAGTGGTGTGACCAGTACTACTCGCTTTAGTTTCTCCTCTTTTATTTTCCTCAATACCTGTGGAATCATCTTCCAAGGAGGGTAAGCATATAAGCCCTTCTTCGGCCATTCTTGTCTCATGGCATCCACTGCTTGTGCTTGGGGATCCGGTTGAAGTGACCAGTATCTCGGGAGTTGGTTGTTGTGATTTGCTGCGAATGCATCGATCGTCAATTTTCCCCATGTCCTTGTTATCGTTTCGAAGAATTTCTTCGGAATCTCGGTCTCGTAAAATGGTTTCCTGATTCTGCTTAATCGATCTGCCTTTGTATTCAATAGGCCCGGGATATGTTGATATATCACATTGACTTGATGTTGATTGCATATTTGTTGGATTTGTATAGCTAAGTCCTGTAAAAGAATTGACTGTGGTTCCTCCTGATTTCGTTGTATATTTCAAAGCTGTCTTGTTGTCTGAAAATATCTTTATTGTTGAGCCTTCTAATCTTGGTGCATGGTGTGTAGGCAATTAGAATTGTCTTCAGTTCTCGGACGTTTATAGAGTATGTTCTTTCTATCCTGCTCCAAAACCCCGCTTTTTCCATCATTGTTGAGCTGATGCCCCAACCTGAGTCCGAGGCGTCTACATATACGTTGATCTTCGGTGATAATGTGATCTTCTGTACTGGTAGACCGTTGTTCTTCTCCACAAATTTCTCCCACCAACTCAATTCCTCTATCGCTGCTGTTGAAAGTGTGCAAATCGCTTCCCAGTTGTGGCGTGATAGTGCCAAAGATCTCGCCAGATCCCTCTGTAAATATCTGATGTGGAGGAGAGCTTCCCCAATTGCTGGTATCATCGAGGTTATCTTTCCCAGAAGACCTGCCATCCACCGGCAGGACCTCATACGATGTATTCTCAATTGGCGTATCTTCTTCAATAGGTTCAAAATCTTCTGATTCGGTGTTGAAATTATCATTGTCTTTGAGTTGAATTGGAATCCGAGGAATTCCCGTATTTTCGAAGGTATTAGTATACTCTTTGTATAATTGATTATAAAGCCCAAATTTTCTAAATGTCTTCGTACTTGATTTGTGATTGTTAACATTTCTTCTTTCGACTTTGAGAGAATGCAGATGTCGTCCAAATAATAGATTAGGCGAATTCCTGATTTTCTTAATGGTTCTATTGCGTATTTCATGATCTTCGAGAAAACTCTGGGTGCTACACTTAGACCGAAGGCGAGCGATGTGTACTGGTAAACGATGCCTTCGTTTTCGAAACTTAGAAATCTTCTCGATTCTTGGTGGATTGGGATCACGACATAAGCGTCCTTGAGGTCTATTTTGCAAATGTAATCGTTGGGTTCCAATATCTCCCGGAGAGCAGGTACTCCCTCCATTTTGAAATGTTCCACTTGAAGATAACTGTTCAATTTCTGGCAATCCAATATTGGTCGTCTCTTGGTTTTCTCTTGAAGCGTGAAAAATTTCGACAGGTATTGGCGATTCTGTGAAGGTGATAGCTCGATGATCCCCCCATTTAAGAAAGTTGTTATCGCAGTGTTGATGTGTAACTGGTCCTCCGGAGTGTGATTCCTCTTTTGGATTGTCCACGGGATCGGTTGTTGTGCAAATTGTATCCGGTATCCATCTTTGATTACTGATAAAGGCCAATTGTGAGTTGTTATTGATTTCCATTGTTGAAAGAATTTGCTGAGGCGGCCCCCCGGAAGAATG